TCACACGCCACTGATTTCCCCATTTTTAAACTCTGGCAGAAATTTCGCTTCAAACGCGAGACTGTGGAATCCAAACACCTTTCTGGGGCAGTTCATTTTCAGAATCTCATCATCCTTCAACCCAAAAGCGCCCCGCTCCCTTCAATGTCAGAGTGGAAGAGAAAAATATATCCCTCCTGTTTGGAAAAATAAAATTTGGGATGCTCCACATCGATCTCAAACGTGCCCACGTCGCTTCTGAGTCGTGTCAGTGCGAAAGGAGACCCGAGTCCCCGTTTCAAACCCGGTTTTGTTCCCTCCACGTGAATCAACTCACAGCCAGAAAAGAGATTTCTGGTGGAGAACGTCAAACCCTCGAAATTCCACACACCACTCAATTCCTCCCAATTCCAAAACACGTTTCTGACATATTTGCCACTCAAGTGACTGGCAGGGACCATTTGAAGCACTTTGTTCCTCAGCGAACTACTTACCGCACAACGGTATCAATGTTTAATCAATGCGGCCCCCTAGACTTTTCTATTTGGCCCTTCAAACCCTCCTCTGATTCACTCACTGCCTCTCATTCGCAGCCTCATTGCGTGTTTTTGCTGGGCTGGAAAATCTCCTTGAACTCTGTTCTTGCCTTTTGCTCGCCTGCAAGGAGGATTGGGACGGGAGGTTTGAGTGTAAAAACTAGCCAAGTGGACAAAAAATTGTTACTCTGCCCCCTTTTCCCTCTGGCCCTGCCGACCATGGGCATGTGGACCCCAGGAACTTGCCCAGAAGGGAATGCGGCCCTTGGCCTTCAGAAAGCTTCACCTCACAAGGAGGCCCTGCTATAAAAAGCATCAGTTAGCTAAGAGTTTGGGATCAGTAGGCCCGTTTCCAAAGATGGCTGGGCTGCAAGCAGACTGGGCCAGGTGTAATGCACCTGTTTTTACATCAGCAGACCAACATACGGCCTGGGATACAGGATGATAATAATTATTATTATTTATTTATTTATTTATTTATTTATTTATTTATTTATACATACCCCGCCCATCTGGCTCGGCTTCCCCAGCCACTCTGGGCGGCTTCCAAAAAAATATTAAAATACTATAATACATCAAACATTACAAGCTTCCCTAAATAGGGCTGCCTTCAGATGTCTTCTAAAAGTCTGGTAGTTGTTGTTCTCTTTGACATCTGGTGGGAGGGAGTTCCACAGGGAGGGCGCCACCACCGAGAAGGCCCTCTGCCTGGTTCCGGGCAACCAGGAAGCATTACAGGAATGAATTCCCTTCCTTTCTCAATCCTGATGACTGAATGCTTAGCAGGCAGGCGATGAAAATTGAACAGATTTCTCTGCAAGGCTGCTAGATCTAATGAGACGATTCAATTTCTGGAACTCGCATCACTCAAGGTGGTACCGAAACAATATTTTAGGTAAAAACGACCCCTTGTTTGCAGTTCTTTTGCCCCTGGAAAAATAGGTGGGGGAGCTCATCACAAAGTAAGTTTGTTTATTTATTGCAGGCTCAGTCGCAGTGCTGCCACAAACCCCCTCCCCACCAGCGCAGTGGCTAAATGTAAAATGTGATTAATAAACTCAAGCAGACAATTATGTGGATCAAAAATGGCCACAACCTTTTTGATTACAGATACAGGTGGATTTTTGGCTCAGGCATTGGGTGTAAATCTATTCCAGACAAAAAAGAAAAAATTAAAAGGTAAGGAAACTTAGTTCGCCTGCTCAAAAATATCCCCTGCTTGTTTGTATTTGTTTGTGAATCTCTAGCTTGGCTGATCCGAAAGACATGAGTGGATTTGATGCAGCCGAGTTTGGGCTTGATCCTGAAAAGGGAGTGGCTGTGTCGGACTGAGAATTATCACGCCTTTCTTAAGATTGCATAATCCGCTGCAGAGTTTATTCAAGTCGCTTCCCAGCCTACCAAGTGTTGGCGGCACTGCTCATTGCACCATGAGACCTAGGCCCTTGTCTTTTTCTTTGCAAATAGAAGCTCAGATTCTCAGGATCCCACATCCTGACAGATTGAGGTTGTATCCTGACAAGACAGAAATACTGTTTTTGGGGGACAGGAGGCGGGCAGGTGTGGAGGATTCCCTGGTCCTGAATGGGGTAACTGTGCCCCTGAAGGACCAGGTGCACAGCCTGGGAGTCATTCTGGACTCACAGCTGTCCATGGAGGCACAGGTCAAATCTGTGTCCAGGGCAGCTGTTTACCAGCTCCATCTGGTACGTAGGCTGAGATCCTCCCTGCCCGCAGACTGTCTCGCCAGTTTGGTGCATGCTCTGGTTATCTCCCGCTTGGACTACTGCAATGCGCTCTACGTGGGGCTACCTTTGAAGTTGACCCGGAAACTACAACTAATCCAGAACGCGGCTGCTAGACTGGTGACTGGGAGCGGCCGCCGAGACCACATAACACCGGTCTTGAAAGACCTACATTGGCTCCCAGTACGTTTCCGAGCACAATTCAAAGTGTTGGTGCTGACCTTTAAAGCCCTAAACGGCCTCGGTCCAGTATACCTGAAGGAGCGTCTCCACCCCCATCACCCAGTCTGGACATTGAGATCCAGCTCTGAGGGCCTTCTGGCAGTTCCCTCGCTGCGAGAAGCAAAGTTACAGAAAACCAGGCAGAGGGTGGCGCCCGCCCTATGGAACGCCCTCCCATCAGATGTCAAGGAAATAAACAACTATCTTACTTTAAGAAGACATCTGAAGGCAGCCCTGTTTAGGGAAATTTTTAATGTTTGATTCTATTTTTAATATTCTGTTGGAAGCCACCCAGAGGGGCTGGGAAATAAATTATTATTATTATTATTATTATTATTATTATTATTATTATTATTATTATTATTATTATTAATTTCTCTTGTAACTCTTGACTTTTTTTGTATTATTTGGCATTATTAATAAATATTTTAGATGCTGCTGTAAACTTACGAGGTCTTTTGTTCTAGCAAGCAAGGAACAATCCTTTCACCACTTTAAACTGTGCCTTACAAAGTTCCTCAATCCGAAAGCCATGCCACCTGGTGCCCTCCAGACCTTTTGGACCACAACTCCCATCAGCCCCCAGGGGATCAGCTGGGGATCATGGGAGTGGCAGTCCAAAAGGCTTAGGAGGTCAGCGCCCAGGCTGGGGGCGTCAGCTTTGCAGTGGATTTTACTTCCAGATTAAGGACCGCCAGTTCCTGCTGGTGCAATTCCACCATGAATGGGAATTTTCTTTTAAACGCACATAATCACACACACGCCAAAAAGGTGATTTTTAAAATCAAAATTAAAAGCTAGTCCAAATTCCCCAGGTAGAAAATAGCTAGCTGCTGTAATGTCACCCAAAGGCCTTGCAGCAAAGAGAAGGCCTAGATTGTTTTTTTTAAAGGGGTGAGTAGAGAATTAGAATGAATTACATGTATTTTTTACAGGTTTTTAAAAAATGAACTATTTTCCTTCCATCTGCGGAACAAAATTATCTGTGTGGGGTGTTGTATAGATTTTATTTTAACAAAGTCTTTCCTCCCCCTACAATACGGAGAAAGACAGTCCATATACAACCCAATAAATATTCTTTCAGAGGATTCTCTGGGAATTATTGCAAAATGAAAAGATGTCCTGCTCTCGCTGCAGGGCAGGGCAGGGGTACCAAAATCCCATTTTCTGAATTTGATGTGGAGCATCCCCAACAGAACAGGAGAGAGCCAACGAGTAGATCCCACCCACCCAAAATAAGACGTGTAAAGAATTGAAAAATGGGTTGGGCGGTTTATGCCAGCTCCTTGCAACAGCCAAACATCCTTACCCGTTTCACTAAAACCGGAATAAAAAATTGGAATTTAATCTGGATTAACACAGCTGGAATCGGAATAGAGGATTTTGGAGGCGGGGGAGCCTTCAGCAAATTATTTAAAGACAGGATATCTGGTTAGATGAGGAAATTTGGGGTGGGGGATTTTTTTTAGGGGTCTCTTGGCAAACTGAATACCAAGGCTAAGATTTGGGGGTCCCTGAATTACAACAGGATCCAAAGGGTGATTTACAACCCATTCACGCAGCACAGAAAACCCCATATATTTCTTTCAGCTACACCCAAGTTACTACACCCATTTGCCTGGTAGTAAACCCCACTGAACTCATGGGGGTTTACTTCCGAGTAGATGTAATTAATAGCTGCCTTTTGACCCTTTCTGTGCCTCTTCTCCAAAAGGTGATGTCTAAGGTAAGGTCACCACAAGATACAGGAAAAACAAAGCCAGTTTAAAACGAGCCGCAAAACAAATAAGAAAACTTAAAATTCCTGCTAAAATAAAAAGATTTGTGCCAAAGCAAAGTTCAACAGGTAAAGAGACACATAGATAGGATTGCAGCATTTCTGGGCTTTGATTTTTGGATTCTTCACCCATCGCCTGCTTTAATATGGATTCCTTTTAGGACAGCAACCCCGCCCCAGCCTCGCATCTACTCGAGAGTAAACCGCGTTCAGAGCAACAGGATTTGTTTCCGAAGTAAAGGCGTGCTTACAGGACGAGGCTGCAAAAAAATTATGTTGCAAAGTGGCGGGTTGGGGGACGGAACGGACTAGTTTGGGTAGAAAAGTAAGGCCCGTTGCGCGCTCCCTTTCCAGGCTACGCTGCGCTTACTTCGGAGCAAAGCTCCTCCCAACTCCACGGGGCTTACTTCGGAGTGAACACGCACAGGCAGCATTGTGCGACGGAAAAAGCGTTTTAGCGGAGTTCTCTCTGCCTAGGAAATATCGGGACGGTGATTCTCGGCGCCCAGAGGCCACGAACGACGGTCCCCCAATCCGGCCTCTCCAAACACCGCTTTTTGGAGAGGGGCGCACGGATGTGCGCTTGAGGAGGAGGGTCCGGGCCATCATGGACGCTTCCCAGAAAAAGAGAGACAGAGGGAAGGAGAAAGAGACGTGGCCTCCTGCCACCCACCCCCCTCTCTGCCCCAACACGCGTGTCTCCCGCTTCCCACGTTCCCCGCCGACCCGCGCTGCGCTCACCTTCCGGCGCTTGTCGGCAAAGGGGAGCGCCAGCCACGGCATGGCCCGCGTGGCTTCCTGCCAGCGCTGCTGATCCTGCTCGGCCGACACGAAGACGATCTCCAGGCGCTGCTGCTGCCGCTGCTCCGGCGCCGCTCCGGCTCCGGCTTCGCTCCGGGCCGGCTGGAAGCGCGCGTAGAAGGCGGCCAGGCTAGCGGCCAGCTGCGCGCCCGGCCCGGCTCCGGCTCCGGTTCCTGCCGCTCCGGCGGCGGCGGCTCCGGCTGCGCTGCTGCCGGCGCCGCAGTACCCGAAGTAGAGCCCCACGAGCGAGACGCCCCTCGCCGGCAGCGAGGCCACGGGCACCGCCGAGCCGTCGGGCGCCGCCAGCGCCTCGCCCAGCAGCTCGGCCAGCGGCGCCGCGGCGGCAGCAGCAGCAGCGCACGGCGACGAAGACATCCCCGCCGAGCCCCACGCAGCTCCCGCCGCCGCCGCCAGCCAGCCAGCCGGCCGAGCCCAGCCACACCGAGCCAGGCAGCCGCCGCCGCCGCCAGCGGGCGCTCCCGGCCCGGCCCGCCTCGCCTTCCCCGCGTGGCGCTCGCCGGCCCGCGACCCGCCCCCCGACGCCGCGCAGACGCCACCCCCAGCAGCCCCGGGCTGCGCACCGGAGAGACCCTCGCCGGCTCCCTCTCCTCTCCTTCCTCTCGCTGGCTGACCCGCTTTTCTGGGACCGGCGGCCCCGATCCTCGGGAGTAAGCGCGCCCTGGTTGTAGCGCGCGAGGCTGGCGCTCGCTCGCTCTCTTTTCCCCCCAATTTTTTTTTATTGATTTTCACAACATTATAAACAAACAAACACATAAAACAAACAAACATAAATCATAACCTGATTAAAAAATACACTTCTTAACATTATTAAGTGACTTCCTCGCTTCCCCTTGGTTGAATTTCATTGCATGTCCTTTTCCAAATCATAGTTCTTAAAATAATTTAACTTAAACATTAACATCCTTAGATCTTCACATTATGAAATTAAACCTATTAATTCATCACTTAACTTAAATAAAATCCTAAGACAATTAAGTATCTGCAAGCTGTTTTCAGTTAATTTCAGTTAACATGTTTAACTAAGTAATCATTAAATTTGATCCAATCTTCCTGATGCTACTCCTCCTTTTGGTCGTGGACTCTTCTGGTTAGGTCGGCTAGCTCCAAAAAATCCATCTGCCAATTCTTCTATCGTTGGTAATTCTTGGGTTTTCCACTTTTTAGCTAACAAAATACGAGCCGCAGTTGCGGCATACAAAAATAATTTTACATCTTTCTTGGGCAATTCCAGACCTAGTCATTCCAAGAAGAAAGGTCTTCTTTCTTCTTTCTTTATATTTCAACATTTTTTTCAATTCATTATATATCTTTTCCCAGAAGTCTTTCACCTTGGGGCAGGTCCACCACATATGATAATATGATCCTTCCTTTTCTTTACATTTCCAATTTCAATGTAATGTAAAAATGAAACGCTCGCTCACTCTCTTTGTGTGTGTGTCTACTTGGGAGTAAATGGCAGGGTGCTCCTTTGGGATTTGCTCTCCCGCCTTTGCTGGCAAAGGGTTTGTTGGGCCCGATCCTCCTCTTTCTTTCGCGTGTTTGCACGTGTTGGGTGTACCCTAGCGAAAGTGGGCAGTGGGGTTGTGGGGCGTGATGCTCCCCCACTTTCCTATAGTGTCTAGGTACCCCCTGCCCATACGGCCCGTCTTCACAGACTCTAGGGTTGTGCGCCCATCTCACTCAAGAGGCCGGGGGCCAGCGCTGTCCGGAGACACTTCCGGCTCACGTGGCCAGCGTGACATTGCTGCTCTGGCGAGCCAAAGCCGCACACGGAAACACCGTTTACCTTCCCGCTAGTAAGCGGTCCCTATTTATCTACTTGCACCCGGGAGTGCTTTCGAACTGCTAGGTTGGCAGGCGCTGGGACCGAACAACGGGAGCGCACCCCGCCACGGGGATTCGAACCGCTGACCTTTCGATCAGCAAGCCCTAGGTGCTGAGGTTTTACCCACAGCGCCACCCATGTCTCCTATAGTGTCTACACGGGAGCAAATAGTGTGGTGGTTATGGAACTAATACTCCCAGGAAGGTGAACTTATGATTGTAGGGCTCGATCTTCTCTCTCTCTGCTTGTTTTCTCGGGAGCAAATGGTCCGATGTTCCATTGGATTTACTCCCGAGGAAAGCATGCCATGGGATTGTTGCATGTCTCTCTGTTACATGTCTACTTGGGAACAGTTTAGGATTTACTCCCGAGGAAAGCACGCACAGGGGATTGTAGCCCCCTCCCTTAGAGGCCGAGCCTCTTTTGCAGGTCTACTCGGAAGTAAGTCCTCCTGTGGCCAAGGGGACTTTGTCTCAGGAAAGTGAGCATGGTAATATTTAGTTCAGGTTTTTGAAACTCACTTGTAAAAAATAAAAAGGGCCAGAATTTTGAAACAACTGAAAACCATTTGAAAACATTGTATGTATCCAAATGTAGATCTGTGTTAGGGCCAGAGGCCTGCCATTAATGGTGCTATAAAGCAAGGCCAATTTTATGGTGTTGCTGCTTGACTCAGTGGTGCTCCTGAGCATGTACAAATTGCTTTCCCCTCGCTTTCTCCAGACCTTTGTTAGAGGGAGGCCTCAGACCTGCAACATCTCGGAAGGTTTTACCAGGAAACGGTGTGCCCTTGAGCATGTCCAAAGCGCATTATTTCTACAGCGCCACCGGCACGCGTGGTGTTTGACAGAGCGCACATCACACTTTTACAAAGGAGAAGACGGGAGGGGGCCCTTTGACCCAAGGGCCACATTCCCTTCTGAGCAACTTTCTGGGGGCCTCAGGCAAAAGGGGGTGGAGCCCTGGACACGCTTCCAGCCAGGCAAAACATTTGGGGTGGAAACTGGGGTGTGGGCTTTTGCTGGGTGACCCACAGGCCCATGAGGGCTGCTTTGGGCTTAAGTTTTCATTCCCCAGTATCAGGGCTCCCTCTGGAAAGTTCTCTGCCACCTGCTGCCAGGAGGCCTTTGAGATTACCCCATAAATACCCAGATAATCGCCACCCCATCCCCCTCTGGGAAGATGCCTCACGCTTATTAAACTCCTTTGTCTTCCTCTGCCAAAGCCCCGGGAGCAATTCAAAGGGGAATTTGCCTTCTGCGTGCTCATTTTTTTCTGGGTGTGTGGGGCTCCTTTAAAAAAAGCCAGTACTGCAGGCCGAAGCCGATGTGCTTTCTTCAAACCAGCATCAAAACTTCACCCAGAGTCCAGGCTTTAAACACCCCCCCCCCAGTTCTTATAATTCAGCAACAGAAACTGCGACAAAATGTTGCAGCGTGGAGTATTCCATCAGCCAGCCGCGCCCTTACACAGGGCACTCCATTCCCACTCCCACGCAGCATTCCGTGCCCACAGAGCATGCTCAGTCTGCGTTGGCCTATTTTTGGGGGCTCCCCACTTTTAAGATTTCCCCTCCTAAATACTTCACACACACACTGCTCCTTTACAAACCTTCGCCCCTGCTGACATCTCTTGCTTGTATCATTTTGGGTCCCCAAGGACCCACGTTTTAAGAGTGAGTGCAATATTATTCCTAACAGTAGCACAGGAAACCCCTTCCAGAGCTAGAGGGTTATTACAGGGGAGGGCCCCCCTAGAATCTATTTCCCTGCTGGGTCACAGCTTGAGTTTGCAGTTGCCGGATAAATGCACCTCTGAGCATATGCAGAGCGCCCCAGCCTAACGTACCTGGTGGGGGTTTTGCTAGGATAAAGCAAGTTTGGGGCTAGAGGGAATGGTTATGCAGCCTAGAACTCCTTGTGGGTGGCTGGGAGCCGGAATAAAACTTTAAATTGTTATTAATGTGATATCCCTGGGAACTGCAACGCAATGTTGCAGCGTACTCATCATCCCTAAGAGGGGTTTCTGACCACTGACACATACGATTCAAGAAGAGTTGTTCCCTTTGTGTAGTTTGGCATATATCAGGGGTCAGCAACCTTTTTCAGCAGGGGGCCGGTCCACTGTCCCTCAGACCTTGTTGAGGGCCGGACTATATTTTGGGGGCAGAAATGAACAAATTCCTATGCCCCACACATAACCCAGAGATGCATTTTAAATAAAAGCACACATTCTACTCATGCGAAAACACGCTGATTCCCGGACCGTCTGCCGGATTTAGAAGGCAATTGGGCCGGATCCGGCCCCCGGGCCTTAGTTTGCCTACCCATGGCATATGAGTCCTTTTTGGGGAAAAGGCAGCAAGTTTCTGTATTCCATGTAGTCTTGTTCGCTTCCAAAGTGATGGGCCCTCAACCACCCAAGTTTGCTCTTAGAAGGAATAATGGCACTAATTAATTCCCCGGCTGACTGAGAAACCAGTGGCATGGGGCAGACTTTTCACACACGTGAGGAGGGGCTTCAGGAGCAAACTCCAGCACCCCTCTGACTTGTGCAAGTGTAGAAAGGGTCCCAAATTTGCTTTCAAAATCAAATTGCCAAAAGGATAAAAGGGGAGCGGTAAAATGGGGCTGAAGCGACACCTAGTGGCCGCAGGAATGGTTGCAGCTCTATCCAGCAACTTTTATCCCTTTCATTAAATCTGTCATTCGTATTTATCCACCTGCCTTTATCTGGGTTTTACACCAGCTGTTTCTCAAATCGGCATGCAGAGTTCTCTTTTTAAAGTAAAGCCCCCCCCCTTCCCCCTGCAAGAAGGGAGGATTTTGAAAGCTTACTTTCAAGTTTTCTGACAGCTTTTCCCGCTTGCGGCTTCGGTCAGCGGTAACTACTTTCACTTTATAACAACGAAAAGGGATCGACCTCCGTTTTTAGAATCCAAATTTTTAGCTCAAATTAATCTCTTTTCCCCTTACTCACAATGCAAATTGAGCTGTTTCTGTGCTGTTATATTTCGAATCATTTTTGCCTTCCTATGACTTGGTGGTTCCTTGCTGGGGAAGGGCCTTAATTCGAAAGGGAAACCATGAGGACTGGAATCTTGTTTTTATTTTCAAGCTTAGGGTTGTAGCTCAGTGACAGAGCATGTTGGCTGTGGCTGGTGAGAGTTGGACAACATCTGGATGTTCGAGGGCCCCGCTGTCTCCCCGCTCTATTTCTGCTACATACTAATAGCAAGGGACGTGGGTGGCACTGTGGGTTAAACCACAGAGCCTAGGACTTGCCAATCAGAAGGTCGGCGGTTCGAATCCCTGCGACGGGGTGAGCTCCCGTTGCTCGGTCCCTGCTCCTGCCAACCTAGCAGTTCGAAAGCACACCAGTGCAAGTAGATAAATAGGTACCGCTCCGGCGGGAAGGTAAACGGCGTTTCCGTGCGCTGCTCTGGTTCGCCAGAAGCGGCTTAGTCATGCTGGCCACATGACCCGGAAGCTGTACGCCGGCTCCCTCGGCCAATAAAGCGAGATGAGCGCCGCAACCCCAGAGTCGGCCACGACTGGACCTAATGGTCAGGGGTCCCTTTACCTTTACTAATAGTAGCCAAAACGCTATCTGTGCCAGGAGCTGGGAAGGTTTGGCTCCTACAGGGTGTCACTAAACTATAACTCCCACCAGCACCGAGCCAACAAGGCTAATGGCCAAGGATGATGGGAGTTGTAGCTCAGCAGCAACTGGAGGGCAAAGGATTCTGACGCCGGGTCCATGCACCAGCGGGAGGCATTTGCAGAAATGCAAAATACAATCTGCAGAATGTAAGAAAATACAGCTGGATTAGGCCAATGACCTGTCTAGTCCAGCATTCTGTTCTCACACTGGCCAGCCAGGGAAACCAAGCAGGCAGGATCCGAGCAAAAGAGCAACTCTCCCCTACTGTGGTTTCCAGCAACTAGTATTCAGAAGCATGGCTGCGGAGGGCAGAACAGAGCCATTCTGGCCAGTAGCCTTTTCCTTTATGAATTTATCTAACCCCCCTTTAGCAGAGACATCACCTTGCCAACAAAGGTCCGTATAGTTAAAGCTATGGTTTTCCCAGTAGTGATGTATGGAAGTGAGAGCTGGACCATAAAGAAGGTTGATCGCCGAAGAATTGATGCTTTTGAATTCTGGTGCTGGAGGAGACTCTTGAGAGTCCCATGGACTGCAAGAAGATCAAACGTATCCATTCTGAAGGAAATCAGCCCTGGGTGCTCACTGGAAGGACAGATTGTGAAGCTGAGGGTCCAATACTTTGGCCACCTCATGAGAAGAGAAGACTCCCTGGAAAAGACCCTGAGATGGAGGGCACAAGGAGAAGGGGGCGACAGAGGACGAGATGGTGGGACAGTGTTCTCGAAGCTACCAGCATGAGTTTGACCAAACTGCGGGAGGCAGTGGAAGACAGGAGTGCCTGGCATGCTCTGGTCCAGGGGGTCACGAAGAGGCGGACACGACTAAACAACAATAATCCTCCTTTAAAGCCATCCAGACTGGTAGCCATCGCTGCCTCCCGTAGGAGCAAGCTGCATTCTTTAATCTGCCCTCAATCATCCAACAAAAATAACTCCAAGCAAGAGAGCAGAGCCTCAAAACCCGGCAATGAGGCCCAAGCACAGCCAGTTAGTGGCCAGGGCCTTTTCAGTGATGGCTCCAACCTGGCGGAATGCTCTGTCCCATGAGACTAGGGCCCTTCAGGATTTAACCTCCTTCTGTCGGGCCTGTAAGACAGAGCTATTCCTCCTGGCCTTTAATTTGAATTAAGCCTGATCTTTTATTTCCCTTCCCTTCCCTCCCCCTCCCCTTTTATGAAGATCACCCGCTCTGAGACCCCACAGCTAATTCTCCCCTGGTCTCCTCGCTGGTCCAAGTGGGACCAATTCAACCAGCTAGCCCTGGGGATTATCTAATGCTTATTTCCCCTAAATTGATTTTTGATTTTTGAATTTTATTGTTATTCATGTTTTTATACTGTATTTTATGCTGCTTTTATAAGTAAGCATTTTAAATTTGTTGTTAGCTGCCCTGAGCCCGGTTTTTGAACCGGGAAGGGCGGGGTATAAATAAAATAATAATATTAATTAATTAATTTTATAATGAATGATTTTAGAGTGTTGTTTATGCTGTACTTTTGTACTGTTTTATTGTTGTTAGCCGCCCTGAGCCCGGCTTCGGCTGGGGAGGGCGGGATATAAATAAAATTTATTATTATTATTATTATTGGAGCACCAAGAGTCTTTGGGGGGAAAGGAAGGGAGTTTACGGCAGACGGGCTAGCAGCCTGAACAGCCGGCAGCACTTTCTTACAGTTCCCACTTGTTTTTTAGCAATGCCTGTTGGGGTGGAACAGGCGTGGGAAGCCTTTGTCCCCCTCCGGATGTTGCTAAACTACAACTCCCAACACCCTCTCCGCAGCGGAGGAGAGTTGTAGTTCAGCTCGGGCCGACGTTTCCCACACACCTGGCTCAGAACATTTGCCCGCGTCATCGAAGAAGCACTTCACCTGGCAATCTATTAAAACAACTCAGAAAAACTCGGTTTATTCATAAAAACCCTGAACCATACCAAAATGCAGAATTACTGGGGGAAAAGGGAGCACAGAAAAGGTGCGTTTTCGGCTAGAGGTTGCCAAAGGAAACTTAACGAGCACTGAGCTTGCGACGCATAAAACCGGCAGGGTCCGCATCTCAAGAAAATAATGTCTGCTGCATGAACCGAGTCCTTGATCTCGCGCCTCGGGGTTCAACAACCGCAGGCTGGTTATCGAAATATTTTTTTAAAAGGTGTGGGGAGAGACTTTGAGCTGCGAGAGGGAAAGTCTGGCTGAAAATAAACTTCCAGGAAAAGAAGAACTGAGTAACAGTGGCCCATCGCTTGAACATCCTCATAGTGGCATCCGATTAATTATCCTTTTCTTGAGTTGGCCAACTCTTCCCAACAAAAGCAGAGTGGCTCAGGCCAGCCCAGGAAATATTCCCCCATCCTTCAGGCCAAGGGCGACTGGCTAAATGGTTCTCTTTTGTGCGACACACACCTGGCCGAGCCCCAGGAAGGGAAGGGGTTCCTCCAGAATTGAAGAGAGTTCCCAGCCGTCTTCTGTCCTCGACGGGGTCCGCCTGCCGCCCCTCAGCGCCTTACCCGTTCTGCAACAGGAGGCGGATCAGGACGCCTGCGACCAAAACGGCGACGGCCAACGCCACAGCCAGCCCCCGGTGCAATAGGAGCTGCTTCCCGGACAAGACTTCCACGCGAGACGAAGTGAGCTCTTCCGGGGGAATCAGCTGGTCTTGCGGCGGGTGCTCCATCACGTGGTCCATGCCGCTGAGAGCATCCCCATTGGGGACCTCAGTTTCCATCGTGAGGTAGGCTGTGGGGTAGAAAACCTCGTCGTTAGTTCAGGGGTGGGACCTTTGCCGTAATCCAGGAAGGGGAAATGGGTTGCGGGCCACGTGCTGGCAGTGGGCAAGGCCGCAGTTGCAAAAAGGAGAGGGTTCCTCGCCCCTTTTCTCTCTCCATCACTGCTCTGGTTTTCTCCCGCTTGGACTACTGCAACGCGCTCTACATGGGGCTACCATTGAAGGTAACCCAGAGACTACAACTAATCTAGAATGCAGCAGCTAGACTGGTGACTGGGAGCGGCCGCCAAGACCACATAACACCGGTCCCGAAAGACCTGCATTGGCTCCCAGGACGTTTCCGAGCACAATTCAAAGTGTTGGTGAAGATCTTTAAAGCCCTAAATGGCTCAGTATACCTGAAGGAGCATCTCCACCCCCATTGTTCTGCCTGGACACTGAGGTCCAGCTCTGAGGGCCTTCTGGCAGTTCCCTCCCTGCGAAAAGTGAGGTTACAGGGAACCAGGAGGAGGGCCTTCTCGGTGGTGGCGCCTGCCCTGTGGAATGCCCTCCCGTCAGATGTCAAGGAAATAAACAACTACCTGACTTTGAGAAGACATCTGAAGGCAGCCCTGCTTAGGGAAGTTTTAAATGTTTGATCTTTTACTGTGTTTTTAATATCCTGTTGGAAGCCGCCCAGAGTGGCTGGGGAAACCCAGCCAGATGGGCGGGGAATGAATGAATGAATGAATGAATGAATGAATGAATAAAATTATTATTATTTCCCAATCTTACTCACCCCTTTCATTGCTGCGTGTCATTGTCTGGTTGGGTGCAGAGATGTGGTGGGGGGAATGAGCTGGGGAACCCCCAAGGGAAGAAGGCTCAGAGCCCGAAGAGGGAGAAGAATGGGAGGAGGAGGTATCCAAACAGGGCTTAGTGAGCAGGAAGAGGCTGCAGCAGAGAGCAGTCCAGAAACAGAGGGAGAAGCAGAGGGGGTCAAGAGGCAAAGTGGAGGCCAGAGTGAGCCACCTGTCGGCGATTCCTGAGCTGCGATTCCGGCATGGCCAGGGGGCTAGGCCGGATGACCCTTGAGGGCCCCTTCCAACCCCACAATTCTAGGAACTTAACCCTTGGAAACCTGCCCCGGGCCACGAATCGCACAGGGAAGAGCGGTCATGGTGATCAAGCTGTCTTGCGAGGAACTGAGTTTTAAAAGCGAAACTTTAATAATAATAATTTTTATTTATACCCCGCCCTCCTCAGCCAAGGCCGGGCTCAGGGTGGCTAACAAGCAATAATAAAAACAAGTTGAATGAATACAAATTAAAAACAAGATTAAAATACATTAAAATATTGAAACATTAAAATATTAAAATGCAGCCTCATCACAGAAGGAGAAAGGAAAAAGAAAAGAAAGAGGGAGAGGGAATCAAATTGGCTCCAAGCCAAAGGCCAGGCGGAACAACTCTTGTCTTACAGGCCCTGCGGAAAGAAATCAGATCCTGCAGGGCCCTGGTCTCATGAGGCAGAGCATTCCAACAGACCGGAGCCAGTGTTGAAAAGGCCCTGGCTCTGGTTGAAGCCAATCTAACTTCCTTAGGGCCCGGGACCAATAGGGTGTTGCTATTTATGGACCTTGAGGCTCTCCATGGGGCAGACCGGGAGAGGCGGTCCCGTAGGTACAAGGATGTCATATAGAGGAGGGAGAAAGGTTGTTTTCTGCTGCTCCAGAGAAGCGGACACGGAGCAATGGATCCAAACTACAAGAAAGAAGATTCCACCTAAACATTAGGAAGAACTTCCTGACAGTAAGAGCTGTTCGACAGTGGAATTTGCTGCCAAGGAGTGTGGTGGAGTCTCCTTCTTTGGAGGTCTTTAAGCAGAGGCTTGACAACCATATGTCAGCAGTGCTCTGATGGTGTTTCCTGCTTGGCAGGGGGTTGGACTCGATGGCCCTTGTGGTCTATTCCAACTCTATGATTCTAGGGTCCTAGGCCGTGAAGGGCTTTAAAGGTCAAAAGCAGCACCTTAAATCTGACCCTGTACTCCACCGGGAGCCAGTGCAGCTGGAAAAGCACTGGGTGAATATGCTCCCATGGCAGAGACCCCGTGAGGAGCCTTGCTGCAGCATTCTGCACCCGCTGGAGTTTCTGGGACAGCTTCAAGGGCAGCCCTGCGTAGAACGAATTATAGGAGTCAAACCTGGAGGTGACCATCGCATGGATCACTGTGGCCAGGTCGGGGCGGGAAAGGTAAGGGACCAACTGCTTGATGCGGCGAAGGTGGAAAAATGTCGCAGGCTCCGCTCTCCTCTGTGCCCCACCTGACCTTTATATAATCGGGGACAAGCGGGAAAAGGAATCCCTCCCAGCCCCATTCATCTCTCCCCCCCCAAAAAAAATATATCATACTCTCAACCCCATTCATTTCCACCCCCATTGAAAAATTACCTAAGGGCACCGGTTTATTAGCAGAAATGTCCTCAGAACTGCCGGTCTGTAGTCTGGCTGTCAGCCCTGCTCGGCTCTGAGCCTAGGAGATGAAAAATTTGGGATTTTGGGGGGGGGGGGAGAGAGAGAGAGAGAGAGAGGAGTTATCTCAGGGTTAACACCCATAGCACACATTTCCCATGACGTCCCAATCAAGGCTCATTAAGTCGCCCTTCGTTAGACGCCTGAATACTTTCACAACTGCACATCTCTCCGAAAAGTACAGTGGTACCTCAGGTTACATCCGCTTCAGGTTACATCCGCTTCAGGTTACAGACTCCACTAAGCCAGAAATAGTGCTTCAGGTTAAGAACTTTGCTTCAGGATGAGAACAGAAATCGTGCTCCGGCGGCACGGCAGCAGCGGGAGACCCCATTAGCTAAAGTGGTGCTTCAGGTTAAGAACAGTTTCAGGTTAAGAACGGACCTCCGGAACGAATTAAGTACTTAACCCGAGGTACCACTGTACTGGGCACCGTCCAGCTCTCATCTTACCTAGAGTAGACCCCTTGAAGTTAATGGGTTTGCCTAATTAGGGCCAGCTAATTTCAGTACGTCTCCTGCGAGGGCTGTCTCCCATGCTAGCCCTGCTCAAAACAGTCCCACTGGGAATAATGGGCACGGCTAGCTTAGGGGTCTCGATTTCCAACTTCTGAGAAAAGCTCACCGCAACCCGTTGCCTCTCAGCTGGAAGCCGGGAGCAGAATCCCAACGTTTTAATTTGGAGCGTCAGGTTTCTGGACCTCCTCGTTTTCAGAACGGCACTTTTTCCACCTCGACAACACACCTTTGCCTTAAAACCACAAACTGGGGTGTGAAATTTCTGAAGGAAAGCACAGCCCAAGAAACACACAAAAATCTTTTGTGTCTTTTTCAAGGAACTGAGGAAGGAAGAGCTCCTGTGAGGCCGAGAGTTCAGCACCCCCCACGGCAGAAGAGGACATTTGTCTTTTATGTGTTTTGCATCAATCCAGCAGCTCTCAGACCACATGTTCTTTTTAATATTTTGTTGGGAGCTGCACAGAGCGGCTGGGGGAACCCAGTTAGATGGACAGCATTTAAACAATAAAATTACTATTGATGATGTTAATGTTGTTACAGTCAAACCTCGGATCCTGAACGCCTCCGTTTTGGAACGTTTCGGCTCCCGAATGCCAAAAACCCGGAAGTAAATGCTCCGGTTTTCGAACGTTTTTCAGAAGCCAAACATCCGGCATGGCTTCTGCTCAAAGCTCCTGCAGCCAATCAGAAGCCGCGCCTCAGTTGTCAAACGCTTTGGAAGCCAAACATGCTTCTGGAACGGATTACATTCAACAACCGGGGTTTGACTGTGCAGTCATACCTCAGGTTACAGACGCTTCAGGTTGCGTTTTTCGGGTTACGCACCCACCGAAACCCGGAGGTACCGGAACGGGTTACTTCCGGGTTTTGGCGATTGCACATGCACAGAAGCGCTAAATTACGCTTTGCACGTGCACAAAAGCACCGAATCGCAACCCGCTGCGGGTTGCGGACACTGCGGGTTGCAAATGTGCATCCCGCACGGCTCACGATCGCAACCCGAGCGTCCACTGTATTATTATTCCGCTGCTCTGGACGATAGGACTCAAAGCAACACAAGTTGCGAGAAAGGAGATTCTCACTAAACATCAGGAAGGATGATAAGAGCCATTCAACAGGGGAACGGACAACCTCGGAAGCTGTCAGACGATCTCCTCTGGCTTTTAAGCAGAGGTTGGGTGGCCAGCCGTCAAGGATTCTTCCCCTGCACTTCTTTCCAAGGGGTTGAGCTAGATGTCCTTTGGGGGCTCCCTTTCCAGCTCTAGCGCTCTATGATTCCATGAGGTGCCCCCTTTCCCCTCAGGGGTGCTGGGACCCGCCCACTTATGGAAACCAAAGGAACTGGTGCTCTTGAACCTCACCTCTTCTGAGGCCTTTTTCCAGTCGGCTCGCAGGACAAGGACCAGGAAAGAGGCGGCTTGGAGGGAGATACACACGATCAGCCCCGTCCACAGGCCTAAAAAGAGAGAACAAGAACAAGGGAAGATCCCGCAGATGAACCGTCTAGTAAAGGTAAAGGGTCCCCTGACCATTAGGTCCAGTCATGGCGACTCTGGGGTTGCGGCGCTCATCTCGCTTTACTGGCCGAGGGAGCCGGTGTACAGCTTCCGGGTCATGTGGCCAGCATGACTAAGCCCCTTCTGGCGAACCAGAGCAGCGCACAGAAACACCGTTTACCTTCCCGCCGGAGCAGTATCTATTTATCTACTTGCACTTTGACGCGCTTTCGAACTGCTAGGTTGGCAGGAGCAGGGACCGAGCAACGGGAGCTCACCCCGTTGTGGGGATTCGAACCGCCGACCTTCTGATCGGCAAGTCCTAGGCTCTGTGGTTTAACCCACAGCGCCACCCGCATCCCTGAACCATCCAGTAGGGTTAGAGTATTTATTTATTCTGCGTACACATCAGGCTTCCCAAACCCGGTGTGCCCCAACAAAAGCAGAGTGGCAGATGAAGATGATGGACTTTGCAGAACTAGCAAAACTGATGGGAAGAATTCAGAAACAGCGAGACCAAGCGAGACCAAAAGGACTGGAACAAATTTATATCATGTTTGGAAGACAATTGTAAGCAGTTAACATCATTATAGCAGGGCTATCTGAAGATCTGTAAGAGGAGATTGCTACATATTCAGGCTGAGTAACTTAATATTTTAGTTACAGATAGGTAGCCGTGTTGGTCTGCCATAGTCAAAACAAAAAAAATTCCTTCCAGTAGCACCTTAAAGACCAACTGAGTTAGTTCTTGGTATGAGCTTTCGTGTGCATGCACACTTCTTCAGATACACAGTGGTACCTCGGGTTACAGACACTTCAGGTCACAGATTCCGCTAACCCAGAAATAGTACCTCGGGTTAAGAACTATGCTTCAGGATGAGAAGAGAAATTGTGCGGCGGCAGCGGGAGGCCCCATTAGCTAAAGTGGTGCTTCAGGTTAAGAACAGTTTCGGGTTAAGAATGGACCTCTGGAATGAATTAAATTCTTAACCCGAGGAACCACTGTAATGATATAACAAGGATAGGAAACAAAGCGAAATGTAAAGATGCAAAGTTTAATTTTGTAAACCAGGCATCCTCTGTTGGTTATTTTGCAGATTAGTTGCGCTGCAGAAAGAGCGCTGGGGAGACCACACATTCAAGAAACGCAAAAGTAACTTTTGCTAGGCTTTGATAACAATAACAAAAACTCATTTTACATTAAATTACATTATATCAATAAGCATGACCCATCCACCATCCCATTCACCAGGGGACTGAGAGCGCTACATGCTGTTCTTTATATACAATACCCAATTGCTGACACAGCTTAATTAACACAACTTAACAGCACCTGCTGGGATGCGGGTGGCGCTGTGGGTTAAACCACAGAGCCTAGGACTTGCCGATCGCATGGTCGGCGGTTCGAATCCCCACGGCGGGGTGCGCTCCCGTAGTTCGGTCCCAGTGCCTGCCAACCTAGCAGTTCGAAAGCACCCCTAAGTGCAAGTAGATAAATAGGGACCGCTTACTAGCGGGAAGGTAAACGGCGTTCCGTGTGCTGCGCTGGCTCGCCAGATGCAGCTTGTCACACTGGCCACGTGACCCGGAAGTGTCTTCGGACAGCGCTAGCTCCCGGCCTATAGAGTGAGATGAGCGCACAACCCTAGAGTCTGGCAAGACTGGCCCGTACGGGCAGGGGTACCTTTACCTTTTTAACAGCACCTGCTATACTGCTTCACAGCTGTAAAACTAGGTCATGTTATTTGCTCTGGCCTTTAAAGAGACACACATCTTGTGAAACAATAACGAACCTTAATATTTAAAGAAACCATTCAACACCCCAACCTTTGGCCCTCCAGATGTTTTGGCCTACAACTCCCATGATCCCTAGCTAACAGGACCAGTGGTCAGGGATGATGGGAATTGTAGTCCAAAACATCTGGAGGGCTGAAGGTTGGGGATGCCTGTTGTAAACCATCAGATGGGAGGGAGAGAAGTCGTCAGGCCCAGTTGAGCCAAAGAGATAAAATAAGAGGATCTGACGTTACATAATGTGATTATTATGCAAAGCCAATAAAAATCATTTAAAAAACAAACAAACCCGGTGTACCGCACCCCAGAAGTTTTTGGAACTACAACAAATGTTAAATCGGCAGTTCCCAAAGTGAGTGGTGATCTGCCAGTCAGAGCAGGTAGTATTGGGCTAGTCCAACTTGACTTGGCGTAAGGAAGCATCCTAATACACAGCCACTGTGATCCACGCGACGGTCACCTCCAGACTGGATTATTGTAACTCGCTCTACGTGGGGCTGCCCTTGAGACTGACCCAGAAACTCCAGCGGGTGCAGAATGCCGCGTTGAGACTCCTTACGGGGTCCTCACTGCGAGATCACATTCACCCGGTGCTTTACCAGCAGCACTGGCTCCCGGTGGAGTGCAGGATCAGGTTCAAGGTGCTGGTTTTAACCTTCAAAGCCCTATACGGCCTAGGACCCACGTACCTACGGGACCGCCTCTCCTGGTATGTCCCACGGAGGACCTTACGGTCTTCAAACAAAAACATCTTGGAGGTCCCGGGCCACAGGGAGGTTAGGCTGGCCTCAACCAGAGCCAGGGCCTTTTCGGCTGTGGCCCCAATCTGGTGGAACGCTCTGACACAAGAGACTAGGGCCCTGCGGGACTTGACGTCTTTCCGCAGGGCCTGCAAGACAGAGCTGTTCCACCAGGCCTTTGGCCAAGGCACAGTCTGAACCCCTCCTCTGATAATCCTCACAGAAATCTAGCCCAATGGTTGCCATTAATTTGATTTGAACTGATTTTATAATGAAATGATTTTAGAATGTTGTATCATGTTACTGTTATTAGCCGCTCTGAGCCTGGCTTCGGCTGGGGAGGTTGGGATATAAATAAAATTTTATTATTAATAATTATTATAATAAATACAAAGGTGTGAGGGAAACTCTGGCCCTCCAAATGCTGCTGAACTACAACTCCCATCATTTCTGGCCATTAGCCATGCTTGCTAGGGCTGATGGGAGTTGTAGTTCCGCAACCTGGTCCGGCTGGATCTTGGAGACAGCTGAGCAAAGGGACCTAGTGGCAGGACCCAAACAAAGGCCTTGCTCTTTTTTTTTCATTTGTTGAAAGCATTTATATCCTGCTCTTCAATCAGCATGGCTCCCTGAGTGAGTAAAGACACACACACATAGTCCCTGCCCTCAGGCTTAGAATAATAATTTAATAATAATAATAATAATTTATTATTTGTACCCCGCCCATCTGGCTGGGTTTCCCCAGCCACTCTGGACGGCTTCCACAAAAACCAAAAATACACTAAAATATCACACATTAAAAACTTCCCTGAACAGGGCTACCTTAAGATGTCTTCTGAATGTCAGGTGGTTGTTTATCGCTTTTACAATGGGAGGGCGTTCCACAGGGCGGGCGCCACTACTGAGAAGGCCCTCTGCCTGGTTCCCTGTAACTTGGCTTCTCGCAATGAGGGAACCGCCAGAAGGCCCTCGGTGCTGGACCTCAGCGTCTGGGCAGAACGATGGGGGTGGAGATGCTCCTTCAGGTATACTGGGTCGAGGCCATTTAGGGCTTTAAAGGTCAACACCAGCACTTTGAATTGTGCCTTTAAAAAAGGCACGACACAAAAGGAAAACAGGATGAGGAGGGAAGAGGTGAACAAGCACACCCAATCCTTGATGTCTCTTAGGAAAAAATGACCAGCAGGTATTAAATTAAAATTCTTTTTCTTTCTTTTAAAGCAGACAACATCAGCTTGCGTTGGCCCGCTGAGATACGTACCTATCACTCCAAGCTTGTACCTAAACATAAGTGTGATGCCAATGGGAAGCCCAATGGTGTAATAGCCGATGGCGTTGGCGATGGCACCAATCTTCTGCTTTCCGGCTCCTCTCAGTATTCCGCCGCACGTGGCCTGGAGAGGGGATGAGAAGGAGAGAGGGCTAAAATTATGCCAGTTCAGCAAAAGTGTCAGCGTGGTAGAGCGTCAAGACCCTGGCCTACCTCAAAGAGTTGTTTTTCTCCCTTAAAAATAAATAAATATTAAAGTTTGAAAAAATACAGAGATTAATATCCAATATCTTTTTATCAAAGATAAAAAAAACTAATCCAAATAAAACAGAAACCAAAATGAAGAAAGGAGAAGGGGGAAAAGAAAGAAAAGAAAGAAAGAAAGAGAACTTCCGATTCTTCGTCTGTCAGCTATATATAGAAAATTATTTAAAACGGAGTGGATGTTATCTTGAACACTCAATGGTTCTATAAACCAATGTTTTATTTAAACCCAGATATCAACAGATATCAACAGTGACAGCAGCCACGAAATTAAAAGACGCCTGCTTCTTGGGAGAAGGGCAATGACAAACCTAGACAGCATCTTAAAAAGCAGAGACATCACCTTGCCAACAAAGGTCCGTATAGTTAAAGCCATGGTTTTCCCAGTAGTGATGTATGGAAGTGAGAGCTGGACCATAAAGAAGGCTGATCGCCAAAGAATTGATGCTTTTGAATTCTGGTGCTGGAGGAGACTCTTGAGAGTCCCATGGACTGCAAGAAGATCAAACCTCTCCATTCTGAAGGAAATCAGCCCTGAGTGCTCACTGGAAGGACAGATCGTGAAGCTGAGGCTCCAATACTTTGGCCACCTCATGAGAAGAGAAGACTCCCTGGAAAAGACCCTGATGTTGGGAAAGATGGAGGGCACAAGGAGAAGGGAACGACAGAGGACGAGATGGTGGGACAGTGTTCTCGAAGCTACCAGCATGAGTTTGACCAAACTGCAGGAGGCAGTGGAAGACAGGAGTGCCTGGCGTGCTCTGGTCCAGGGGGTCATGAAGAGTCAGACATGACTAAACGACTAAACAACAACAATCAACAGTTCCATTTTCTTTTTCACATAGTGACTGTAAGGGGTTACCAATCTTTTGTAAATATTGAAAAATGTTTTTCTCTGATTAAACACGCCAACTTTGCCACCTCAGCCAAGTCCAATAATTTTAACAGGAAAGCTGCTGGAAGGTTCACACTCAGAGGAGAGAGCTGCCTGTTGCTTCCCTGTATGAGTTCTCGCTTCTGTCCAAAAGGCAAGCTCAGAACAGGCTTAAGAACACGCATCAAAGTCCCTCAAGCGAGGGAAACGCTAACGTAAATAAACTAGGGTTGTGTGCACTTAAGATAATAACATAAATTAAGACCCGGTCCTAGTTCCCCTATGTTGTTGTTGTTTAGTCGTTTAGTCGTGTCCGCCTCTTTGTGACTCCATGGACCAGAGCATGCCCGGCACTTCTGTCTTCCACTGCCTCCCGCAGTTTGGTCAGACTCATGTTTGTAGGTTCGAGAACACTGTCCAACCATCTTGTCCTCTGTCGCCCCCTTCTCCTTGTGCCCTCCATCTTTCCTAACATCAGGGTCTTTCCCAGGGAGTCTTCTCTTCTCATGAGGTGGCCAAAGTCTTGGAGCCTCAGCTTCACGATCTGTCCTTCCAGTGAGCACTCAGGGCTGATTTCCTTCAGAATGGAGAGGTTTGATCTTCTTGCAGTCCATGGGACTCTCAAGAGTCTCCTCCAGCACCATAATTCAAAAGCATCAATTCTTTGGCGATCAGCCTTCTTTATGGTCCAGCTCTCACTTCCATACATCACTACTGGGAAAACCATGGCTTTAACTATACGGACCTTTGTTGGCAAGGTAACGTCTCTACTTCTCAAGATGCTGTCTAGGCCTGTCATTGCCCTTCTCCCAAGAAGCAGGCGTCTTTTAGTTCCCCTTAGATGACAGCAAATCCCACTGAATTCAGTAGGAATTACTTCCGAGTAGACATGCTTAGGACTGCATTGTCAAAGTCACTGGAAAGGAAAGCTGCTTATATTGGGCAAGCTGAATCCATTTGCACAACTCCTCTCCCTTTACATTCCATCCGAAAATTATTTGTGAGCAGTTTTTGCTTGCTGGGGCTGGGGCAGTGTTGGGAGAATATCCACAGGACAGGAAAAAACTAGATCTCCAAACACTGGAAAGATTTATTTGGCAGCTGAAGATTGTCTGGGCGAATGGCTTCAAAAATATGTTTATGAACATGAGGTCTAGAAGCTTGCTAAGTTTAGTTGAGAAAAGGAAAAGGAAGAACCACATTCTGTGCTTGTGCTGCCCCCTAGTGGAACTACGGGGTTTGCAGCCACACAGCCCTGGGTACCAATTCATGCTGTATTGAACTCACCGCTATTGCATCCAGCAGATGGAAAGGGGCGAAAATCATCATCACTTTGGCAACCAGGGCGATGATCTCTCTGTCGGGGAGGAAAGACAGGACTGAGAATGGGCAAGGAAAGAAGGTGAGCTTTTTTTTTTGGTAGAGGTTTTTTTTAAAAAAGCATTATTTCATTTTATAACGTATATAAAACAGAGATAACAACAGACAAAAATTAAAAGATGAAAAACAAAGCTACAAAAAAGGCACATAGGATGAGTCCAGTTTAACATGGGTTAAAATAACCAAGTCCCAGTAAAGAATATCAGTGGTATCAGATGAACTATAGTTTTGCATTTGCCAGGCTTACAAAAGGGTTGCTTTGGAAAAGATGTCTCTGTTGTATAGGTAATAAAAGAATGCCAAATCAAATAAATATATGTTTGGATGTTCTAGTCCCTGTCAGAATCTCAAGTTTTGTGTAATTTTCTCCACTATCATTATGTATTATTGATTGCTGTTTTGTTCTTCTTTAATGCATTTTGTGTTTAAACTTCTTCTTTGGCGACCACTCTTAGCTGAGTAAGATTGTCTTCCATAAACACGGTTTTAACAGTGAGTCCGTAAGTGACTGTGGAGGCCAATTCTGGATCCACACGTCCTTCCACAGTGGGGACATGGGTTTCCAGGTGGGAGTTGATCATGGTGTGGGTTTGCCAAGTGTGCCTTCCTCCTAGCACGTTTCTCCCTTGCGTCCTGAGTTCGAGTGTCTTCAAAGCCCATGTCACCTTTGGCAAAGGCTGTTCTCCAACTGGAGCGCTCGCAGGCCAGCGTTTCCCAGTTGTCGGTGTTTATACCACATTCTTTTGAGAGAGTCTTTAAACCTCTTTTGTTGACCACCAACATTACACTTTCCATTTTTAATTTTTGGAGTTTTAGGACCACTGAGCGGTCTGCCGATTTGCCCAGATCAATGCCGAAAGAATTTCCTGCTCCGAGTTTGAATTACCTACCTGTCGCTGGTAAAGACGTAGGCTACCACGTCCTTTACGGCTGCCAGGAGGCCAGCAAACACCATAGCAAACACACCTGGGACAGGAGAGACAGATCAGATCAGAAGCATTTTTTAATAATAATAATAATAATAATAATAATAATAATAATTTATTTGTTCCCAGCCACTCTGGGCAGCTTCCAACAAAGACCAAAAATACACTAAAATGTCACACATTAAAAAAATGCAGCAGTATTTAAAGAGCTCCTCTGGCAATGGTCTGAATGTGCCTCAGAGGTAGCACATCTCTCATGCCTGGGTGGGGGAATCTCAGGTCTGAATGCGGCCCTCCGTGGCTCTCTGTCCGGCCCTTGGGACACTCCAGGCTCCGCCTCCCCCAAGCCCCGCCCCTTTCCCAAGATGGTTCTGCAGGATGGCCGATAGGAATGGGTGCGTAGAAACCCCTTGCACCTGTTCTTTCACCCTCTCTCTCTCTATCTCTTTGTCTCTGGCCCTTCCCATCACTATCACACGGCCCCCAGAAGGTCGCCTGTGAGAATATGCAGCTTTCAGATTGGGGGGAGGGAGAGGGTTCTCTTCCCCTGAGCTTAGGGGACGCTGCCCCTTTAAGGATGAACCCTTCCTGGGAAAGAGAGCTCCGCCCACTACCAGAGGGACTGGGACAGCCTTAAAGAGACATACACACCCGTGCAGAGGAGCCCCGTGATGCAGGACAGTTTGGCTTGCTGGACGTCACCGGCCCCCAGGGCGTTCCCCACTCGGACGCTGGAGGCAACGCTCATGCCTTGCGGTAGCTGGTGGGGCGACAGGAGAGGGGATTAACCAAGGGGGCAAAATATTCTGTAGTCAAAGGGAGTGAGGAGCGAAAGCGACAGCCCCTTTAAGGCTAAAAAAAAAGGACAGTCGATGCTCGTGTTGTGAACGTGATCCGTCTGGGATGCATGTTCGCAACCCACAGCGTTCGCAACCCGCAGCCGTGCGTCTGTGCAGGTTGTGATTTGGCGCCTCTGCACATGCGCAAAGCGCAATTTAGCACTTCTACACATGCACGGCTGCCGAAACCCAGAAGTAACCCATTCCAGTACTTCCGGGTTTCAGCGGGTCCGTAATCCGAAAAAACGCAACCTGAAGCAGCTGTAACCTGAGGTATGACTGTATTTGGAGAGTTTATTTTTTGAAGTTGTGTGTTGGGGGGGAGAGAGAAGATGGCCCCAACAGTGCAATTCTAGGGATGTTTACTCAAAAGTGTGTGGCGATGCTTATTCAGTAAGCACATTTATTTTGTTTCGTAAAATTTACATGCCGCTGAATTGTAAAACGGAACACAAAACCACACACACACGCCGCAAGGCGGTTTACAAAAATATCGAAGCAATGAAATTTTCAGCAACCGACCCCTCCTCCCAGTTAAAAACAACTATTTAAAAGCTTCAAAAATAATTAAAATCAACAAAAAGCTTTTTTTAAAAAAAACAACCGGATTAAAACACAGGTCATTATTCTACAGGACTGGACAGGCTTGCCTAAAATAATGTTTGGAGGAGGCACCGAAATGTGTACAGTGAAAGAAGCTGTCTGATGTCTACAGGCAGGGAGTTCCCAAGGGTAGGTGATGCCACACTAAAAGAACGATCTCTTAAAAGTTTGAAATGAGTGTATCTGTGCCAGTTCTACAGATCGAAGGGCATATAGGGAGTGAAGCATTCCCACAAATAAACTGGTCCCAGGCTGTTAAGGGTTTTATAAACCAATAGGATTTGTTTTAATTTTCATTATGTCTTTTGTGCTTTTTCTATTGTAATTTTATTTTGTGAAGCACCCTGAGATCTACGGGTATCAGGCGGTATACAAATTTCATTAACAACAGCAACAACTTGAATTTGGCCTGGCAATGAATCAGTGCAGATCTCTGATTGGGGTGATTCATGCCAAAAAAAAGGCTGCAAAATAGTGTTACAAGGTATAAAAGCCCAAGTTGTGGAAACCACTAAGGTATAACAAATACCTGCAATGAGAATTCAAAATAAAAAGGTGTCACTGGAACAACAGCGGCAATTTTTATAAAAAAGGGAGATTCGAGTGATGAGATAAAGGCACGGCGAGTTCTAGCCGAAAATGGCTCACTCCGTACAAGGAAATTCAATTCCTCACCAGATATGCGACCGTGGCCAGTTCGTAGATGATGGACTGAGCGCCCAATTCGACCACGCTGATCATGCCTTGGGGAGGACAGAGGAAGAAAAGGAATTATGGAGGAGAACTGAAAGCAGGTGAGTCATCAGAGGCCAAAAAGGAGGAGGCGGGAGATGCTGGTCTTTAGACTTAATGGCAGACGTGTGAATGGGTAGGAGGTGCTGGCCTGGTCCAATTGGACAAATCTCACTCTCTGCACCAACAAGAATGAATGAATGAATCTTTATTTGCGTCAGCCATCGGCCATAGCAGTAAAACAACAATATGATATACAAAGCACAGAAATAAAAAGTTAATTATATAAAATACATTTTTGGGTTTTGAATCAATAGTCAAATAGCGGATCTTATTCTGATTGCCCCAGCTAAAAACCTTGCAACCTTTGCCGTCACCTGCTCATCTTGATCTGCGAAGAGAAAGGACACTGGGGCGGTGGTTGGGCGACCCGGAATGGACAGCAAAAGAGGGGTGATAATCTCCTTCCTCAAGTCTCTATAAGGAGTGCAAGCCAGAAGGGCATGCGCCACCGATTTGGTACTGCCATCTCCACAGGGGCAAAAGTGCTTTTCATGTGGAATCTGTTGGAATCGTCCCTCGAGTCCAGCCGAGGGCGATACATTCAATCTTGCGAGAGTAAAAGCGCGTCTATATTTTAGAATTGCTAGGTTATGCAGATCGGGTGCCAGAGTGTCGAAATGGGAAGGTGGAAAATAGTCATGCCATGAGCAAAATTCATTTATTGTGGCCAAGTTATTCTGACGCTCGGTATCATTTAAAGGTAAAGGGACCCCTGACCATTAGGTCCAGTCGTGGCCGACTCTGGGGTTGCGGCGCTCATCTCGATTTATTGGCTGAGGGAGCCGTCGTACAGCTTCCGGGTCATGTGGCCAGCATGACTAAGCCGCTTCTGGCGAACCAGAGCAGCGCACGGAAATGCCGTTTACCTTCCCGCCGGAGTGGTACCTATTTATCTACTTGCACTTTGATGTGCTTTCGAACTGCTAGGTTAGCAGGAGCTGGGACCGAGCAACGGGAGCTCACCCCGTCGTGGGGATTCGAACCGCCGACCTTCTGATCAGCAGGCCCTAGGCTCTGTGGTTTGATCCACAGCGCCACCCGCGTCCCTCTTCGGTATCATTTAGGCGCTGACAAATTAGACCGATAGCTTTACTAAAACCCAAAGCGAGTAGCTGTTGTGGTGATAAACCACAAGAGTGAAGCTTTGGATAGACAATTTTAGACTTGTGACAATCTTGTAGCGCTAGGGATATCACACCAGGGGGATTTGAGTTTAGGAGAAGCCAATAGTTAAAGTGTCTTGCGACAGATCCGTAATTCTACAGAGGGAAGATTAGCCTCTGGGCGCAATGATGCGTTTGGGGCACCAGCAAGACTTGAGGGAACAGGGAGCCCGATCTGTGCTGCTCTGCAGTGCCGCCATTGGTCGTGGCGAGAAAGGGGTACTGCGGTTTGTTGACGTGGCATGGTACGAAGCAGGGGAATGGAGATGCAGGACAGGGAAGCAGACAGAGACACGGCCTTAGCCTCACCTGCCAGGAAGCTGCCGATCTCAAATGTCCACCACTCGATGCAGATCATCAGCATACTAGGGAGGGCCAGGCGGACGAAGGAGCCCCACTCCTGCAAGCAGTCGAGCGTCCAGCCTGCAAGAACCAGCAGAAAGAGGCTTCCAAATTCCCGAAGCTTTGATTGGGCGCTTGTCACGTGACCCACCCTGACCTATCACTTCGAAGGTTCTCCCTTAAAAGGCTTTTCCCCCACTGCAGTCGCCTGCAAACTGCACAGGGCGTGGGAGTGCCAGGGAGGTTTTGTTCTCCCCTCCTTCCACGCCGCCTTCTCGAAGGCAAAAATTAAAAAAAATATCCCCCAGGTTTAATGCCTCGCAGAGAGCCCAGGGGTGGGTGTCACAGTTATAGTGCTGGACTAGGGACCTCGGAGGCCACAGTTCAAAAAACCCCTCAGCCACCGGGTGACCCTTGGGCTGGCCGCTGTTTCTTAGCCTAGCCTAGCCTCACAGGGTTGTTGAGAGGAAATAAAACGGGGGGGAGACAGAATGGCCTTCTTTGAGCTCCTTGGAGGAATGGTGGTATATAAATTTTAATAAAAAGCCATTGATAATAATAATAATAATAATAATAATAATAATAATAATAAATAAAGGGTACCCCTGCCCATCAGGGCCAGTCGCCACACACGGAAACGCCGTTTATCTTCCCGCCAGAGCAGTACCTATTTATCTACTTGCACTGACGTGCTTTCGAACTGCTAGGTGGGCAGGAGCTGGGACTGAACGACGGGAGCTCACCCCGCCGCGGGGATTTGAACCGCCGACCTTTCGATCGGCAGGTCCTAGGCTCTGTGGTTTAACCCACAGCGCCACCCGCGTCCCAATAATAATAATAATAATAATAATAATAAAATACCTCCCCAGGTCTCCTTGTGTATCTTCTTCCACCACACATACAGGAAGAGGAGGAGGGCCTGCAAATTCTGAGACAGCGTGTTGGCCCACGCAGAGCCCCTGTGAAACAGCGAGGGAAAATTGAAGCAAGTTGGGAGGAAGGAATAATTGAGAGAATGTCAGGTTCGGTTTTTCTTTAGGCTGGTGGTCCTATTAACACGTTGCCATGTAGTTTTATGAGTGGGTGGCGGCAGATTTCTTTGCAATCATGAGAACCAGAAACTTAGCTTTCATTTAAAAAAATATTGGGGAGGAGATATTAACAGTAGTAGTAATAATAATAATAATTTTATTTATACCCCGCCCTCCCTGGCCAAAACCAGGCTCAGAGCGGCTAACATCAAATATATATCACCATAAAATCAAGCAATCAATTAAAATACAACCTAAAACCAAATCGGATGCAAAATGAAATCCAATCAGATGGCAACCCGCAAATTAGGAATGGGGACCTTAAATGCACACAGATATGTGTGCCCGGGCCGTAACACAGCAGATAAAACACTCCCACTGCCCCTGGTTGCCTAGCACTGAAATAAGCCAGCGTGTCATAGAATCATAGAATTGTAGCGTGGGAAGGCACCCCAAAGGACATCTAGTCTGACCCCGTCCACACCAAAACGGCTCACAGAGTGGATATCAAAGAAGGAGGGTGTCTACAGCCTGTTGCTTCCCCTGTTGCAGAGGCAAGGGTGGGAAATGCCCGTTTTGAGGGTCGCAGCCCCGTGATATCCTGTGGGGCGCGGGGTCACCACGAGCAAAACTTTCCCCGGTGATCTTACAGGTCTACGCAGGGGCAAACCGGATCCCAAGCTGTCCAGGAATTTCCATCTTAGCAACAAGACCTGAACCCTGAACCCCGAACTTACACCACTCCCAGCCCAAAGGAGTAAAGGAAGACGGTGTTCATGATCACGTTCAGGATATTGGCCACGACGCCCGTGATCACCTGGGGCAGGAGGATAGCCTGGGATTGGGGGGGGAGAAAGAGGGAAAATTAAGCACACCGCCCCAGCCAGCCAGCCTGTTCCCACACCCAGGTAAGGCTCCCAGTTTGTATCTCCCCACCTCCCTCAACCTCCAAACCCTGGAGGAATTGCCCTCAGGCATGGATCCCTTTGGGGAAAGGTTGACAAAAGATTTGGAAAGTCTCTCCAGCATCTCTCTCTGCCCCAGCCCCCCCCCCAGCAGTCTTTAATGGTTCAAAATGTGCTTGACTGTGTTAGGTTGCTAAGAATAAATCAGACGAGAAGCTGGGAAAGGGCGCCTGACCTCCCCCTACCCTACCCCACTCCAAAAACACGTTTAATAATAATAATAATAATAATTTATTTATACGCCGCCCTCCCCAGCCAAGACCGAGCTCAGGGCAGCTAACACCAGGTATAAAACAATCGATTAAAATACAACTTAAAAACAAGATTAAAATACAACATTAAAATGCAGCCAGCCTCGTTTCAGCAGAAACTCGAATCAAAAACTTTTTGGGGATGAAAACGTCAAATCCTCACCAAAGCCAACTACCCAGACTGTCCAAAATGCCAAAGGAAATGTTTGCACAACCTCCTTGGCACAGCAATGACCCCCCCAACCCCCCCCTAAGCAGGTGAATGGGTCCATACCTGGCTTTGCAAGTAGCGGGTTTGTAGCTGATAGATGAAAGCTGCCTGGAGGGGGGTGGGTGGGAAATAAACCACAAAACCGTGTTGGATTAGATTTCTTTCGGCGGCAGCTTGCCTTGAGCAACTGGGCCCCAAAGAGACCTTTGCCCTTGCCCCAGATGATTCCCAGCATTCCCAGTTAATTCCCAGTTTGGACTGGGATGCCACAGAGCGTGTTGGCAGATTAGCCCAGGGGGACCTCTCTCACCTCCTGTTCTCTAGGAGGCCAAACAAATACCCCAGTGGGAAGGCCCTAAGCAGGATTCGAACTCTCCACCCTCTTGCAATTGCCGGCAGCTGCCTCCAACCGCAGAGACGGATCATAGGTGTCATGGCCCATCGACAGCATTGCCCTCCCTGGATTTGCCTGCTTCCAAATAGCCATGACAGGGACGTGGGTGGCACTGTAGGTTAAACCACAGAGCCTAGGACTTGCTGATCAGAAGGTCGGCGGTTTGAATCCCTGCGACGGGGTGAGCTCCCGTTGCTCGGTCCCAGCTCCTGACAACCTAGCAGTTCGAAAGCGCGTCAAAGTGCAAGTAGATAAATAGGTACCGCTCCGGCGGGAAGGTAAATGGCGTTTCCCTGCGCTGCTCTGGTTCGCCAGAAGCGGCTTAGTCCTGCTGGCCACATGACCCGGAAGCTGTATGCCGGCTCCCTCGGCCAGTAAAGTGAGATGAGCGCTGCAACCCCAGAGTCGGCCACAACTGGACCTAAGGGTCAGGGGTCCCTTTACCTTTAAATAGCCATGACCCGCAAACCTCAAAATCCTGCTGTGCATTTTGACTTGCTTTCGGAAGCTTCCCAGAACTATATGGGAAAACGCCGGGGTGTGAATCAGTTTCTAAATGAAGGACTAACATCTGAGCCCCACCTCTGAGACACAGTTCCCTGAAGCGAATTTAAGGCGCTTCTGAAATCTCAATTGTTTTAATTGCAAGTGTAAACGGGAACAAGGAATCTGGGGTGTGGGGGGTGCAGAAAGGAAAGAAGGGGAGGTTTTTTATTTTTTAAAAAATAAAACACTTACTGGGAGTGCTGGAATAAATATCATCACGTAAACCTGAGTCAACCTGCAATGAAAGACATCGACAGAAATTTTATTTTTCTTCCCAGGCACAGCGGATAGGAACTTAACAGGTTCATTGGTTGCATCGGAAGCTCACAGGTCTAGGAGAATCCAAAGCAGGGATTTAACTCTGCAGATAGTTATCCAGAGGTAGACTGCTCTCAGATCTGGAGGCTCCAGTTCATGCCATTATTCATCCGTCTATCATTCCGTTTATAGTTCACCTTGTCCTCCGAGGAGCTTGAAGTGGTGTGCATAGTTCTTCCCCCCTCCCTCTTTAAGCCTCACAACAACCCTCAGGGTAGGTTTATAGCAGGCTTCTTCAACCTTGGCCCTCCAGGTGTTTTTTGGCCTACAACTCCCATGTTCCCTAGCTAGCAGGACCAATGGTCAGGGATGATGGGAACTGTAGTCTCAAAACAGCTGGAGAGCCGAGGTTGAGGAAGCCTGGTTTATAGCTAAAGCAAACCAGTCTTCTAACTTTCAACATGTTGAAATATACATTTTTTTAAAAACCAGAAGCATTTTTACTTGGTATTATAGGTCAGGACATTGATAGGCAAGATGTCAAACTGTTCTTATATGCAACAACTGCGGCAAGAGTATTGTTAGCCCAGAAATGGAAACAAGAAGAAATTCTGACAAAAGAAGAACGGCAGACGAAATTAATGGACTATGCAGAATTGGACAAAATGACAGGAAGGATTCGAAACCTGCGGGACCAGAGATTTGCAGAAGATTGGAAGAAGTATATGAATTATTTGAAGAGCAACTGTAATCAACAAATTACGCTAGTAGGACTACAATTAGTTTTTTACGGAGAAATATATGAAGTGTTATAAAGTAGAAAAAGATAGAGATATTGGTTATGAGTTTGAAATGTAATAAGGAAGATAAGAAATGCATACTGAGAGATTAGGTTGGAAAATTTTCAGACAGGATTGATGGAAGTCAAAAATTTGAATAAGATGTAAAAGTATGTTTAATTACTGTTGACAATGATAAGTTAAAAAAAACTTTAAAAAAATTATAATAACCCCCCCCAAAACCAATCTTCAGGTTTTTTGTGACCGGGAGAAGTTCTGAAAATGTTTTTGTTTTTTTTAATCAGGTGTTTCTGCTCACCTGAAGGCTGGTTTGAGGTCCTGAAGATGTCTCTTGAGAAAAAGAGAGAGAGGGAGAGGGAGTTCTCAAACCCCAGGAAGGGGAGCATGTGAGAACAGAAGGGAGCGATCGCAGGAAGTGCAGAATTATTTCTGTCCTGAAAACCGAATTACTCAAAAGCACAAACCGGCTACAAACTGGGGATCAGCTCTTTTTAAGTTCCTAGCCCTTAAGGACGCAAAGACCAAACTTGTGCTGAAGCGTCAGATTGTAAAAAAAAAAAAAACCCAAAAGATTCCGGGAAAGGTGAATTTTTCAGATTGATGGGAGGCTGACCTTATCACTTTGCCCAGCTTCCTTCCAGATTCTCAGGACAGCTAGAAGAGGTTAAATCAAGCTCATTAAACAGTACAGGTGTGAGCATCCTTGCTCAAAAGTAGGTTGCTCTGAGTAGGACTAGCGCTCTAGCAAGTGTTAAGGATTTCAGCCCTTGGGCCTTGCACAGTGGCACAGTTTTGCTTCAGAACCTGTGCTTTATAATAATAATAATTTATTACTTATACCCCAGCCACTCTGGGCGGCTGCCAACAGAACATAAAAAACACGATAAAACATCAAACGTTAAAAACTTCCCTAAACAGGGCTGCCTTCAGATGTCTTCTAAAAGTCAGATAGTTGTTTATTTCCTTGACATCTGGTGGGAGGGCGTTCCACAGGGCGGGTGCCACCACCGAGAAGGCCCTCTGCCTGGTTCCCTGTAACCTCACTTCTCACAGGGAGGGAACCGCCAGAAGGCCGTCGGTGCTGGACCTCAGTGTCTGGGCAGAACGATGGGGGTGGAGACGCTCCTTCAGATATACTGAACCGAGGCGTTTAGGGCTTTTAAGGTCAGCGCCAACACTTTGAATTGTGCTGGGAAACGTCCTGGGAGCCAATGTAGGACTTTCAAAACCGGTGTTATGTGGTCCTGGCGGCCACTCCCAGTCACCAGTCTAGCTGCCGCATTCTGGATTAATTGCAGTTTCCGAGTTACCTTCAAAGGTAGCCCCACGTAGAGCGCATTGCAGTAGTCCAAGCAGGAGATAACTAGAGCAAAGAGCCTCGGCAGGGGAGTTTTCCAGTTTTACTTGCAGCTCACGTAAAGGCTGGAAAACCTTAAGGACTAGGAGCTTGGAACCGATTTGGAAAACAGTGTCAGGAGACGGGAAGAGGGAAGAGGTTTGAGGAAAAGCTGCGAAGGGTGGATCACAGCTCCCCACTCCCCACCCCCTCCTGAGATGTTTGCTGTAAAGGTGTGTGTGCATTTGCATGCAAGGAGCGAGCGCAACTAACCTGGAGACTTCTGGGTCCTGCCTGCAGAGAAGCAGGATCTGCTCCGTGTTGATGAAGAAGGCCCAGCAGGGGAAGCAGAAGAGGAGCAGGATGAGGATCCCCCGTTGCAGGATGGTGCCCACGCGCTTCACGTTCTTGCTCCCGTACGTCTGATTTTTTTAAAAAGCAGGAAAGCAAAAATTAAATCAGCCGCTGCTCCTTGCACCGCTGCAAAGTTTTCCCCCAATTTTGGCTGTTATTCACTCAGGGGAAGGGGAGAAACTTGGGAATTTGGATGAAACCCTCCTGGCGTCCCTGATAAGAGGCGAGGTGGCCTCCTCAGGGACGTATTGCACCCCTCTCCAGGTGTGCCATGTGGCATAGTGGTTAGAGCCCTTGCTTTGCAAGCAGAAGCTGTGAGGTTCAATAATAATACAGCAGTACCTCGGGTTACATACACTTCAGGTTACAGACTCCGCTATCCCAGAAATAGTACCTCGGGTTAAGAATTTTGCTTCCGGATGAGAACAAAAATCGCACAGCAGCGGTAGCGGGAGGCCCCATTAGCTAAAGTGGCACTTCAGGTTAAGAACAGTTTCAGGTTAAGAACGGACCTCCAGAAAGAATTAAGTACTTAACCCGAGGTACCACTGTAATTTTATTATTTGTGTCCCAGCCACTCTGGGCAGCTTCCAACAAAATATAAAAACACAGTAAGACATACACCCAACGTTTAAAACTTCCCCGTACGGGGAAATATAATCCTTGGCATCTTGAGGGTTTTTTAAAAGGATCAGCTAGCCAGGTGATGGGGGAAAGAGCCTGGGGAGCTGCTGCCAACCAGAGCAGGGAATACTGGGCTAGGTGAGTATAAGAAGTCAGACATGGTACTGAGGAGCTCCCTATGTGGTGTTCGGACATACCTGGGACATGAGAGTGTCACAGACAGATGCCAATCCGGTGCCCACGGAAATGCCAATCACATTGATGACCTGGGAGGCAGGAATGATGAGAGAAAGGGAGGGTGTCAGGGTCAGTGGAAGAACAACTGCTTGGCACGCAGAAAGTCCCAGGTTCGGATCCCAGCGGCATCTCCAGCTACAGCTGGGAACGCCCCCTGCCCGAAACTCTGGAGAGCTGCTGCCAGCCAGTGCAGACAACACTAGATAGGCCATTGCCCCAGCTCAGGATATATGACAGCTTCCTGGGTTCCTAACGAAATCAGCTCCCATTGTTCAGAACCACGCGGAGCTGCCACTTGACTCTTAAGGGAAAGATCAGAGTTCCAGGTTCGGCATGTCCGCCATTTCTAGGTAGGGCTGAAACCTCGGCAGGCAGCTGCTGCCAGTCAGTGCAGGCAGTGCTGAAGCAGATGCCCCCTTGGCCCGACTCAGCGTCAGCAGCTTCCTGCGTTCCTCTTGAAATCAGAACAATGAGGACTGGGATCTTAGCAAGAGGCAGCCCAGGGGTCTAGCTGAGTGCAAGGTAGCTCTTGCGGGACAGGGCCTTACGTACCGATACAGCGAGGGTGACGGCATCCAGCTCAACTTTGCCCAGGTGGCCGCAGAAGATGGAGCTCACCACGCTGATCAGGAAGCCCAGAAGCTGCGCCACAAACTAAGAAGGAAGGGTAAGGGGTGAGCGCATCCCATCGCCAAGCACACAATTAAACTGTGGAACTCAGTCCTGCAGGAGGCGGTGGCGGCAGTGGTGTAGCATGGGGCAGCTGCCCGGAGCACAAAATTCTTCTTCTTTTTTATTAAATTTTCTGTTTTACAATATTCATTTAAACAACCTTAAAATATCAGTCGCTTCCCTTCTCTTTCCTTTCGCATAACGTAAATCCCTGCATATTTTATATTCGTAGGGGCGCAAAATTTCAGAAGGCAAAAAAGAAGTGGTAATAATGAATAAAAACATAGCTTGCCCTCCCCCTCGTTGCATAAATCTGTGCCACGGGCCCCTAATGTCATCTAGGCCAACCCGCTACAATGTGCTAACCACCTGCAATTTTAATAATAATAATAATAATAATAATAATAATAATAATAATAATAATTTATTTATACCCCACCCACCCCAGCCAAGACTCAGGGCTCAGGGCGGCTAACACCCGATATAAAACAAATTGATTGAAATACAACTTAAAAACAATATTAAAATACAACATTAAAACATTAAAATACAGCCTCAATACTCCAATACTCTCACTTAGAAAATCTCCCAATGTTCACGTGAGTAGATTAAGGAGACCGTCTGGGCGGTGGCTGGTTGCCAGGGTGCCCTCTGCAGGCTTTGGAAAGATTCCCACTTGGGTAGATCACTGAGCTGTTGCCCCTTCGTCCCAGCCTATCGGCAGACTGTGCCAGTGCTATTTGCCTTGCCCCGGGCACAGGCAACCCACGCTGCGTCACTGAGTGGCAGCCACTAACTCAGACGCCTATAAAAGAGGCTTAGCCACGTTTGCGGAGGTTAAGTCTCTCTGTTGCCACTAGCCACAGTGGTTCTGCTATGCTTCTGTGGTTGGAGTCAGCAGTGTACAAGCCACAGGCTCTCGCACCCGCGTCCTGCTCGAGGTCTTCCTATTGGGGGGCATCTGCTGGACATCACTATGTGAACAGGCCGTCTCCCCACCTTCCGAATGCAAGGTCTCGGCACACGGAACAACCCCGGGTGTTTTGTCACGCAGAGGCTAGCTTTCTACCTGCAGGGAGCCTGCAATGTTCCTCCAAAAAATGGTTCCAAAAAATTTCCATTCCCCCCTCGCGGCTCGCAGAACCTCTCCCGTGTGTCTTGGCCCTGTGGAGTTTGAACTGGCTTTTGGTTCCAGGAACCGGGGCCCGATCCAAAGCGGTGTTTTCTTGTACTTGGGGAAGAGCGCCAAGAGAAGCGGAACAGGTCCCAACAAAGCACAGCTTATGCGAAGCTCAGCACTACCCCAGGGCAGCAATCTTCCGCCCTGACAAGGATCTGGGAGGGGAAAGAGAAAATAAGCGTTTTGTTTCCTGCCCACGGAATGGCAAGGAGAGGTTTATGACAGCAGTCCTCTAATCCTGGACATGCCCTGACACAAATATGTGGATTTTTTTGGGGAGGGTGGGGGGAAGTAGAGAAGAGGCAACGTACTGTTAGCTGAATGGCCTAATCCGGAACACGTCAATAGAGAGACCCAGCAGAGGACAAGAAAAACAGTATTAAAAAGTCAGATCCTTGGCTCCTTTAGCCGAAGGATCAACGTTCCTGCTATTTCCAGGGTTCAGGCGCTGTGTGGAGTTGCAAAATACTCCCCCCGATTTTAAGGTGACCCAAAAACATCTCAGTGAAGACTGAGTGTGCTTGGCGATCCTTGAATGCTGATAGACTGTTGGGAGAAGGGGGAAAGGGAGTGGAGCTCAGTGATAAGAGCATCTGTTTGAACTCAGTCCTGGGTTCGATTTTCGGCATCACCAGGTAGGACTGAGGAAAGACACTGTGCCTAAAACCCTGGAGAGCCGCTACCAATCAGTGTGGACAGCACTGTGCTGGATGGACCAAAGGGTCAACTCATCACAAGGCAGCTTTCTAAGTTCTCACGGGGGTGGGGAGAGAGGGGCTAGAATCTGGAAGAGCAGCACTTCACGCTGCAACATTTTATCGCAGCGCACATTTGTCCTGTTCCTCCCCCCTCAGCTAGGATTGAACCTGGGACTTTTTATGCAAAGCATGTGCTCAAGGAACAAGTCAGACCGTCAGACACACACAGACCCTCAACCCCAGGGCATGAAAGTCTCAAGAGGTGCCATTATCTGGCAGCAAATAACTTCCGACCCAAAGTCAGATGCTTGCAAGATGGACAATGAACAAAAGGCTATTTGGGATTGAAGGAACGGATCCCTCTCCCCCTGTTCCAGAGGGACAGGACAGCTGATCCAAACATAAGATCACACACTTTAAAGTTCAGCATGCACAAGTCCCCAGGTTCTTTCATTCTTCCTTTTTAAGAAAAATGTTGTGATCTGCCAAGCAAATTCAAAATTCTAAGTCTACATTTGTTGTACAGTGGTACCTCGGGTTACATACGCTTCAGGTTCCATAGGCTTCAGGTTACAGACTCCCCTAACCCAGAAATATTACCTCGGATTAAGAACTTTGCTTCAGGATGAGAACAGAAATCGCACGGCAGCAGCGGGAGGCCCCATTAGCTAAAGTGGTGCTTCAGGTTAAGAACAGTTTCAGGTTAAGAACGGACCTCCGGAACGAATTAAGTACGTAACCAGAGGTACCACTGTATATCCTTTTGGCCGAGTTAATTTCATGCGGATATATTTGCCGTGCTGGACCACACGCAAACACACAAATCTGAATCTACGGCCCAGAGCATTTTGCAAGGCTCCTTTGCAAGATAACAAAATCAGCAGGCCTCCTAGGATCTGGGCAAACTCCAGCCCCTTGGTCCTTTGCAAGCAGTGGGGGAGGCGGGGGCCACAGATCGAAGCACACAAGCCTTCCAGGATCTGAACAGACAGGCCAGCAAGCAGCTCCCTGCAAAACCTCAGGTCCCTGGCAAGCGAGCCAAAGAAAATGTGGTGGACAACTCAGTTCTAGGTCCTCCTTGTAAAAGTTGCAAGAGCTCTGCTGCCTTGCCAGCAGAGCCAAGGGGAGCGGAAATCAAGTATCAGAACAGCCAACACCAATATTAGATTAAGAGGCGACTGAGCAGAATAATAAAATATGGGAGTTTCAGTGTTTTTCTTCTAGAAGAAAAGAAAAAGTGAGACGTCATTGTGTGGCCCACTAAACATATTTTTTAAAATGTTTTAAATTATTGTTGTGAGTTCTTTTTACTGATAACATTTTAGCTCTTTTGTAAACCGTTTTGAGGTGGGGTAATTCTTTTCCAATCAAGCAGCGTAAAAATTTCAGGAAGTAGTTGCTTGGCAAGAGGGACTGAACCAATCTGGAAACGGAAGCTCCGTGAGGGAAACTGGGCTAACTCCTAATAATCCCCAGCCCCCTTAACAAACTACAGTTCCCAGAGTCCTTTGGGGGAAGCCATGACTGGGGGAAGCCCTAAACGGCCTCAGTCCTGTATACCTGAAGGAGCATCTCCACCCTCATCGTTCAGCCCGGACACTGAGGTGCAGCGCCAAGAGCCTTCTGGCGGTTTTCTCATTGCGAGAAGTGAGGTTACAGGGAACCAGACAGAGGGCCTTCTCGGTGGTGGCGCCCGCCCTGTGGAACGCCCTCCCATCAGATGTCAAGGAAATAAGCAGCTATCTTATCTTTCAAAGACATCTGAAGGCAGCCCTGTTTAGGGAAGTTTTTAATATTGAATGCTGTATTGTTTTTAACACTCGATTGGGAGCCGCCCAGAGTGGCTGGGGAAATAATATAAATATATTATTATTGTTGTTGTTGTTGTTTAGTCGTGTCCGCCTCTTCGTGACCCCCTGGACCAGAGCATGCCAGGCACTCCTGTCTTCCACTGCCTCCCGCAGTTTGGTCAAACTCAGGCTGGTCTCTTCGAGAACACTGTCCAACCATCTCGTCCTCTGTCGTCCCCTTCGCCTTGTGCCCTCCATCTTTCCCAACATCAGGGTCTTTTCCAGGGAGTCTTCTCTTCTCATGAGGTGGCCAAAGTCTTGGAGCCTCAGCTTCAGGATCTGTCCTTCCAGTGAGCACTCAGGGCTGATTTCCTTCAGAATGGATAGGTTTGATCTTGTTGCAGTCCATGGGACTCTCAAGAGTCTCCTCCAGCACCAGAATTCAAAAGCATCAATTCTTCGGCGATCAGCCTTCTTTATGATCCAGCTCTCACTTCAATACATCACTACTGGGAAAACCACAGCTTTAACTATACGGACCTCTGTTGGCAAGGTGATGTCTCTGCTTTTTAAGATGCTGTTATTATTATTATTAAAAGCTTAACATGAGTCCATTGTGTGATGCAGCAGCAAAAAAAGCTAATGAGAGCCAGTGTGGTGTAGTGGTTAAGAGCGGTAGTCTCGTAATCTGGGGAACCGGGTTCGCGTCTCCGCTCCTCCACATGCAGCTGCTGGGTGACCTTGGGCCAGTCACACTTCTCTGAAGTCTCTCAGCCCCACTCACCTCACAGAGTGTTTGTTGTGGGGGAGGAAGGGAAAGGAGAATGTTAGCCGCTTTGAGACTCCTTAAAGGGAGTGAAAGGCGGGATATCAAATCCAAACTCTTCTTCTTCTTCTAATGCTATTCTTGCCTGCATCAACAGAAGAAGTCTAGTGTGTGGATCAAGGGAAGAAATAGTCTGACTCTATTCTGCTTCGGTCAGACCACACCTGGAATACTGTGTCCAGTTCTGGCCACCCCAATTTAAGATGGATGTCGACAAGCTGTATGGTGTGCAGAGGAGGGCGACCAAGATGATCAAGGGTCAGGAAACGAAGCCTGATGAGGAACGGTTGAAGGAGCTGGGTATGTTTAGCCTGGAAAAGAGGAGACTAAGAAAAGATATGATAGCCATCTTCAAATATCTTAAGGGCTATCACCTGGAAGATGGAGCGAGCTTGTTTTCTCCTGCTCTGGGGGGTAGGACCTGAAGCAATGGCTTCAAGTTACAAGAAAGGAGATTCCGATTAAACATCAGGAAGAACTTTCTGACAGTAAGAGCTGTTCGACAGTTGAGATTTGTGCGGGTTGGACTAGATGACCCTAGGGGTCCCTTCCAACTATATGATTCTATGAAAGTGGTATGATACAGCTTTAAATGCACTGTGAAGACGGGGGCTTTACTTTTGTACTATAGGCTGCACATTTCAGCCGTGCAGAAGCCAGAGGTTTTCACACACATCTCGCCATCCAAGCAAACAAGCGGATTTTTTATTTTTTTACAGTTCAAGGACACATTCCAAACAGTTAAAGAACTCCAGAAAGGCAGGAAGTGTGGGGCGTGACCTAAGGAGAACATCAAGGGCCAGAAAGAGAGAGCCAGAGGGCCGCATCCGGACCCCCAGGCCTGATATCCCCCCCACCCCTAATCTAGTCTAACCTTCCCCTCTCAATCCGGTGCAGGATCTATAATGCAGGATAAACAATGTTTTCAGCTTTGCCTCGTGGTTTTATCCGGGTGGGTCTTGCTTATACTGTATTGTATTGTTCTGGTGCGAGAGGTCATGGCAAAGGAGCCTGCCCTGAAAGGCAGACTAGAAAATCTCTTTTTTAAGAAAACAAAAGCACTTTCGGTTCCATCGTGTGCCAATTTCCATGCAAAAATAAAGATTTTAAAAAACAGCCATTCGCGTAAGGTTTCGTGCAAGAGGTCACAAGGCTGATCCGGAAAATGAAATGTGTACTTTAGTTTTTAGCGGGTCGTAAAAAGGGCTGAGGGTGGGGTCTCTGGGCCCCAATAAGCTCAGACTTTGGACCCCCCCCTCCTTCCCTTATCAACTAGGGGCGAGTCCACTTTTGGGCAAGGACAAGATAGGGTGGGTCTCTTGAGACCACAGCTGTGGGGAAGACTACCTGCTTTGCATGCAGAAGTTTCAACCTCCAGTGGCATCTCCTGGTAGCGAATGTCCCCTAGCATGAAACTCTGGAAAGCTGCTGCCAGTCAGTGCAGACAACACTGGGTTAAATGGACCGATGAACTGACTCAGCTTAAGGCAGTTCAACTGAAATCAGGCCTTCGTTTAGAACCATGAGGACTGGAACCTTGTTCTGTTTTCAGAGGACGTAGTGCAGTTCTGCCTCTCAACTTCCTCCTTCCCCTCCTCTTCTTTCCTCTTCCCTTCCTCCTGCCTTTCCTCTATTGATTCACCTCTCATTTCATTCTTTTCTTTTTCTCTGCCCTTCTCCCTCCCATTTTCTCATCCTTCATCCTTCTTCCACCCCATGCTTCTCATTTCATCTGCGGGTTGCTTCCAACGCTAGCCCTAATAATAATAATAATAATAATAATAATAATAATAATAATAATAATAATTTATTATTTATACCCCGCCCATCTGGCTGGGCTTCCCCAGCCACTCTGGGCGGCTTCCAAAAGAATATTAAAATACTATAATACATCAAACACTCACTAAGAGTAGACCCATTGAAATGAAGGGGCACTTAGAGCTAACTCACCCATTCTGACGGGGTTAAGCTTGGTCAGAGACAACCCCATTATTTCGTTCCGTCTTTCAAATAAAAATTATACACTGCTTGATTGTGAGAGGGAGAAACTCAGAGCAGTTTGCGAAAACAACGGAACAGTGAGATTTATCAGTAAAAAAAAGTTAGAAACAATTATTTTAAAAAACAGAATTGGCGGTAAACGGAACACTAGATCAAAAGCCATTTCAGCTCTCTACATTTTTATTCCTCCCATTTCTCTCTCCTTCCCTCCCATTTTATTCTCCCCAGATCTCTCTCTGACCCATAGCTGTCAACTTTTCCCTTCTCTTGCAACGGAATCCTATTCGGAATAAGGGAATTTCCCTTTAAAAAAGGGAAACGTTGACAGCTATGCTCTGATCTCTCATTTCTCGGTCTCTCCGCCTCATTCATTGATCCTGACGATCATTCATCCTGCTGCTTCTCTCCCTCTGCCCATTCCGCCCGCACAACAACCCTGCGAGGCGGGCCAGGGGCGCTCTAACCACTGCACCACCGCTGCCCCTTCTTCTCTTTCGGGTCCCCGCCCTCCCCGCCTGCCCTCCTTCCTCACCACGGGGCCGCCGATCTGGACCAGCTCGCGGGCCTCTCGCCAGGCGCCGACGGGGACGAGGCGGCGGAGGCTCCGGCCGCAGCAGGAGGGCGAGGGCGGCGGCGGCGGCGGCGGAGGAGGAGGCAGCGGCCGGATCTCCTGGGGCTCGTCCTCCTCGGCGCCTCGCTTCTCCTCCAGCCTCCGCATCGTCCTCCTCCCCGGCGGGGCCAGGGAGCAGCAGCAACAGCGGCAGCAGCAGCAGGAGCTCCGAGCGGCAGCGCCAACGGCCGCGCCGTCCAGCCCAGCCGAAGCATCGCTCCCCGGCGGCGGCCACGTGCAGCGCAGGCGGGCGGGCCAGGGGGCGGGCGCGCCGAGGGGAATCCCCTTCCCCATTGGGCGGAGCCGGCGGTGACGCGCGCGCCGAGGGAGGGAGGGAGGGGGGAACACCCCGGACCCCGAAATCGGATGGGCCGGCGGGGTCATTTTTATGATTGGTTTCATATTTTGTTGTTGTTGTTGTGGTAAATTAATTAATTACTTGCCCAGCCCTTCACCCAGGGCACGTTACAACCATTAAAACAAAGTATTAAATAGCAAATAGAAAATGTTGATTCAAATTGATTTACTCTATTATCTGCCCTTCACCCTAAGGCCCCAGGGCACACCGCAACAATTAAAATACGATCTTTAAAAATGATTATCAAAGGAGTGAGTGAAGTTTATTATAATTGGTTTTATTTTTATTATTATCAATATTAATTTACTGCTATTCACCATAAAGTCCCTGGGCAGGTCACAACAATCCAAATGCAGTATTAAATAATCATTATTAAATGTAAAAACAAAATTTTAAAAATTCCTTCCAGTAGTACCTTCGAGACCAACTAAGTTTGTTACTGGTATGAGCTTTCGACTATGGCAGACCAACTAGAACTATTAAATGTATGAGTAGAAATGATTATGAAATTAAATTAAATTTATTATTCATATTCATATTCCCTGTCCTTTCCTCCAAGGTGTTTGAGGCAGCATGAGTTAACCCTAACCCTAACCCTAACCCTGTGAGGGAGGTTAAACTCAGAGAAAGGGGAGTGTTTAAACTGGCCCAGGGTCACTTAGTGAGAGCGCATTGGGAGTGGGGGGTTTGAACCCTGTCTAAGGTCAATACTTTCACCCTTATGTCATATTGACTTCCATCTTTTTTTCCATTTTCCATTTTTCTTATTACTGCTATGGCCCACACCCAGCAGCTTACATACCCTCAACATGCAAAGGAATGCAATACAAAACCGCGAAAGCTAAACAGATTATAAGGCGGTGCTACAAAAGTGATTCCGGTTTTGATTTCAGAAGTAAGTCCTACTGGGTTTACTCCAAAGGAAGTATGAGGCTGACTCCCTCGTAAACACCATCAGAGTCACAGAGTTAGTGTGGAGCCAACCCTCTCTAGTCTATTTCATTGGATCACATCACTGAATAATTTCTGGGTAAGAATCAGGCAAACTTCCTATGGAAACATTACTAAATGGCTGGGAATCAGATATTGGGAATAAAATCCAGATTCAATAAATTGTGGGATGCTCCTCAATTAATCTTCCCTCTGTAGAATAACAGATCTGGCACAGGACACTTTAACTACAGTATTGGCTTCTCCTAAACTCAAATCCCCCTGGTGTAATATCCCTAGTGCTACAAGATTGTCACAAGTCTAAAATTGTCTATCAAATCTTCACTCTTGTGGTTTATCACCACAACAGCTACTCACTTTGGGTTTTAGCAAAGCAAGCAGTCTAATTTGTCAGCGCCTAAATGATACCGAAGAGGGACGCGGGTGGCGCTGTGGGTCAAACCACAGAGCCTAGGGCCTGCAGATCAGAAGGTCGGCGGTTCGAATCCCCGCGACAGGGTGAGCTCCCGTTGCTCGGTCCCTGCTCCTGCCAACCTAGCAGTTCGAAAGCACGTCAAAGTGCAAGTAGATAAATAGGTACCACTCTGGCAGGAAGGTAAAATGCATTTCCGTGCGCTGCTCTGGTTCGCCAGAAGCGGCTTAGTCATGCTTGTCAAATGACCCGGAAGCTGTACGTCGGCTCCCTCAGCCAGTAAAGCGAGATGAGCGCTGCAACCCCAGAGTCAGCCATGACTGGACCTAATGGTCAGGGGTCCCTTTACCTTTTACCGCCATTAAAATCCTACCCAGTTCAATCCCTGATTGCTCAACCCAGTTCAATTTCTTCTGAAGTCATATTGAGCTCTGTCAATTTCAACAGGCTTGACTCGAGCTACTCACTCGAAAGCAGCTCTTGACATGCTATATTGCACCCTAAAATATTGGCGATATAAACTCTCTCTCTCTCTCTCTCTCTCTCTCTCTCTCTCTCAAAGCAGACAAACAGTAATCGTTGCCCCTCTCACGCAAGACAACGGAAGACAGATGCAATATGTCTGTGAAAACCTGCCCTCAAAAGGTCAGGGTTGTACGACTGGGGGATTTTTCTTTTCTCAATTTGCCGGTTGCAAATCTCTTGCAAATATTTGCCCTCATTATTCTTCAGCCAATTAAAAGAACACAGATTCTTCCTCCTCTTTCCCCTGCTGAGACAGCTCCTCGCTCTTTGCTTTGCTGCTAACAAACAGAGATAGGTTTTTGGAATCTTTAGAGCCAAAATATCGATTTCCAGACGTTATTTCCTCTATTTTTGTTTAAGATTAACTGAGCGTTTGCTTATTTATTTAGAGGATTTGTGGCTTGTTCCTTCAGCCAAGAAGGCTCCCAGAGTGCCTTGGAAATCAATGAAAGCAAAGACAGTCCCCACAGGCTTATCATCATCATCATCATCATCATCAACAACAACAAAAATGGCACACAAGGAAAAGGGGCAGGGAGGGCAGAGGAAAAAAGCAAACCCAGGCATCAGTTCTTAAATCATAGTTCAGGGTTGCCAGAGGCTTCTAATGGAGTTGATCTTTTTGACGGAGTTCATGGAACAGGCCCTGCTTCCCAGTTCTTCCACTGAGGCAGCCTGATGGTCCATACAACATATACTTTTTTTTGTACAACAACCTGATGAGGCAGGACATGGTAGAGGGTTGTAAGAATTGATGCAGAGCCCTTGCTGGATCAGGCCAAAGGCCCATCTACTCCAGCCTCCACTGAGAGCCAGTATGGGATAGCAGTTAGAGCACCGGACTAGGGCCTGGGAAACCAGGGTTCGAATCCCAACTCAGCCATTAAGCTGACCGGGGTCTGCCTCTCAGCCTATCCTACCTCACAGGGTTGTTGTGGGATTAAATGAAGGGGGAGACCACATACACCACCTTGAGCTCCTTGGAGGAAAAAGATGGGATGTAATAATAATAATAATAATAATGATGATTTTTATTTATACCCCGCCCTCCCTGGCCAGAGCCGGGCTCAGGGCGGCTAACACCAGTAAAATCATAATAGGGGGGAAAACCCCAATTTAAAATGCAATGAGGCTACATTTTAATATTTTAATGTTCCATTATTTTAATGTATTTTATTTTTGTTTTTAAGTTGTAATCATTCATCTTGTTTTTATTATTGTTTGTAAGCCGCTCTGAGCCCGGCCTTGGCTGGGGAGGGCGGGGTATAAATAAAAATTATTATTATTATTATTATTATTATTATTATTATTATTATTATTATTATTATTTTAAAAGTAGCCCATAGATCAAAACCATAAGGGTAACTAAATAAAGCACCCAGTAACTAAATACAGTGGTACCTCAGGTTAAGTACTTAATTCGTTCCGGAGGTCTGTTCTTAACCTGTAACTGTTCTTAACCTGAAGCACCACTTTAGCTAATGGGGCCTCCTGCTGCTGCTGCGCCGCCGGAGCCCGATTTCTGTTCTTATCCTGAAGCAAAGTTCTTAACCTGAAGCACTATTTCTGGGTTAGCAGAGTCTGTAACCTGAAGCGTATGTAACCTGAAGCGTATGTAACCCGAGGTACCACTGCAAACTAAATAATGCAGTAACTAAGTAAAGCACCCAGATTCACACAAGTTCCAAGGAAACAGCCCCAAGGAGCCAACGTGCTGCCTCCAAATACTGTTGAACTACAACTCCCTTCAGCCCCAGCCAGCAGGGCCAATGGTTAGGCAGGAGTGGGAGTTGTAGTATAGCAGCACCCAGAAGGCATCCTGTTGGCGACCTCCAACTAAATCCTGGTGCCCTCTAGATGGTTTGAACTACAAATCCCATCCTCGTCCCTGACTGTGCTGGTCCCTGGCCCTGATGGGAGTTGTAGTCCAAGCCAGGTCAGCAAATATCGAATCGCCAGTCGCAGGAGGCATGAAACGGAGGGTGCGCATTTTATAAGTGACAAAAATGAGCCTGTCTTTGAGGTGTCCATGGATGGCTGGCCAGCACAGAGATTTTAAAAATAATTAACAGAGCAGGGGGCGTTTGAAGCCGATTTATGAGGAGGGAATGCAAACCACCTCAAGGCTTTGGTATGGCAATTCCTACAGGCCTTGGAATCTGGATTCCCTTGCAAGACTTCAGATTGTGCACCGAATGGGGAGGCGAGGGGGCGCTCAGGTGTCAAAATGCGGCCTTTGCCCTCCCTTAATCCAGTGAACTTGGCCATTCATTAACACATCCAGGTCAAAGAGCACATTAATACGGATTGGCCCTTGCTGGCGTTTACACAGGCGGCTTAGGGACCAGCTCCAGTATCACGTCCGGAGGGGGGTTGGGTGTCAGCGTGCAAAAGGTCTCCGGTAGAAGATCCTGCTGGATCAGGCCAGTGCCCCATGTGGTCAAGCATCCTGATCTCACAGAAGCTGACTAGATGCCCATAGGAAACCGGATCTGGGGGAACAAGCCTTCTCCTTTCCTTATGCGCTGCGTAAGATCTGCCCTGGATCTTCTAAGAAGAGCCAGGTTAATAAGAGTAATAGTCTTATTATTTATACCCCGCCCATCAGGCTGGGTTGCCTCTGAAATAAACGAAAACTTTCTCTTATTCCCTTATGAGGAACACAAGAGCCCTCATAGAGTCCTTTGTAGGTTTCCGTCGGTCGGAGAAAAACAGAGGCCAACCCGAGAATATTGAGAAGCAAAGCAGCTAGTAAGCTTGATCTTTACTGATCTGTTGCAACAGGGTGCTCCCCTCACACGCAGGAGAGGAGGAGGAACCCAGAAAAATGGCATGCAAGGCCTTATAAAGACTTCTGAAATTGCCAGCCTGTCAATCAAGACCACCCCCAGAAACATCATACATACATCACAGAAGGGGTGTAACCTAAGACCACCCCTCAGATACATCATACCTGCATCACAGAAAAGGCGGTCTAAAACAGAAATTTGAATGTTGAATGTTGTTTGTCGTTTATCTCCTGTCTGGCAAGTTACCTGTTAATGCTTACTTGATTGGATACCCTGGGGAGCCTGGCCAGTCTTTTGTAATGATAAGTACTTAGTTCCTGAGCCACCCTATTCATAGGCTCACCCTATTCATACACAGATATACCCTTAAGACAGGATTTGTGAAGGAAGAAGCAATAGCGAGGCTCCTCCATTTGACCTTGCAGAAAATACACCTGGTCAGCCTGGGAGTCAAAATGGCTCCATAGCTGCTTTCCTGTGCAGCTTCAGACATGTGGCCTATATATCTATGTACGTGTTTGCTTGGTACATTTATGAACCTTTATTATATACATAAGACCTTAATTTATTTATTTCACCCAGCATCTCCAGATAGGACTGGGGGGATGGATTGTCTATCTAAAACCCTAGAGCACTTGTTTCCAATGAACTAAGTACTACAGATCTTCTGTTTTTCCAAAGCCAAGCCATGGACTCCCTACTTTTGAATACCTGAGACCTGGGACCTTCTCATGAGGACTGGAGCCTTGCTTTTACTTCTAAGGGGAAAGTTGGAACCGGGCAGCAGTGCACATGAGAAGGTCCCACGTTTGATCCCCTGCCATTTCCAAGCAGGGCTGGGAAAGGCTCCCTGCCTGGAAATACTGGAGAGCTGCTGCCAGTCAGTGTAGACAATACTAAGCCAGATGGAGCAATGGGTCTGGCTCAATCTAAGTCCATTTCCTCTGTTCCTGTCACAAATCATTCCCAAGCAAACCAGCTCTTCATTGTGGACCGCTGACTATTTTGACTCCTCTAATGGCTTCTGGACTCCAACTCCCATCACATCTGACCTTTGATCTTCCTGGCTGGGGCTGATGGGAGTTGGAGTCCAGCAAGATCACGAGGGCAGCTCCTTCCCCATCTTTACGTACTGAAAAAGTGAGCTCTTTCCCCCACCTTACATAGCTAGCTAGCTAAAACGGAGTCACATCCAGTGCCGGATTTACATGCAGGCTGAGCAGGCCGCAGCCCAGGGCCTCCTAATCTAGGGAGCCCTTGGCCTCTTGCAAAAAAAACCAGGCAGATTTTACAACCTAGGCCAAGTTGCTTGGTAACAGTAAAGAAGAGAACGTGGTTTTATTTCTCGTGATCAGATGCTGCTAAGTTTGGACCTCCCAAGGTCTCCCAGTCCAGGGGCTCCAGTTGCTTCAATCTGGGCCTGGTCACCTGTGTAGAAGGGTGCTGTCAGCAAGCCTGAGAGAACCACAAGGTACCCAGGAGAAAAATGGGTGTAAGCGGTGTTGGAGGAGCCTAAGAGGGGAAGAAGCCCAGAACAGGCAGGTGAACAAACTGAGCATCCTCTGTGGTCACAGAATCCAATTTTGCGTGGGGAGGCTAAATGGAATGGAGCATCAGAAGAGAGGGCATGGCTGGCTGGCCGGCCGGCCCACTGAACAGAAGCATAAAGGTAAAAAGGTAAAGGGACCCCTGACCATTAGGTCCAGTCGTGGCCGACTCTCGGGTTGCGGCGCTCATCTCACTTTATTGGCCGAGGGAGCCGGCGTACAGCTTCTGGGTCATGTGGCCAGCATGACTAAGCCGCTTCTGGCGAACCAGAGCAGCGCACGGAAACGCCGTTTACCTTCCCACCGGAGCGGTACCTATTTATCTACTTGCACTTTGACGTGCTTTCGAACTGCTAGGTTGGCAGGAGCAGGGACCGAGGAACGGGAGCTCACCCCGTCGCGGGGATTCGAACCGCCGACCTTCTGATCGGCAAGTCCTAGGCTCTGTGGTTTAACCCACAGCGCCACCCGCGTCCCGAACAGAAGCATACCACGCTGCAAAATTTTGTTGCTGACCCTCTGTGTGAGTCTCTCTTTCTACCCAGGTCATGTGGGCGGGGAGGGGGGGTTGCAGTGATTTTTAGGAAGTCACTAGCTTGCACCAGGCGTCCTACTGGGAAGACCCAGTTTTCTGAGTGCATGTTCTGGAAGTTGTGCAATAGGGGCAGTACATGATTCCTTTTGGTGTACCAACCTCCCCACTGCACCAAGGATTCCCTGTCTGAGCTGCTTCAGGTCGTGGCGGATGTTCTCCTGGAGACACCTAGTTTGGTTGTCCTAGGGGATTTTAACATCCATGCCGACACGACCTTACAAGGGGCTGCTCGGGGCTTCGTGGAAAGCATGGACTCCATGGGGCTGTCCCTGAATGAGTTTGGCCCAACTCATAGTCATGGACATGCCTTGGACCTGGTATTCACCTCTAGTGACATGGGTGATCTGACACTAAGTAAAAGTGAAACAAAAGAAGTGCCATGGTCAGATCACTTCCTGGTGCAACTGGACTTCTCCGCGACCCTTCCCCTCTGCAGGGAGGTGGGACCGATTTGGATGGTCCGCCCCTGCCACTTCATGGATCCAAATGGTTTCCAGAGAGTGGTAGGGGATGCTTTATCCCATGTTGATGGCCTTTCAGCTGATTCCCTGGTGGCCCGCTGGAATGCTATCTATAAAAAAGGCAAATATATATATATTTGCTTCCAGCCTTGTTAAATACAGAGAGGGGCTCAGAGTCCTCATCTCCTCTTGGCTGGAGGTCCTCCCTCCCTCCTTGCCACCTGCCCATAGGTGTTAACATTTCCCCTTTTTTAAGGGAAATTCCCTTATTTCGAATAGGATTCCTCGCAAGAAAAGGGAAAAGTTGACAGCTATGCTGACCTGCCCTGCTTCTGACATTTCACTAAGCCTTGCCCCGATTCTTCTTAGCCATGAGGACTAGCGGACTAGCCACTTGCTCCGAATTAGGCTCCAAGTTCCCGCACTCGAGGGCAGTGCCATCCGGGAGCGCTATTATTCTTGACGGACGGTGGGGCCTGACTCAGAATTAAAAGTCTTATATATATATGTATCCTGTTTCGCTGGCTCTCCCTTGCGTGGAGGAAAGCTTCTCAAATGTCCTGGTCTTGTGACGGTTACTTTGGACATGCCCCAGGTCCTCGGAGCCAGCCTCCTGCGGATCTCTGCTCACGGCAGACCGGCCCAAACAGCCTGCCCCTCCTTCATCTTTTATTGGCTCGGGAGAGACTTTAATCATCACCCTTTAGCCCAAAATCGTAGGGGCATGAGGACAAGGAGGTCCGAGTATCGGGCTTCTGAGTGAAGTCCGTTCTGCAGCTGTTAGACAAGTGCCCTCTTGGATCAGACAAATCCGGCGTGTCTGTTTTTTAAAAAAGGAATCCACCCTTTCTGCTTATGGATCTCGGAGCATCGTCCATCTCTAAGAAGACATCCCTCGAGGATTCAGCCGCTGAGCCACAGGCTTCCGCCCCAAGTTGCTGCAGGGAATTATGCCGATTTATTCCTTCCAACTTCTGGCAAGAAACAAAGAAAATTTTGGTGCTGGCAGGGCCGCTGGTAAGACCCCAAAGCCGTGGTTAATATGCCAGTTCTCTGCGCTGGCATGCCGACTTCCTTTCCCAACTGCGCTGGCAGTTGATATCTGCCAGGTTTTGTCTCCATTCTGTTCAACCTGGGATAGCTGAGTCAGTAGAGCATGAGACTCTTAATCTTGGGGTTGTGGGTTCGAGACGCTCATGGTCCCTTCCAACTCTACAGTTCTGTGATTCTATGGACCTTGCTGCTCACGGTTAAATTGCTGAGAGCTAAGTCATGGTAAGGCCCGGGGGCCAGATCTGGCCCATTCGCCTTCTAAATCCGGCCCGCAGATGGTCCAGGAATCAGCGTGTTTTTACGAGAGTAGAATGTGCCCTTTTATTTAAAACGCATCTCTGGGTTATTTGTGGGGCATAGGAATTTGTTCTCTCCCCCCCCAAAAAAATATAGTCCGGCCCCCCACAAGGTCTGAGGGACAGTGGACCGGCCCCCTGCTGTAAAAGTTTGCTGAGTCCTGAGCTAAGTTGATGGAGATGAACTCTGCTGCATAGCTCCCATCTAAATTCTGATTTCAAGACCTTAGATCTGAGCTATCTCGCTGCTCTGGTTTCCAAATGTAGGCCTGTTTGGCTGCCAAGCTAGAGGTGCTCATATTAAAGGGTGGGCAGTGGGATTTTAATCGCCGCTAAATTCACAACAATGTCATTCCATTTTCCACAATCCGCACCATAAATTCTTCCCAGCACAATATGACAGTTTCTAGGGTTATATGTCTCCAAATTTCCTTTAATTGTTTTCCCCCAACAGACACTCATCCAGTTACTCGTATTTATGATCCATGTCGTCAGCACAATATTCTGTGGCCACCTTGGCAAGGTCGAGCTGGCTTCTGTCACCCTTGCCATTGCGGTGAGTGTTTTTAAATGTGTGTGTGTGTGTGTGTGCGTGTTTTAAAAAGTCCCTGGACCTCTGCCGAGTTTCCTTGTTGCATCTCTGAATGAGTCAACGTCCAACCAGGATGTGTGCCCAGAACGGTGACTCATTCAGAGCCCGACAAGGGAACAGAAGACTCTTCTAGAGAGGGTCATTGGTGGCCTTTCACACACTTTGGCTGGATTAGTAAAGCATGCCTTGAATTTGGGAAAGGGCTGTAGCTCAATAGTAGAGCACCTGCTCTGCATGCAGAAGGACCCGGGTTCAATCTCCAGCATCTCCTGGACAGCTGCTGCGAGTCAGTGTTGACAGTATTGAGCTCGATGGGCATCAATCGATGGCCTGACTCAGTATAGGGTAGTTTCCTATGCTCCTGTTTCCATTAGTTTGCATTAGAATGATGAGGAATTCTGTCTCATTCTTATAGGATGAGTTCTAGCTCAGTGGTAGAATGCCTGGTTTGAGTGCAGAAGGTCCCAGATTCAGAGCCCAGGTGTGTCTGGGAAACGCCCCCTGCCTGAAGCCCTGCAGAGCTGCTGCCGGTCAGTGTAGACAAGCAAGCCAGGCGAATGGTCTGACTCAGCATAGGGCAGCTTCCCATGTTCCTATTTTATTTGGAGTTTTTCGGTTTAGAAAACAGGTGGCTCAGCTGTAAGGCGCATGAGAAACCCCGAGAAGAGTTTGGCAGCCGAAAAGTTTAAGGGGTGTTTGTGTCTTCCCTGTGAGGAAAGCCTGCAGCGTTTGGGACTTAGCAGTTTAGAGAAAAGGCGAGCGAGAGGAGAACAGGGTAGAAGTTTGTAGAATTATTCGTGGCGCAGAGAAAAGTTTTTCTCTCTCATAACGCTGGAAGTTGTGCACATGCAATGAAGCTGAATGTGTGAAGATTCAGGAGAGATGAAAGGAAGGACTTTGTCACGCAGCCCACAGTTAAACTACGGAACACACGAGGCAGTGATGCCCATCCACTTGGATAATAATAATAATAATAATAATGATGATGATGTAGCCTTTTTAGCCTCGGGTGAGAAGAGCTTTGCATCCGGGAAAGGGAAATGGGAGTCAACAGACACTCAAGGAATAGTTTCAGAGAAAAAGCTTTATTCTGCCATCCGGGGTGGCAGAAGGCACCTGCGTGATAAATTCACAAAGTAAGTACAAGTTCATGGGATGCGGGTGGTGCTGTGGGTAAAATCTCAGCGCCTAGGGCTTGCCGATCGAAAGGTCGGCGGTTCAAATCCCCGTGGCGGGGTGCGCTCCTGTCGTTCGGTCCCAGCGCCTGCCAACCTAGCAGTTCGAAAGCACGTCTGGGTGCAAGTAGATAAATAGGGACCGCTTACCAGCGGGAAGGTAAACGGCGTTCCGTGTGCTGCGCTGGCTCGCCAGAGCAGTGATGTCACGCTGGCCACGTGACCCGGAAGTGTCTGCGGACAGCGCTGGCTCCCGGCCTATAGAGTGAGATGAGCGCACAACCCTAGAGTCTGGCAAGACTGGCCTGAACGGGCAGGGGTACCTTTACCTTTACCTTAAGTACAAGTTCACAGCCATTTGCACAGAGCATATATTCCCCTCCAGTCCCCTCCCCTTTCTCCTCCTCCTCAGGAGTCCTGCCCCATGTTGAGTTTCCTGAGCATGAACAGAAAGCTCCTGTCTTGGGATTCATGGCACCCTTCCCAGGAAAGGGGGCTGGGTGAGAAGCCAAGGGGTTTCAGAGTGTCCAAGATATGTTTCTTTTCTCTTGCTCTATTGGCACAGTTCCCGGAAAGAAAGTCGCAATCTGGTTAGCAAGGCCAGCTAGCCTGAGAAGCGAAAAGGCATGGTTCTTCTCAGCTCAGCTTTTGCCTACAGCAGAGCAAGATAGCAAGATGCTTAGCTAAATGCTTTTCAGCCATAGAGAAAATAATTTGAAAAGTGCAATTTGAAAAGTGCTTGAGGCTTTGAGGCCTGGTTGGGGGGGTGTGTGACTTCGGGCCTAGGTGGGGTCACCTGTCCTCACCTCCTCCAATAATAATAATAATAATTTTCTATTTATACCCCGCCCATCTGGCTGAGTTTCCCCAGCCACTCTGGCATGGCTTTAAAGAGGATTAGACAAATTCATGGAGGAAGAGAGGGCTATGGGTAGCAGTGATGCTTCTAGATTCCAGTCGCTGGAAACCACAGGAGGGGAGAGTTGCTCTTGTGCTCGGATCCTGATGGCAGGTTTCGCATAGGCATCTTGTTGGCCCCTGTGAGAACAGGATGCTGGACTAGACGGGACATTGGCCTGATCCAGCAGGCTCTCCTTATGTTCTTAATAGTCAATAGTGGGTTTGATGAACAAATAATTTATCCTGCTTGAAGGCAGACAGCCAATAATAATAATAATAATAATAATAATAATAATAATAATAAATTTATACCCCGCCCACTTGGCTGGGTTTCCCCAGCCATTCTGGGTGGCTTCCAGCAAAGTATTAAAATACAGTGGTCTGTTAAACATTAAAAGCTTCCCTAAACAGGGCTGCCTCCAGATGTCTTCTAAATGTCAGGTAGTTGTTCTTCTCTTTGACATCTGGTGGGAGGGCGTTCCACAGGGCGGGTGCCACCACCGAGAAGCCCCTCTGCCTGGTTCCTTGTAACTTGGCTTCTCTCAGTGAAGACTCCAGACCATAAGATTGTGCCATTCTTTCCAGCATTCAACATTATAACCCCTCGATTTGTCTGTCCGTTAATTTCTCCCTCTCTGATGGTCCCTAGGTTATAAATGTAACAGGCATCTCTGTTGGATTTGGGTTGTCTTCAGCTTGCGATACGTTAATATCACAGGTGAGTAATGGCTGGCTGCCGCTGCGTGTTTGAATTCTGGTGTATGAAACGTAGTCTGAGACAAGGCCAGCGTCAAGGTGTGTCTAGCTTGAACATTTTGAAAGTCTGGTCGCTGGGAGGGAATCAGAGCTGGGTAAGACCAGCAGGCAAAGGACACTCTGAAGATGGGACTAGTTTCAGTTTTGTGTGTAGTTTAGTAGCCGCAAACAGCTAAGTAAAATTTGTTCCTGCAATATACTCAGAGTCAAGAGTGGATTTCATGCTCTTTATTCAGCTCATAGTGGCGAGGAGGAATGAATGTCCCCTCAAAGTATCTGCTTTATATACATTATTTACACAATGGGCTGCATGTGATTGGCTAATTCCGGAATTCTCCAGTAGGCCAATCAGGTTGTGGATTCACTTCCATCTGGAGCCGGATTGGGTGGCTCCTGCAGACCAATCATACTGCTGCATTGTTCTAGGACCAATCAGACTGCTGCATTCTGAATCCTATTGTTCTAGGACCAATCAGACTGCTGCATTCTGAATCCTATTGTTCTAGGACCAATCAGACTGCTGCATTTTGGATCCTATTCAACTCAGTACATAACAGTTCCTTATAATCCAGACTCTGTAGATGATTTGTAAGCTTGCAAAATGCTACAAGAAACTGTAGCCCTTCAGAAGTTGTTGGACTACAACTCCCATAATCCCCCTGACTGTTGGCCTTGCTGGGACTGACTCTGGGATAACCAGCCTCATATAACCCACATGCTTAAATCTAATCAATGCGTGAAGGGGTTAAGACCATAGAGTAAGCTGTCTTGCTAGGCTTAACTAGGTTGCTCCCCTTCACCTTAGGAGTCACTAGGTAATCAAGCCTTTGTTCCCTCCCCAGTCTAGCTCAGAAGCTCAGCATGTGAAGAGGCTACGCTGCAGCAATAGCTTAGCTGCATAGCTCTCACAGCCATTCTTGAGTTTCTATACCGATAATTTAGGAACTTTCAACACTGTAACAAAGCCAAGTTTTACTGCCTGTGCATTTTCCCTCTGAATGCTGTATGGAAAAGCACACGAATTTGACCTTTGGAGCGTTTGTAAGTAAAACATTTTAAAGTTACCAAACCTGTGGTCTTTTTCTATGCTAGGAGAAAAATTGAAAATCACAATGGCATATGTTAAAGGTCGAACAGCCTTTATTTCAATGCTTTAAGAGTACTTGCCCCAAACCTGGATCTTGGCATCCAGGGAATTATCCTTTTATATCTATTTTTCCCCCGGTGCACCAACACTGATGTGAGTCAGAATCTAGTAATATCTGGAGGGCCACAGGCTCCCCTCCTCTCATCACCTAGAGAAACAATGCCTTCTCTTTCTAGAACATCCCAGATAAGTTAATTATTGTGAATAAAACAGTGAAATATTGTGAGTTACCTTTGTGTCCAAAGGCTGGAGAGTTTAAATGATGCTGCTTCTGTTTTTTGGGACCTTCACCCACACGCCCCTCCCCAGACGTATGGAGGGAAGAATATGAAAAGGGTGGGCACCATCCTGCAACGGGGGATCCTCATTCTGCTTCTCTGCTGCTTCCCCTGCTGGGCTGTCTTCGTCAACACAGAGCAGCTCCTCCTACTCATCCGACAGGACCCAGATGTCTCCAGGTGGGGAGAAAGAAAAGGGAAGGAGTCCACCCAGCAGTTTATTGGACTTGAGGCTGATCATCGTGCATGCGATTCCCCCCTTTCCCATGTCCACACACAATACCCCATATTTCCAAAGGTGGCTGGTGCCCATTGGGGCTGGTAGGGCGGAAGACAGGGAGCCGAACAGCAGGTGGCGCCAAAACCAATGATAGGAAGAGACAGAGTCACTGAAAGGCAGAGCCAACTACCGGTAATTCTTGCTTTGCCACCATCTTGCTCTCTGCTGAGTTATACAAGGGCGAAACTGAGGCCACAATTGTACCATACGTTCAAAGCACCACGATACCACTTTAAATGGCGTGGTGGTTGTTATTAAATTCACTTCTAATTTATCTTGCTACAGGCAACTCAAAGCGACTTACAGAAACGAACAAGCACACCCACAAGTTGAAACCAGGAAGAAAAAGAAATACTTTAAAACATGCCACCCACTCTGAAAGGCCCTAGATCAGGCATGGCCAAACTTGGCCCTCCAGCTGTTTTGGGACTACAACTCCCATCATCCCTAGCTAAAAGGACCAGTGGTCAGGGATGATGGGAATTGTAGTCCAAAAACAACCGGAGACCCAAGTTTAGGGAAACTCTACAGTAGATCATTAAAAGGCAAAGGTCTGGTTAAAAAAGGAATGTTTTTGACTGGTGCTTGAAACTATACAGTGATGGTGCCCGGTGAGCCTCCCCCAAAGGATCATGGGAGCTGTAGTGCATTAAGGATGCTGAGAGCTACTAGGAGACCCCATTTCCCCCTCACAGAGCTACAATTCCCAGAGTTCCATGGGAAGAAGGATTGATTGTTTAAGCCACCCTGGGAACTGTAGTTCTGAGGAGGAAACCGGGGTCTCCTAGCAACTCCCAGCAGCCATAAGAAACTACAGCTCCCAGAATTCTTTGGGGGAAGGCCTGGTTCTTTAAAGTGGTGTCGTAGGGCCTTAAACGTGCCCTGAGATTGAAGAGGGAGGGCACAAAGAGTTGGGGCTAGAGTGCCCTTTTCTGGAGTCACACAATGGCCTTGAAGCGAAGGATTCTGGGATAGCTGCTGTATGCAATCGTTTTCTTGCTTTTCTTGTTACGATGGGATCCCCCCCCCCTCCCCGGGGATGGTAATGGAACTTGGGGAACAAAAATCAGCTGCAGGATAAATTGCTATTTTTTTGTTTTGTTTTCTTTGCTATTTTGTTTTATTGCTCCAGGCTCACACAGGTTTACGTCATGATCTTCATCCCAGCGCTTCCCGTAAGTCTCCTATTTCATTCTGCTTTCTTTCGTTTTCTCAGTGGGGTCTTTAAGTGGAACGGGCGGCAGTTCAGTCCTGGGAATACCTGCTTTGCTTGCAGAAGGTCCCCCAGGTTCAGTCCTCTGCAGGTAGGTTTGGACGTGGCCCCTGCCTGAAACCCTGGAGGGGCACTTCCAGGCCTCTTGTGCCCCTAGAATTGACAGCCGCAAGGCAGGCCGTGACCCAACTGGTCAAACTTTCCTCTGCTTCTACGAGGCTTGGTTGGACTGCCGCCTGCCGAAAGCCCCGTTTGTTTTCCAAAAAGGGGCAACTCTGAGAAAAGGAGGTCTAAAGAAGATGGATGCATCGCTGGGGGAAGAGAGCATTAATTGCGTGGCGATTTCCCGCCTCCCCCAGTAGAAATAAAGACACAGGACACCATGAATAAGGTTAATGGGCTAAAATTGGCCACAACTTTATTGGTTACAGGTAAGAGCGGTATTAAGGGGACGCGGGTGGCGCTGTGGGTAAAACCTCAGCGCCTAGGACTTGCCGATCGCATGGTCGGCGGTTCGAATCCCCGCGGCGAGGTGAGCTCCTGTCGTTCGGTCCCAGCTGCTGCCCACCTAGCAGTTCGAAAACACCCTTAAGTGCAAGTAGATAAATAGGGAAGGTAAATGGCGTTTCCGTGCGCTGCGCTGGTGCTGGCTCGCCAGAGCAGCTTCATCACGCTGGCCACGTGACCCGGAAGTGTCTGCAGACAGCGCTGGCCCCCGGCCTCTTAAGCGAGATGGGCGCACAACCCCAGAGTCGGTCACGACTGGCCCATACGGGCAGGGGTACCTTTACCTTTACCTTTAAGAGCGGTATTGGCTTAGGCATTGGTCCTATCCACTATCCAGCTTCAGCCTGATTGCTTGAAAACCGGGAAGGGTTAACACCAGCAGGGGGAGCCCTGCTGATGCACATCAACTAGGTACTCCCCTGGGGTCACCGCTCAGGGGCACACTTTAGGCCCTGGCCTCCATAGGCTTCGGACGAGGCCACGCCCCCCCAGAATCCTTTAAAGGACTACCCTTCAATGTTTGGGGGAGGTGACAGCGCTCCTCCCCCCAACACATCTAAATAACAATACCCCTACCAATGCCTAACCGCCAAGACCAAAGAAGTTGTGAGGACTTGCTACGAGGTAGGCGGAAAACCAAGTGGCTGGTGCCAATTTGCCAAGTGGGAAAAATTCCTACCAGGCCCCTTAACGGCGACCAACCAAGGTCCATAGCAAGGTCAGAAGGAAACCTGAAAAAGAAAAGGAGCGGGCGGGTGGGAAACACGATCAGCTGCGCCGGTCAAAGAGGGAGATCCCGGGGCCGCGCTCAGGGACGCGGACTTATAAAAAATATTGGGGGGGCCCGGGAAAGCTCATGAATAATAAATAAGCTCATGAATATGCAAATAAAGTGGCGCCGCCTCCTCGTGAGCGAATAGGGGAGAGCGTGCTGCGCCTATTAATCAGCTCCAAAGGAAATTGGGTGGAGCTTTTGCTCGGGAGGGAGGGCAGGAGGCATGCAGCCCGCCCCTCCCTGTGCATTTTGGGCTGGGGGAGGGGCGGCGATGGCGCTCTGCTGGAGGGGCGCCGGAGATTATTGGGGGGCGGAGCCCCCCCAAACGAATTTTTGAGGGGGCTCGGGCCCCCTCAAGCCCCATGGAGTCGGCGCCTATGGCCGCGCTCGCCTTAAATGCGGCAAGCCACCCCCCCGAGCCAGCTCGATCATGCGATGACGCTGCCCGAGGATTCCCCCGATAGCGCTGGGCTGGAAAACAGCCCCCGCGCTTGTGTTGGGGACGTGAAGCCCGCAACCCCACCTCCTCCGGATGTCGGAAGTGGCTTTTGCTCACACACACCCCTGCTTTGGATCACAGGTTGTATTCATGCCTCCTTGCTCCACAGGCGACGTTTATTTACCAGATCCAGATGAGGTACCTGCAGAATCAGGTAAGATGCTCTTTCTCTTGTTGGGGAAATAAAGGCAAAAACGGCAGCTGAGCAGGCAGAAGGTTTCAATCCCCAGCATCTCCTGGGAGGCCTGGGAATATCTCCGCCCCGACAGAAGCCCTTGAGAAGCCACTGCTGCCAGTCAGTGCAGGCAATACTGAGCAAGATAGGCTGACTCAGTTTAAGGGGTGCAGTCCCCCGGACCCTCCCAAGTGTCGCTGTTTTCCAACTGCCTCGGTCTAGTATATCTGAAGGAGCGTCTCCACCCCCATTGTTCTGCCCGGACACTGAGGTCCAGCTCTGAGGGCCTTCTGGCGGTTCCCTCCCTGCGAGAAGCCAAGTTACAGGGAACCAGGCAGAGGGTCTTCTCGGTGGTGGCACCTGCCCTGTGGAACACCCTCCCACCAGATGTCAAAGAGAAGAACTACTACCAGACTTTTAGAAGACATCTGAAGGCAGCCCTCTTTAGGGAAGCTTTTAATGTTTAACAGACCACTGTACAGTGGTACCTCTGGTTACGTACTTAATTTGTTCCAGAGTTCCATTCTTAACCTGAAACTGTTCTTAACCTGAAGCACCACTTTAGCTGATGGGGCCTCCCACTGCCGCTGCGCCGCTGCTGCGTGATTTTTGTTCTCATCATGAAGCAAAGTTCTTAACCCGAGATACTATTTCTGGGTTAGTGGAGTCTGTAACCTAAAGTGTATGTAACCTGAAGCGTATGTAACCTGAGGTACCACTGTATTTTGATACTTTGTTGGAAACAGCCCAGAGTGGCTGGGGAAACCCTGCCAGATGGGTGGGGTATAAATAATATATTATTATTATTATTATTATTATTATTATTATTATTATTATTATTATTAGGAAAGGTTGGTATCTCGGTGGCAGAGCACCTGGTTCATCTCGTTGCTAAAATAATATCTTGTTTCAGAGGATCATCTGGCCTGAGGTTCTGTGCGGCATTGCTGGAAACATCGTCAATCTGATTGCAAATTATGTCTTCCTCTACCAGCTTCACATGGGGGTTAGGTAAATGAGAAACGGGTGGCAGGACCAACCTGCATTTTGAACACACCGCCTGCCCGCCTTTTTCTTTCTTTCATCGGTGGAACGCTAGGAATGTGTTGCAAAATCCCTTGTTTGTCTATATCAAGTCAAGGGCTTTGGGTGGGGACGTTCTTGGACAATCAAGGTCTCTGCAAGGTTGTTGTTTTAACAGCAAGCCCAGATCTACAACCAGAAAGAACCTCTCTTTAAAAGACAGTTTGGGGGGGACAGTCTTACTTGCTCCTTACCTGCCTCCATCATGTCTGTGGAAGTAACAATCTTTCCTCCTTGTCTCTGTTTCCTGCGTTTAACCACATTTTAAAATGCATTTCCCTTTCAATTTTTCTGGTTAGCTTTTTAAAAATTTGAAGGAGGTATACCATATTTTTCCATGTATAAGATGAGTTTTTTTGCTAAAAAAAATCCAGTAAAAAAATTGCGGATCGTCTTATACCCGGGTGGTTAAAAGAAACACGACTCACCAATAGCGTTGAAAGCTGCAGGGCGGTCTCCAAAAAAAACACCAACACAACAATTTTCAGCAATCCGCTCCAAAAAAGCTCAACAGAGTTGCTCAGTTTGATGTTTAAAATATTGATTTCTTAAGGGTTCAAAAAAAGAGGGGTTTCCTTATACATGGGGGGCATGGAAAAATACGGCAATTATATCACTTGTGATCTTTGGTCCTTCAACAAAGTGTGTGTTGCTTTTGTTCATTCCCTCAGTTATTGCGATTTTCGGGAATGGACCCAAACGGTGCGATAGGGTTGGCACTTCCTGCCTGCAGAAAGAAAGTCGGGGTGACCTCCTAAGACCTAATTATGGGGGTTGCCAACCTTTGTAGGCATGTGGGGACATTTGGGTGTCTGTGTGAACGCTGTGGAAGGCATTTCCTCTATTACGTCTCTTCCCTCCTTCCCCAGATCAACACACACACACACATACACACATGCCACCGAAAGAGAGGATTTGGGTCTAACTCAAGTCCAGCCGAATTCACCTGAGCCTTGAAAAGCACCATAGAGCATCACAAACTTTTTATCGATAACAACCAGTTAGACAAATTAAGGATCTATACAACTTTGTAACATGCAGAGAATAGCATTTATAGAGAAATCAGGGATTGGAACTGAGGGAAGTCGGTGGGGGGGAATTAAGGATGATATGTTTTAAGATAATATGCTTTGTTTAAATTTCTAATAGAAATTAAATTAAAAAAAGAAAAGCACCACAGAGCAGAAAGCGGGAAAGAGCGTCACTCTCTCAACTTCCTCCCTAAGCTCTACGAATTTTTCTAGCAAGGGGGAAAAGTCACCCCCTTTCCTTGCTTCATGGCCAAGGGAGCAGTGGGTGGGCAGGATCAGAGGGTTTGTGGGTGCCAAGGAAGGACCCGAAAAATCGGTCTCTAGCCCCCCCTTCATACGTTGCCAACCGTTTTACAACGCTCTACCATGTAATGTTTCCAACGTGGCCCTCGCTTATTTGTTAATCCCCCCTCTTTCCTCATTCCAGGGGCTCTGCCTGGGCCAACACCATCGCACAATATTCGCAAGCCATTGCCCTCTTCCTGTACATCAAATGGAAAAAGCTTCACGCTGAAACTTGGGGAGGTAACCTGCTTGTTTTCCAATGCCCTCGTCTCTTCCAAGTTTCCTGTCTCAGATTCATGTTGGAAGTGCGACTGCAGGGATCATTCAGTTTGTAACTCAAGGGTTAATTCTGTTACAGGCAGCTAGCCCAGAGAGAGGGGGGAGTTGTTGCTTAGCAACCATGTGGAGGGGCATGATCCTCCCTGAGGTAACACATGCTCTGATTGGAGGTGTAGCTTTGAGGGCATTTTCTCCCGTGTTTGGTTGAATGTCTCTCTGCTGTATACAAGACCTGCTTTAAAAAGACAAAACCTCTATATAATTTATATGCTGCTTTTGTCCAGTTCCCTCAGTGAAGCGTTATCAGGACTTTTCTCTTGGGACTCTGTTATTTAACTGACTTTGCCAGCTTTACATACATAACAAATGTTGCCTCATCAGAAAATAGAATTGAAATCTGCCCTGTTTTTTCCTCCCTTTCTTCCCTGCACTCTCCAAATCCAAGGATGGTCCACCGAATGCCTCCAGGAATGGGACGTGTTTATGGCCTTAGCTGTTCCCAGCATGCTCATGACCTGCATTGAATGGTGGACCTTCGAAATCGGAAGTTTTATGATAGGTCAGTGGGAGGGGAGGTGTCATGGGCAGTGGGAGGAGCCAGAAGACCAAGCCAATCACATTGGAGCATGGCAATTACAATACAATACCCAGATCCAACTATCTACAAGGCTAGGCTGGTGACATAATTGCACAGGCACCGGTTGCAGCTCAGGAACTGAGGCAGAGAAAACAACCAGTGCCCTGTTGACTTTTTATTCCTACACACACACTGCATTTATTTATATAATCTGTGGCTCAAAATGTGAAATGTAGAACTTGCCTAATGTTTTCTATAATGAATTTTACCATGCAAATAGTAAATAATACTTACCACCTCCTAACAGAAAAAGCAATACAGTGGAACCTCGGTTTTCGAGTGTCTTGGAAGCCGAACATTTCGGTTTTCAAACACCGAAAATCCTGCATCGCTTCTGTTTTTGAAAGCGCCTCGGAAGTTGAATGTTTCAGAAGTTGAATGGTCTTCGAGAACGGATTATGTTCGACAACTGAGGTTCCACTGTACCAAGTACAGATTCCGGAAAAAAAAAAAGGACACCAACCTTACAAACATTTAAAGCTATGGAACTACAGTGGACCCTCAAGTTATGTACTGCTCTGGATACGTAACTTTCGGGTTGCGAACGTGGCAAGCCTGGAAGTGGTGTCTTCAGTTATGGACTTTTCAGGTTAAGTATGGACCCCTGGAACAAATTTAATTCGTATCCGGAGGGTCCACTGTATTAGATTGACAAATACCGTACTTTTCTGTGTATAAGACTAGGGTTTTTTCTTGAGAAATCATGCTAAAAATGGGGGTCGTCTTATACATGGGTAGTGAATAGGGTGGACATTTGATTGGTTGCTGCTGCAGCTGTTCGTGGCTATTGTGTGTGTTATTGGTTGCCGCATCAATGAGTGGTGTTGATTGGCTGATGCTGCGGCAATTGGGCGGGCAATCGGCAGCTTCTGCCGACGATGGGACAGACGGGAGGCGGATTTTGTGATGCGTGTGGGTGAGTGATTTTCGGCAATCCCCCCCAAAAAAACTCAACAACCCTGGGGGTGTCTTATACATGGGGGCGTCTTATAGATGGAAAAGTACAGTAAATATCACCTCACATAACTAACAGCCTGTATACAGCATTAAACTATTTCCAAACAACAGGAGAGCAAGAAAATAAAATTATGGCTAATACTTTTTACTTTTTGAACTCCCTGCTCCCTGGTTATAAAGGGGTTTGTCTCAGTAGCAGCTCACATTCTTGGGGACACTCCTGAGAGCTGGAGAGAGATGCCTTAAGGGCTGCAAAGTTTTGAATGTTTCAATGCTTTGAATGTGGACATGTCTAAAGCCCAGCACAGTCCTCTGTCAATGATTCCCACGTCCTGCCTTCCCTCCTCCCTCAATTCCCCCCACCCAGGTCTCCTCGGTGTCCTAGAGCTGTCGTGCCAATCCATCATTTACGAAGTGGCCACAATCGCCTACATGGTAAGACCTTCTCCTGTGCTGCATCACGTACACATTATTATAGTGTTACATTTTGGGGTGGATGGGTAGGGCAAGTCTGGGCGATCCCCTTGGGTCGCTGTGATCCTGTACCCCAATGCAGGTTAAGTCTGAGCAAAAGAGGACGCTGAACTGGTCAGACGAGTTTCTTTGTAAGATAATGGCCAGCGAAGTGCCCTCATCAGCATCTCAAAAGAGTGAGCTGTGTTGCCATAGAGACAACATGAAGGAGCCTTTTCCCCATCTCACCTAGTCATCCTAGGAGGGAGAACAATAGGTTCAGTGGCAGGTGAATACCGTATTTTCCCCCCCATAGGACGCACCGGCCCATAGGACGCACCAAGTTTTTTTGGGGGGAAATAAAGAAAAAACTTTATTTCTCTCCCAGGTGCTTCTGGGGCCGGCAGCGGGGAGAAGCGCTCTTCTCCCTGCCGCCCGCCTTCAGACCAGGTCCGGGGGCAGTGGGAAGACGCGCTGCGCCTCCCAGCTGTCCCCGGAGCTTGCTGGGCTGGCGGTGGGGTCTCCCCGTCGTCAGCCTCCAAACCACTTCGGGAGACAGCGGGATGGCGACGTTCCGCCTCCCTCTGTCCCCCGACCTTGTGGGGCTGGCACTGGAGCTCTCCTGAAGCCTGGAGAGCGAGAGGGGTCGGTGCGCACCGACCCCTCTCGTTCTCCAGGCTTCAGCGAAAGCCTGCATTCGCCCCATAGGACGCACACACATTCCACCTTCATTTTGGGAGGGGAAAAAGTGCGTCCTATAGGGCGAAAAATACGGTACTTTTTTGTTCCAGCAAACTTTGGGGAAGGATGGATGTCGTTGTATTGCAATTGCTTTGTATTGTTTTAATAGCTTTTATATATGTATAGTATAAGGATGTGGATGGCGCTGTGGTCTAAACCACTTAGCCTCTTGGGCTTGCCGATCAGAAGGTCAGCAGTTCGAATCCCCGCGATGGGGTGAGCTCCTGTTGCTCTGTCCCAGCTCCTACCAACCTAGCAGTTCGAAAGCACGCCAGCACAAGTAGATAAATAGGTACCACTCCGACCAGAAGGTAAACGGCATTTCTGTGCGCTGCTCTGATTCACTGGAAGCGGCTTAATCATGCTGGCCACATGACCCGGAAGCTGTCTGCGGACAAACGTTGGCTCCATCGGCCAGTAAAGCAAGATGAGCGCGCAACCCCAGAGTCGTCTGCGACTGGACCTAACGGTCAGGGATACCTTTACCTTTACCTTATAGATGTATATAGTTTTAATTCGATCGGTGTTTAATTGCTTTTTAATGATTCTCCCCCCTTTGTTTTTAGCGGTTATTGTTTCTATCTGTAAGCTGCCTTGAGTCCCCATGGGGGTATAAATATATAATTAGAATAATAATAACAATGGTATATATTTTATATATACCTTATTCTTTGCTCTATAGGACGCACTTTTCCCCCTCCAAAAATGAAGGGGAAATGTGTGTGTGTCCTATGGAGCGATTGCAGGGGGGAGGCAGGCAGGAAAAGCCACACACAAGCTCCGCTCGGCTCTTGCGGGCTTTTCCTCAGGAGGGAGAAGGGACTGAGGCAGCCAGTCACTCCCTTCTCCCTCCTCGTAGAAAACCCGCAGGAGCCGCGCGCTCCTTAAAGGGTGCATGGCTCCTGTGGGCTTTTGTGGGAGGTGGGGGTATTGCCATAGCCGCTTAGCCTGTCCCTGCCGGGGAGGTTGCGCGGGGCTAAAGAAGCCATAGCCCCGTTCAGTCTCTCCCAGCTGGAGAGGTTGCGCGCGGCTATGGCAGAAGCCAAGACAGCGAGCGGGATGTGTCCCGCTCGCTGTCTTGGCTTCCTTGCTCTTTGGGGCTGGGGGGGGGACCTGGGCTTCACCGGCAGCCCCGAGAAGCTCGCGGAGCAGCGGGAAGGCTGTGCCCCTTTCCGCTGCCCCCCGACCTTCTTTTTGGGGCTGGCGGTGGGCTTCCCCCCGCCAGCCCCAAAGAGCAGGTTGAAAGGAACCTGAAGCCTGGAGAGCGAGAGGGGTCGGTGCACACTGACCCCTCTCGCTCTCCAGGCTTCCAAGGTATCCACCTGAAGGCGACTGAACGCACCTTAAACGTCACCTTGTTTTAGAGGGGGAGAACAAGGGGGGGAAATTCTCCCCCTCTCTACGCAGCGCCTCCTGCCACTTCGCTGAAGGGGCACTGGGCAGGGAGGGGGAGAATTTTTTTTCTTGTTCTCCCCCTCTAAAACAAGGTGCGTCCTATGGCTGGGTGCGTCCTATAGAGCGAAAAAATACGGTATGTGGGGCAAAAATTGCAGAAACTGCCCATTGCATAAGTAACCCGTGATATTATTTAGGATGCATGGGTATGTTTTGAAGAATATCAGCTTGAGATTTTTCGGGGCGGTGGTGGTTTCTTAAAGGCGAGATGCTTCCAGTGAACATACACACACAATCTACGATCCCGAAAGCTTTGGTTAAGGTGTCAAAAGCAATGCTGTCCTTTCCAGATTCCGTTTGGGATCAGCGCATCTGTTAGCGTCCTGGTGGGGAACGCCTTAGGGGCTGGGAACTTCGAGGAAGCCCGGAAATCCTTCGTGGTCTCCATTTTGTGCACAGGTACGTGGAATTTTGCAGCAAGCTCTTCTCGTTTCATAGAACTGCAGAATTCGAAGGGACCCCGGGAGCGGTCATCTAGTCCAACCCCCTGCAATGGATCACAGTTATTTCATCTTAGACCATGTCTCCCTTGGCAGCCATTTTGTGACTGGCTCCCACATCGCTTTCTCAAAATGGCCCCCCAAACGGTTGCCAACCCTTGTTTTAACCCTTCTTGGGACAAAGAAGGCAAAAGCCATAACTTCTCCCCTCAAGGCATTGCAGGACAGCTGGGCGCCAACCATGGGGTTAAACATTAACCCTTTTTGAGAGCAACAGTTACGGTAATTGCTGCCTTTCTACTATTTGCAACTCTCTGGCTTGTGTCTGATGCTAGTCCTACCTAGAGTAGACCCATTTAAAATAGTGGGTATGACTAACTTGGGTGTCTGTTAATTTCAGTGGGTAAAACTTAAACTTACAAACTCTCTTTGATCTTCTCCAGTGTTTTTTTTCCTGCTGATGGGCACCCTCACGGCATCCACAAAGGACGTCCTAGCTTATATATTTACCAGCGATGAGTAAGTCACAAACCATGTTTTTTAGGTTGACAATAATACTTAGCATGAAAGGGGTGCTAAGTCCACACCTTGCATTTAAAAATTGCTACGATGTCACTGTAAACAGTCATGGCTTCCCCCAAAGAATCCTGGGAACTGTAGTTTGTTGCGGGTGGTTAGGAGACCCCTTATTCCCCTCACGGAACTACAATTCCCCAGGTTCCCTGGGAAGAGGGACTGAATGCTAAACCACTCTGGGAATTATAGCCCAATGAGGGGAATTGGGCTAACAACTCTCAAGGCCTCATCCGCAATATATATTTAAAGCAGTTCCATGCCACCTTCAATAGTCGCAGTTTTGGTATGCGTACGCAACTCGCCTGGCGTGTTCTGAGCGATGCCAATTTTTCTTCTGTGAAATGGGTATATTTGCAACAGTTCTGTGAGATTTCCAAAGGTGTTCCTGGCTCAAAAAAGGTTAGGAACCCATGAAACAAGAGATAAAACACCGAGGGCATGCGGCCCTCGGAAGGGGATGCGGCCCTCGAGGTGGAAGAGGTTTATTTACCCCGGACATCCCAATGACCCTGTGAAGAAGGCCGCTGTTATTTACCTCACCCTGCAGAGGGAGTGTGTTCTTGTCTGGGATAAGCTGAGCAGTTCAAGAGTGGGAAACTGGGACTGCATTAAATTGAGGTTACCAGATTTTTTTCATTGAATCTTGGGACACTCTATATAAGTGAATAAATGAATGAATGTGTTTTTTTTTAAGAGGAAAAAATAGTTATTTTAAAAAAATAAAGAAGTAATATCTTCTCTTCTGTGGTCCCCTCTGTTGCACGGCCTTCCTCTGGGTCCTGGCCTTTCTTGGAGCGCTAACCGTGCTTCCCCCTTCGCTCCCTCCCTCTCCCTCCTTGCACTGTGATCCCCTACAGGCTTACTCAGGAGTAAGCATTAGCAGAAACCCCCTCTTCCTGCTGCTGCCCTGCAGTCTGGGCCGCCCAAGCACCACCCGGAGACCGAGCCGGAGCCGGAGCTGACGGCCTTGGGCAGCAGTGCCGAAGGTGAGCTGAGTGCCAAGTTGCAGTGGCGCACCGAGCTCAACGACCCCGCGCAGCTCTCGCCCAGCGGCAGCACCCAGCACCGCATCTTCAGCCGCTACACCAAGTCCCCATATGCAATGCAGGAATCTGTTGTCCAGTGTGGGACTCGAATCCGCTACCCTGAGATTAAGAGTCTCATGTTCTACTTACTGAGGTATCCCTTTTTGTTTTCTGTCTCTCTGCAAATAGGGAGGTAGTTGAACTCGTGGCAAAGGTCATTCCCGTCTACGTCGCTTTCCACTTTTTCGAAGCCCTTTGCGTGAGTATAATCACCTTTAAGGGAAATAGGGTGGGGGTGGTCTCTCATCTTGTTTAATAATAATAATAATAATAATAATAATTTATATTTATACTTTATAATTTATATTTATACTCCGCCCTCCCCGGCCAAAACCGGGCTCAGAGCGGCTAACATCAAACGTATAACACATTAACATAAAATCAGGCAATCAATTAAAAAACATCCTAAAATCAGATCAGGAAGTTGAATTGAGGTTGGGTTGGTCTTGCCTTCTTAAGGAGAGGTCTAGTCCAGTCCCAACAAAAGAAGAATGGATACTAAAAACTTACGAAATATGCAGAAATGGCGAAACATACTGGAAAAATAAGAAATCAAGATAAACTTTTTTTTATAAACAAATGGAAATGGTTTATTGAATATTTACAAACAATTTGTAAACTGATAAGAACATTGGCAGGATTATTGTAATAACCTGCAGTTTCATAAAAATATATATATAGATGAATAAATGAACAAATTAAGCTAATTTGGATATGCAGAAAATATTAAAAATAAAGTTCAGGAACTGCAGAAAGAGGGGGAAGGAAGTCAAGTTTTTAAATGTTAAAATGACAGTAAAATTTTTGAAATGAATCAGGGCTTGGCTCTGGAAAGTCACGAATAATAAGAGAGCAGGAGAAAAGAGTTTTAAAGCTCCCTGCCTTGCTTTTTGGCCTTCTTGGCACACTGGCTCCAGAAGGATAGAGGTGCGCTCATGGGGACAGTTTTTGTTATATGCTTTTTGTTGTATTTTGTATTTGGTTAAAGGAAACAATGGATATAGATGGTAGAATAAAAGGAGAATTCCCCGGGTGCCTAGATATCTGGGTTTGGGGCAAGTACACTTTGGTGAGAAAACCCCAGCATAGATTTAAAACCACAAAGCATGCAGCAAAGTGTGGAAATATAGGCTTCCAAAGTCCCCCCACTTCCCTTCACATAGAAAGAGACCACATGGTCGGTAAGTTAAAATGCTTTACTTACCAACTTTTCCAAAGTCAGATTCATGTGCTTTCCCATACAGCAGCAAGAAAACACAGGCAGTATAGTTGTTACACTGTTCCTGAATTATTTGTATGGAAACTCAAAGATGGCTTGCTAAAGCCATGCGGTCTAAGCTTGGAGCAGCCAGCTTAGACCTCCTTACTGGTCAGGTGGAAGGGAAAGACCAAAGAGTTTGGTCACCCTTCCTCCCAAGGGGCGGGTATTGTAACCCAGCTAAGCCCAACAGGACAGCTTACTCTCTGGTCTTAACCCCCTCCATGCATTTAGAGTGGTTCTATGAGGCTGGATGGAGGCAGGTGGTGCTGTGGGTTAAACCACAGAGCCTAGGGCTTGCCGATCAGAAGGTCGGCGGTTCAAATCCCCACGACGGGGTGAGCTCCCGTTGCTCGGTCCCTGCTCCTGCCAACCTAGCAGTTTGAAAGCACATCAAAGTGCAAGTAGATAAATAGGTACTGCTCTGGCGGGAAGGTAAACAGCGTTTCCGTGCGCTGCTCTGGTTTGCCAGAAGCGGCTTCGTCATGCTGGCCACATGACCCGGAAGCTGTACGCCGGCTCCCTTGGCCAATAAAGCGAGATGAGCGCCGCAACCCCAGAGTCGGCCACGACTGGACCTAATGGTCAGGGGTCCCTTTACCTTTTTATGAGGCTGCATATATCCCACACCTTTTTGTGCATACCACCCCAGAAGGTAACCCGTGTGTGAGACACAATAATATTGTAACCCCTTCTTCCCCTCTTCGCAGTGTACCACCAGCGGGGTCCTGCGTGGCACCGGGAAACAGAAGCTTGGCGCCATCTTCAACGCCGTCGGGTACTACGCCGTGGGATTGCCCGTGGCCATCGTGCTGGTTTTCGTGGCCAAAATGGGACTCATAGGTACCACTCTTAATACCAAGTTCGCTCATTGGTCTGTATGGCTCAGTATTGCCCACACTGATTGGCTGTGGCTTTCAGGAAGGAGTTTCTGTTCTTCTACCTGGAGGTGCCAGCGGGAATGGAACCTGGGACCTTCTGCATGCAGGCCAGACGTATAGCCCATGACGTATAGTCCCTGTTGACCCTTCTGTGTGGTCTCTCTCCATCTTCTCCCTCAGGCCTCTGGCTGGGCATGTTGATATGCGCCCTTATCCCTTGCATATGCTCTATAACCTACATTGGCCGGATGAACTGGAAGCAGGCGGCTGAGGAGGTAGGGAGATTAATAATAATAATAATTATAATTTATTTATACCCCGCTCATCTGGCTGAGTTTCCCCAGCCACTCTGGGCAGCTCCCAGTCAAGTGTTAAAAACAATACAGCATCAAATATTAAAAACTTCCCTAAACAGGGCTGCCTTCACATGTCTTTTAAAGATAGCTACTTATTTCCTTGACATCTGCTGGGAGGGCGTTCCACAGGGTGGGCACCACTACCGAGAAGGCCCTCTGTCTGGTTCCCTGTAACCTCACTTCTCGCAGGGAGGGAACTGCCAGAAGGCCCTCAGAGCTGGACCTCAGTGTCCGGGCTGAACGATGGGGGTGGAGACGCTCCTTCAGGTATACAGGAACTTGAGGCCGTTTAGGGCTTTAAAGGTCAGCCAACACTTTGAATTGTGCTTGGAAACTTACTGGGAGCCAATGCAGATTTGCTTAAAGGGTGGGGTGTTTTTCTTTTCTTTGGGGGCCACATTCACTGTGTCGGGGGCCGTGTGTTGGCAGCGAGCGGCGCCACAGGCAAAAGTGTTCCGGATTAACTGATCTGGAGCGAAGACCACTCTGGTTCCATTTTCCCTGTAATAATTTCCCAGCTGGATTGGGGCAAAGGGAGCCCATCTAGCCTAGTCAGCCCACAAGCAGGGCCCAAGCACAGCAGCGAAGCTCTCCCCACTCACGACCCCATGTTGGGCGAAAGTTTCCCGCACTGTGGGGGGAGGGGTTGGACTAGATGACCCCCAGGTCCCCCCCCAACTCTTCAATTCTCACGATTCCACGATCCGTGGCCACTTTGGCTCGTAGCTGCCGACGGACACCTCTGTGGATTCGTCAAATGCTCTTTTGAAGCCACTCAGATCAGAACCACCAGGTGTGCCCAGGTGAAAAAGGAACAAATGTGTAGGAAGAACGGGGCGGCGTTGGGGGCCGCATAAAATGATGTCAGGGGCCATATGAGGCCCACCTGGACAGCAGGAGATATGTTGGAGTAGGAAACAATAAGATGGCCAAGGAGAGTTAATTTTCTATTGTTTCTTTAGCCTGTTTTTATCTTGTGAGTCATTCCAGTGTAAAACTGGAAAATTATTGCAAGCGCCGAACATAGAAGCTGCCTTACCTTGATCCAGCCAGCTCAGTATTATGGACACTGGCTGGCAGCTGCTCTCCAGAGTTTGTGGCAGGGAGTCCCACCCCCCCACAGCCCAACCTGGAGATGCTGCCAGGGACTGAACCTGGCACATTCTGTATGCCAAGCAGGGGCTGCAGGCACTAAGCTGAAACCCTTCTCCCTGCAAAGAGGTCCGAGAAACCTAAAAAAACCCAGAAACCTTAACAAAAAAACCCCAGATCCCTGGCCGCACAAAGTGCTTCCTTAACAAACTGTCTGGATCCTCCCTCCAGGCTCAGCACCGTGCAGGATTGACCCAGAGGCTGCCCCCGGAGGGTTTGAACTCGGCTCCTGTCCCAAGCAAGATGGCTCCTTCTTCCGGTATGGAACATGGGTTTGTTTTTTTCCTTGTGTGATCCTCAAAGGAGGTCCAGTGTCTGTCGCCATCAGAAGCGTGGCCGCTTTTCAACTGCAAGGCTTAGAAAAGGGAACCGCAGCCCTCCTTCAAAGCCCAAGGGTAGCTTCGAAATGCCCATTAACACCAACCCAACAGATGCAAAGGGAGGGGGCGATGCCGTTGGGCTGCTGACTTGGTTGGTTTAAAAAAGTCATGTCCCCCGGCCCCACAAACTTGTTTTAACCACCCGCTGCTCCATAGCACAAAGGGGTCAGTGCCAGAGCTAGATTTAGGTATGATGAGTCCCTAAGGTAATGGGGCCTTTGTATGTACAGCTGTCCTTTGTCAACAACAAATCACCGCTGTTTTTTGTGTTGAATATATGCTATATGGTAATTTATGGACCTAATAGGTATCTAAAGCCATTTGCACATAACAAAAGGCTAGCAGGCGGGGCCTATTATTTACATCATAGGAGCCTACACAACACAGAACCTTGTTGCTGTATGTAGGTTTTATTTTATTGGTTTTCTTATCTTATACAGTGGTACCTCAGGTTAAGAACTTAATTCGTTCTGGAGGTCCGTTCTTAACCTGAAACTGTTCTTAACTTGAAGCACCACTTTAGCTAATGGGGCCTCCCGCTGCTGCCGCGCGATTTCTGTTCTCATCCTGAAGCAAAGTTCTTAATCTGAGGTAATATTTCTGGGTTAGTGGAGTCTGTAACCTGAAGTATATGTAACTGTACTGTATTTTGGAAGTGTACATCCAGGTTTTTTCCCCTTTACATCTTTTGGGGGCCCGCAAGAGAGGTGGGCTCTAAGTTATAGCCTGTTTAGCTTATATGTAAATTTGCACCTGGTTGTTTTGTCCAACGTGGGGCTCGAACCCTGAGACTGAAGAGTCTCACGCTCTGGCCACTGAGGCGCAATGCTTCAGAAACCATGAGCAGAAATGGTTTCTGAAGGTGAATCGTGGCTGGAACCTTGTGTTCCGCCATGAAGAAAAGGTAGGATATTTGACCACATGCTGCCCCCCTTGACAGCGAGCGAAGTCCAAGCGAGGGCAGAGTGCGGAAAATGGATGGCAGAGGCCTCCAGCATTCTGTTCTCACAGCAGCTAACCAGATGCCAAGCTGACAGTTGTGTCTCTCTCCCTCTCCGCCTGCTGCAGGCCAGACGGACGCTCAGAACGGAGCCGTCCTCCTTAGTTTCTCCAAGACCGACGGGCCAACTTACCAGCTCCAGCTGCAGGATGAGACGGTGACAGGCCTCTCCACTGTGGGAAAAGTCCTGACTACACGGCAACTGATCATCCAGAGGGGATTGGCCGTTGCAGCTTCCGTCATCATCCTGGCCATCGGAGTCACGATTCGGTTCTTCACCGTTAAAGATTAGGGATATATTCACACGCACACACACCTCATTTTGGTTGGTCCAGGAAGGAGACAGAGGGAAGGGGTCCTGTTTGACTTAGAAGCAAGAAACTGGACCCCAGAATAGCTGGGCGCAGGGCTGTGTTTTGATGTCATCAGCGAGTGCAGGACGGACTTGAACCCAGGACTTGGTGGCGCAAGAAACCCAGGTCTGGCTCAGAGAGGAATAGCCACACTGCTGCCTGACAGATGTCACTGTGCTACACTCCCATCATCCCTTGCAGTTGGGGGCCATTTTGGCTGGGGCTGATGGGAGTTGGAGTCCAACCGTTGCCTACCTTGGCAGGGCAGAAACCATGCTGCGGAGAGGAAGGGCCGCCTCTCGCTACGTTCTGCTCAAGAGTTGACCAAAACTGAAATGAATGGGCCTCCGTCAGCTGTGCCCATTAATGTCGATGGGTCTACTCTGAGTAGGATGCAACCATGAAACGATATCAATAAAGCGCTCAAGGCCCAGAGGTCAAATCAGGAAAAACTCTTAATCATTAAAAAGCTTCAACCCACTCTCGTTTAATCATGTTATATTTGCAGCTTGCGTAAGTTACAAGGATACACCCACATTTCTTAAACATACAGAGAGAGAAATATATCCATCTTCCCATATAAAATATTTTGATAATAATTCTAAACTCACGTCAGTTCTTTCGTTCTCTGCATCTAAAATACTTTATGTAAGAAGTGTTTATTTTGAAGGGAAAAGAATGAAAGGAAGACAAGTCCTTGGAAAAGGTCAGTTGGAAACAAATCTATAGATCGCTCTGGTTGAATTCAATCCACCTTCCAGCACAGAAATGGGATGAGTCAGTTGTAGTGAATCAGACCAGCCTCCACTGGTGCCTTCCAGAGGGTTGGGACTACAAGTCCCATCGGCCTCAGCCAACCTGATGGATTTTGTAGTCCAAAAACATATTGGAAGATGCCAGGTTGCGGAGAGGCTGTATTAAAACACCCATCTCGGAAACCTCTCTCTTAAAAAACAAAACCCTTTCTCTTCTCCTCCCTCTTTGCAGTGAACTCTGGGAACTGTAGTTCTGGGAGGGGAACTTGGAATCTCCTAACAAGTCCCAGCACCCTTATCCAACTACAGCTCCCATAATATTTTTTTTGGGGGGGGGGAGCCATGACTTTTGAAAATGGCATCATAGTGCTTTAAATGTGATGGGGTTGACATCTGGAAGGCCACAGGTTCCTCACCTCTGGGCGTCGAGGAGTGCGGCCTGAAATCGGTCACACAAACACACCCTAAGGCCGCTTCGCGGGGCTGGTGTCACTTTGCAAGCCAAATCAGACTGGGCAGCTGGCCTGCAGCCCCTCTGGATTCTGCAGGACTCCCAGCTCCAGATCAGCCCCAGGCAGCCTGGTCAGGGATACTGGGAGCTAGGGGTCCTGCAAAATCCAGAGGCCCAGAGGTTCTCCACCTCCACCAGATACAAGAAGGTATTTGGCACAGAGTCAGGCGGGAAACTAGCCTGCTCTCTCGCACAGCGCCCTTTCATTTTGCAGCGGGACAACTGCCAGGCGATACCCTAACCCTCTCTGTAATCCTAAGGAGGCACAGAAATCCGTCGCTGTTTCTGCGTGGACAACTCTGGGACAGAAGCGGTTTAAGGGTCCCAATTTTCACCAGGAAATTTACCCTTCTGAAGGGGAGTAAAGGCGGATGAGGACTAGCCTCATTATATGGGCAAGTAGGCCTTCTGGAATATACACCCCATGCCCCATTATTATTTAATTTGTTTAATTATTTAATTTGGGACCAGCACCCCATTTATCGAAGGCTTTCATCTGTTTATTTTCTGTACAATTGCACTCCTTCCCAAAACCACAACCCCATTCTGATTTCAGCCTCCTTTTGGAGCATTTCACGTTCCTCGTTTCTGATTATTGATTATTATTTCAAAGACAACCTAAGCCAAAGAGGTGAGACGGGGACTGATGTATCAGCCCATCTGGCACAGAGCAAGGCCACTTCTTTCTTTTTAAAAAACCTCAGACATATTTTGTGTGTGTGAAGAGTCCTTCAAGAACAGCAGCGAGAATATTGACAGCGCTTTTCAGTTTCGCTGCCTAAAACGCCCTCGTTTACAGCGGGAGGCTGTGGGCGCAGACTGTCGCTCAGATCCTCCTCCTGACTTTTTAGTGTGTTTAAGGATTAAAAAGAAATGGCAAAATTCCTTACAGAAGTGTGCTTTAGCAACCAGCCCCCTTAACCCGGTGAGAACAGCTTGTATAACACGACTTGTTCCGTCAATGGTGTCGGTGAACCCTGGACTCAGAAAAACGCGACCTGGAAGAAAGAGAGAGAATTGAACGCCATTAGCTCTTTGAATCTACGGTGTGTTTTCCTTCATTCGTGCATGGTTTTTTAAAGGGGAAAAACCCCAGAAATTTGAAGCTATGCATGGAAGAATGTCCAATGCTGCCTTAAACTGAGGCACGCCGTTGATGCATCTGCTCTTAGAATCTGATCAGCAGCGGCTCTGTGGGGCCTTGCCAGCAAATGGTCTTTTTGCGAGCGATCGCGATGGACACATGTCAAATATAGCAAGCGGCCACCGCAATGGAGCAAGCATTGCAGGGTCCCTTCCAACTCTCCCATTCTAAACTCGTCAGCAGATCATTGCAAGCCACACGCAAAAACAGAAGCATCTCATTGGCCCCAGAAGAGATAACTTGGTCTTCTTGTTATCTACAAAAACGATGAGATATCTTGCATCCAAGGCGCTGCTAGATCAGGGATGGGGAGCCTGAGGAAGACCTCTCTACCAATAAGAGCCATTTGACAGTGGAACAGACTCCCACAAGAGATGGCGGACTCTCCTTCCTTCGCTGGAGGTCTTTAAGCAAAGATTGGGTAGCCATCTATCATGTATTTATAGCTGAGATTCCTGAATTGCAGGACTAGATGCCGATTCCACAAGTCTGTGATTCTGTGCTGCTGGACTCCCAGCGCCCCCAGCCTGTAGCCTGGCCACAGGTTACATGAGAAGAACCTGCTGTTCAGGCCAATGGCCCACCCAGTCCAGTTCTCCCCGGGGCCAACCAGATGCACGTCACAGGGAACCTGCAAGCAGGATCTGGGCACAAGAGCGCCATCCCCTTCTACGGTTCCCAATAACTGTGGAGGCAGAGCCGAGCCGCTGATAGCATTTGAAGCCTCTTTTAAAGCCAGCACCACTCTTGTGGGAGGGAGTTCCACAGCTCAACAATGCACCGCATGGAGAAACAATTCCTTCCATCTGTCCTGATTCTTCCAACCTCTGAAGATGCCCACGAGTTCTCGTGTTACGAGGAGGGAAAAGCTTCTCTCTGTCCGATTCCTCCGTGCCATGCATAATTCTATAGAAGTCTATCCTAGACTGGTGACTGGGAGCAGCCGCCGAGACCACATAACACCGGTCTTGAAAGACCTACATTGGCTCCCAGTATGTTTCCAAGCACAATTCAAAGTGTTAGTGCTGACCTTTAAAGCCCTAAACGGCCTCGACCCAGGATCCCTGAAGGAGCGTCTCCACCCCAATCGTTCTGCCCGGACACTGAGGTCCAGCGCCGAGGGCCTTCTGGCAGTTCCCTCGCTGCGAGAAGCAAAGTTACAGGGAACCAGGCAGAGGGCCTTCTCGGTGGTGGCACCCGCCCTATGGAACACCCTCCCACCAGATGTCAAAGAGAACAACAACTACCAAACTTTTAGAAGACATCTAAAGGCTGCCCTGTTTAGGGAAGCATTACTGTATTTTAATATTTGGTTGGAAGCCGCCCAGAGTGGCTGGGGAAGCCCAGCCAGATGGGCGGGTTATAAATAAGAAATTGTTATTATTATTATTTATCCTGTCACCTCTGACTTGCCTTTTCTCTGAACCAAAAAGCCCCAAAGGCTGCCACTTTTTCCTAGTAGAGGAGTCATTTTGATCCCCTTCATCATCTTGCTGGAATGATGGGTTTTGTACACCCACCGTGCCTGTAAGACCGCCGGAGTTCCTCACCCCTGAACTAAACTCTTTCCCCGATGCTGCTCAGTTACAGAAAGCCACAACCGAGCGCATGCCATTTTTTAATCATGCGGCCCCCGCATCTGTGCAAGCCACATGCAGGGGCCACACGGGAGACCGGCACGGAATAGCAAGAAAGGAGAGTCCTACCTCCCCCGAACGGCACCGGCTTTGAGTATGGGTTTCATCACTTCCTACCGAGGTTCCACATTCTCTGTGTGGCCACTGCAGCCAGCAAGGTCTTAATCCCTAGCCCAACCCGGCCGTTCTGGGGAGAACCAGAAGAAAATGAGAAATAGATTGGGTAAGGGGGCAACCCCTGCTTCTGTCAGACTTAAAATGCGTTGGGCTTGTGGGCCGAGTTCTTGTAGGGAAGGAATACACCCATACAGAGGAGTGCCAGGCCTTGGGGAACTTTTATAGAGGCTGCAGCCGTTGTTGGACTTCAATTCCCAGCAGGCTGCAGGGCCACCGGCCAGTGGAATTATGGGAGTTGGAGTCCAGCAACGGCTGGAGAGCCAAAAGGTTCCCTCTGGGCAATGATGTCAGAGAAGAGAATCCGGTTTAAGGCAGCAATGGGAGCTGGAAGAGCAGAATTTAGAGAATCAGATGGGGCCTCCCAGTGCCGATCTGTTTTCATTTTTTATTTCTGTGTGTCTATAACCTGCTCTTCACTGAATATTTCCAGTCCCAAGGCGGTGAGCAATGAGATGAAGTAATGATAATAAAAATGTACAGAAGTAAATGACAACGGTGTAACAAAAAAATGACAGAATCTGTAAAGATAATGAAGAAATGAACCGCACCATCCTAAAGCAAGCAGAGCAAAAGTGTAGAGAGGACAATAATTAACATTTTCCCCAATTTAACCAAATTCCTAGGTAAAGAGAACAGAGCAATCAACCGCCCCAAACAGCCACACAGGCCTTAGAAACTGTTCCCACTCCATCTCTTTCTGGGGGCAGCCCACTCACTCCTCTGCCCCCCGCACAATTATTCAGATAAATTATATATTCAATTTCACTTACATATTTAAACCACTGAACTACAGTTGCCTCTGAGCAAAGACGTGTGTGTGAGCACTCATTCTGTCTTAAGCAAAGTATGCCACCTTTCACACAAGCTGCCGGGCGATTTACAACAGGAGTCAAATAAGACTGAAAAACCCCCCGTAAAGGAACAGCCCTTAAAACAGTGCACCAACCACAGCTGGCCTTCAGCCAACTCCCGCCCCACCTGCCTTCTTACAACCAATCAGAACTACTGGCTCTAGCTCCGCCTACCGTTTTGCTCTGGCTCCTCCTACCGTCCGGTCTCCCCGCTTTCCATGCTACTGGGCACCGGTCGCCACTCTCTCCAACAACAGGTGACTGCCCAGGCTGTGCCTGAAGTCCCACATCGGGGGGAAAGCCTCTTGCATATTGAGATTTCTGCACTGCAGGAGGGGGTGGACTGGATGACCCTAGGGGTCCTTTCCAGGTCTGCAGTTCTATGATTCTAAGGAACTGGGCCCTGTTGGCCAACTGCCTTGACTGTTCTGATGTTCTTTCTAAAGTTCAGCCAAAATCAACCCTCCTTTTACCCAACCTCATTAGTTCTGCCCTCTAGGGCAGCCGGGAACCGGGCCTTCGCCCTTTTCCATGACCCAACAGCCCTTCCGACACCCCACCTCCTTTCAGCAGAGTCCCAGCAAGGATGGACAACTTAGCTCCCAGTTAAGCTATGATGGGATGGCCACACGAAAAATCCACGATCTGCACAGAAGCGTCAGGCCTAAAGAGCACAGCGACTCATCTCTGGCAGGCCTTGCCCCATGAAGCTGTTGCGGAGACTGAAAATCCCTGCCACCTCACAGCTGCCTAAGTCCCCTTCTCTCCAGGGTTTTCCCTACGCAATCTGAGAGTACGCCTGCGTTGACGCTAATTTCTTCTCTGCCCTTTTCATGCCTCTCCTGGTTCTGGGAGACAAGGGGGGAGAGCAGCTTGCTGCTGCAGGAAAGCGAGACCCCTGTGGCCCTCCAAACTCATCTCGGCCTCTCGGAATCCCTCCTCTCCTGCTTCAGCTTCTGCCTCTGATTCTGGACTGCTCTCTGTTACAGCCTCTTCCTTCTCACTAAGCCCCGTTAGCTCTTCAGCTTCCGACTTCTCTTCCAGGTCTTCTCCCTCATCGTCCCCCCACTTCTTGGGCTCTGAGTCTCTGCTGGTGCCTCCAACCATTCCTCTGCTGTCTACCAACTCCACCTGGTACGCAGGCTGAGACCCTTCCTGCCCGCAGACTGTCTGACCAGATTGGTGCATGCTCTGGTTATCTCCCTCTCGGACTACTGCAATGCGCTGTACGTGGGGCTACCTTTGAAGGTGACCAGGAAACTGCAACTAATCCAGAATGCGGCAGCTAGACTGGTGACTGGGGGCAGCTGCCGAGACCACATAACACTGGTCCTGAAAAGACCTGCATTGGCTCCCAGTACGTTTCCAAGCACAATTCAAAGTGTTAGTGCTGACCTTTAAAGGCCTAAATGGCCTCGGTCCTGTATACCTGAAGGAGCGTCTCCACTCCCATTGTTCAACCTGGACACTGAGGTCCAGTGCTGAGGGCCTTCTGGCGGTTCCCTCCCTGCGAGACGTGAGGTTACAGGGAACCAGGCAGAGGGCCTTCTCGGTGGTGGCGCCTGCCCTGTGGAACGCCCTCCCACCAGATGTCAAGGAAATAAACAACTAGCTGACTTTTAGAAGACATCTGAAAGCAACCCTGTACAGTGGTACCTCGGGTTAAGTACCTGAGGTCCGTTCTTAACCTGAAACTGCTCTTAACCTGAGGTATCACTTTAGCTAATGGGGCCTCCCGCCGCTGCCGCCGCACGATTTCTGTTCTCATCCTGAAGCAAAGTTCTTAACCCGAGGTACTATGTCTGGGTTAGCTGTAACCTGAAGCGTCTGTAACCCGAGGTACCACTGTATAGGGAAGTTTTTAATGTTTGATGTTTTATCATGATTTTAATATTCTGATGGGAGCCGCCCAGAGTGGCTGGGGAAACCCAGCCAGATGGGTGGGGTATAAATGATAAATTATTATTATTATTATTATTATTATTATTATTAGTTCAGCCAGTCCATGGCAACAGCTCACCTTGACCACGACGGCCACCAGGATGCCCAAGACTGCCAGGAGGGCGAGTCCAATCTTGCGTTTGTTGAACTTCTGCAGGACAAAGAACTTGGCCCAATCTACCTTCTTGCGGCTGCTGGGTGGGTAGCGGAGGTTGTTGACAGCTTCCATCTTGAGGGCCCGGACGAGGCAGGCGCGTTTGTGGGAGAAGGTCTCAAAGCTGTACCGGCCATGGTAGGCCCCCATCCCGCTGTTACCTGGAAGGGGGCGGGAACAATGGGAAGCAAGGTCTAAGCAGGGGGGAAAGAGTTGGTCCACTTCCTTTGACCTTGCAGGTAGCAAAACAAAAACCCATCAAGTATGAAAAGGAAGCTGGGTAAATTGATCTGCCAAAAAACCCAATTCACTAGCCCTCAAAGCAATTAGCCTACAGATCTGTAAAAAAAAATATGAGTGACTAGTCCTCAACCAATGATGTATAGCGCTGCCGGAAAAATTCGCAAGTCCTCAAGCAATAAACACATAGTTCTGTCAAGTCACTAGTCCTCAAGATGCCAAAAAAAGAAAACCACAAACCATCAAATAATATACAGCTCTGCAAGAAAAGAATCCAACTAAGTCAGACTGAGAGTTAAAGTATATTTCTTCATTTCAGTGAGCCTACTCTGAGTAAGACATAGCCAGATACAACCCATTATTATTTAATAATAATTATGGTTATGATAAACTGTTATTAAATAAAACTGCTCTAAATAATGTTATGATAGGTTTATCATGCGTTATGATAAACTGTTATTAAATAAAACTGCTCTAAATAATGTTATGATAGGTCCAGTCATGGCTGACTCTGGGGTTGCGCGCTCATTTCACTCTATAGACCGAGGGAGCCGGCGTACAGCTTCTGGGTCATGTGGCCAGCAGGACTAAGCCGCTTCTGGCGAACCAGAGCAGCGCACGGAAACACCGTTTACCTTCCCGCCAGAGCGGTACCTATTTATCTACTTGCACTTTGATGTGCTTTCAAACTGCTAGGTTGGCAGGAGCAGGGACTGAGCAACGGGAGCTCACCCCCGCAAGGGGATTCAAACCGCCAACCTTCTGATCAGCAAGTCCTAGGCTCTGTGGTTTAACCCACAGCGCCACCCGCGTCCCATGTTATGATAAATGAGCATAAATAAAAACAACATTCAGTTATATTAAGCTAAGTGTATAATCAATTATAAACGAACACAATTTATATAGCACTGTGTGTTCAGAATTTGTTAATGTGTTCATTTGTTTATTCGTTGAAACGGATTTCAGAGCAGTGCGCAATGTGGGTAGAACGCTGTAAAATCCTGATGTTGGCCAACGGGAGGAAGGACCACGGATAAAAATCACAAAGCATACCGAGGGAGATCACGAGAATCTAAAACGCCTGGGCAAACCAGGATCAAGCGGGTCCCAGGCTTTAGGGAGGGCCTAGGACCCAAGGACCCACGTACCTATGGGACCGCCTCTCCTAGTATGCCCTGTGGAGGACCTTAAGGTCCACAAATAAAAACACTTTGGAGGTTCCAAGCCTCAAGGAGGTTAGATTGGTTTCAACTAGGGCCAGGGCCTTTTCAGTACTGGCCCCGACTTAGTGGAACGCTCTGTCACAAGAGACTAGGGCCCTGCGGGACTTGACATCTTTCCGCAGGGCCTGCAAGACAGAGCTATTCTGCCTGGCCTTTGGTTTGGACTCAGTCTGACCCTTATGTTTCCCTCCCCTTATGGTCTTGATTTATCAGCTACTTTAAAATGAGGCTGCATTTTAAATTGTATTTTAACCTGTATTTTAAATTGGTTCCCCCCCCATTATGTTTTTACAGTGGTACCTCGGGTTAAGTACTTAATTCGTTCCGGAGGTCCGTACTTAACCTGAAACTGTTCTTAACCTGAAGCACCACTTTAGCTAATGGGGCCTCCCGCTGCTGCCGCGCCGCCGGAGCACGATTCCTGTTCTCATCCTGAAGCAAAGTTCTTAACCTGAAGCACTATTTCTGGGTTAGTGGAGTCTGTAACCTGAAGCGTATGTAACCCAAGGTACCACTGTACTGTGATTTTATGGGTGTTAGCCCAATTTATTATTAGTAGTAGTAGTATTATTATAGTTCACAAGAGCTCTGTATAGTAGGCTGCCATAAGTAACATCAGAAGAGAGAGGGGAGGGAGGGCTGAGGCAGAGCAGCTTGGAGGCAAAACTCCTCCTGATTAGGAAAGTCTGCCAAGGAAGCCCCCACCCAATCCCACGTCCTCCCATGTCCTCCCCTGCCATCTTGGCACCCCCCCCCTGTCCCTGAGGGGCGACTGACTCACCAACGCCTCCAAACGGGAAGCAAGGGAGAGTAAAGTGCATCAGAACATCATTGGCCGTCACCCCTCCGCTGGAAGTCTCTGCAATCATCCTTTTGATTATCTGGGAGGGAGGGGAAAAAGAAGGGGGGGGATAAGAGAGGGAAATGAGGCCGCAAGCGATAACCAGCTCAAGCAACAGATCCATCAACTCGCTCTAGGGCTGATTAACTGGAGGGATGGAATAAATGACACCTCAGTATTTTGGGGAGGCAGGTTTGGTTCCGCTGTGTTACCGGAATGGGTCGATGAACGAGACCCGGAAACGGAATTGGGGCCAAGTTCCTGGTGGGCAGATGTAGTGATCAGGTGGGATTGCTATGAGGAATTATAACAAATATAGAGTAAGCCACCTGTGTCAGCAATGAAAGCATTGCGTTGACTGGGTTTAAACTATTTTGATATGATTCCTGATCAATCCACACCTCTGCATCCCTGTTCCATTTCTCTTTCTTCACAAGTCACGTACACACTTAGACAGGCAGGCGTCCTGGGTCATCAAAGACAGTTTCTTTGATGTAGCTTTTCTGATATGTTAATCTTAGGATGTTAATCTTAGGGCCAGGAAACAGATCTCACCTGAAGGTGGTGATGATCGCTGTCTTCCTGGCCATCCTTATCATGTATATTGCTTGTTTATCACCTTCCCGGGGTTGCCAAAGGCACTCCTTTTGTAGTTCTGTTTTGTTTACCCCAGAAATATGCATGTTTAATTAGTTTTGGTAGTTTAACTTTTCCCCACGTGGGGTTTGTTGAAATGCTCAGAAGAAATCTGATTGGTTCTTACGAACACTCTGTAAAAAGTTCTTTTGTGAATAAAACGACCTGGGCCGAGGGGTAGAGGGAGAGAGATTATTATATGCACCCTTCCCAGAGTCTTGCTGGTTCAAGCCTCTGTGTGTATTCTTATTAATCAGAGTTCAATCCTTCTTTTACTTTGGGAATGCCTCAGGCAGAGGCCTACACAGCTTGAAACCGGGATGCCCTGATCAATGGATCACTGCACTCTGCAGGAGACAGCCTTTCACAGCCTAGGACCCTCATACCTATGGGACCGCCTCTTCCTGGTATGTCCCAAGGAGGACCTTACGGTCTTCAAACAAAAACATCTTAGAGATCCCAGGCTACAGAGAGGTTAGGCTGGCCTCAATCAGAGCCAGGGCTTTTTCGCCTGTGGCCCCGATCTGGTGGAACACTCTGTCACAAGAGACTAGGGCCCTGCGGGACTTAATATCTTTCAGCAGGGCCTGCAAGACAGAGCTGTTCCACCAGGCCTTTGGCCAAGGCACAGTCTGACCCCCTCCTCTGGTAATCCTCACAGAACTCTAGCCCAATGGTTGCCATTAATTTGATTTAAACTGGTTTTATAATGAATTGATTTTAGAATGTTGTATTATTTTACTGTTGTTAGCCGCTCTGAGCCCGGCTTCGGCTGGGGAGGGTGGGATATAAATAAAATGTTATTATTTATTATTATTATGATCTTATCAGGAAGTCCATTCCACACAAGGTTAGAATTTGGCCTGTGGCGTGGTGGCTCCTGCCTTCTGGAACTGCCTCCCGTTAAAAATCAGAAAGCAGCCTTTTCTATCACCTTCTTGGTCCCCGTTAAAGACTTTTCATCTTCCAACAGAATCTTCTAATTGACATCTTTATATGGCACCTGCACTAGATTTGAAGTTGTGTGTGTGTGTACGCATGCAGTTGCTCAAACTGTTGTTATATATGTAATTCCTTTTGTTTTGTTTTTACTGTTCTTATAAATGTTTCTACTGCATTGTGAAAATCACGTCCAGAGGCGTCCCAGGAGATTTGTGAACAAAATGAAGTGTAAGAAATTGTGGATTTGATGCTGTCCGTGAATTGCTTCCCATAAACCGTCTCAATGCAACGTCACCACGGAAACAATTTAAAACGATCCCATACAGATACAGTCATACCTCGGGTTACAGACGCTTCAGGTTGCACGTTTTCGGGTTACGGATGCGCCAAAACCTGGAAGTACTGGAACGGGTTACTTCTGGGTTTTGTCGCTCGCGCAGGAGCACTAAATCACACTTTGTGCATGCGCAGAAGCGCCGAATCGCGACCTGCAGGTGTGCAAATGCGGCGCTGCGGGTTGCGAATGCTGCAGGTTATGAACGCGCCTCCTGCACGGATCACGATCGCAACCCGAGCGTCCACTGTACACAAACAATTCCATATGTGAAAAGTTTCAAGTCCAATGCAGAGACAGACTGGAATAAAGGAGGAATAGTAATATTCTTTTTCCTTTTTCCTTTCTCCTCCTGTAATGAGGCTGCATTGTAATATTTTAATGTTTCAATATTTTAATGTTGTATTTTAATCTTGTTTTTAAATTGTATTCATTCAACTTGTTTTTATTATTGCTTGTTAGCCGCCCTGAGCCTGGCCTTGGCTGGGGAGGGCGGGGTATAAATAAAAATTATTATTATTTTTATTATTAATAATAACCGTGGCTTTAAAAATGACAAATTCATGCTCTCAGCGGCTACCAGGAAGAACGGCTAATTTCTCCACCGTTGGAGGCAATCTGTCTCCAAGTACTAGGCCTGAAACCCAAATGGTTTGCAACCAGGACTGAGGCCGGAACAAATCGACGCCGCCCAGAAGTGGTTTGTGTCCCAAGAGGCTCCGTCACCCGAGTGCGAAACCTGACCTCTGAACTCTTACCTTCTTGTTGTCGGCGAAGACGTAGAGGGCCAGGGGCTTCTCTCGCTGGTTGATGAACTGGATGGCGTCGTCCAGGCCCTTGACGGTGACGATGGGCAGGATGGGGCCGAAGATCTCCTCCTGCATGACCTTGGATTCCCGGCTGACGTCCGTGAGAATGGTTGGTGCTGGGAGAAAAGAGAGGAGTCCAGGGTGGGAGGGGGAAGGGCAGGGTAACCTGCTCATACGTGGAGGTCGGTGGAAAGAGGCAGTGTGGTGTAGTGGTTGGAGTTTTGGAGCTAGACCTGGGAGGCCAGGGTTCGAATCCCCACTCGGCCAGGGAGCTCACCTGGTGACCTTGGGCCAGTCGTTGCTTCTGAGCCTAACCTTCCTGGCAGGGCGTTGTGGGGATTAAATGAAGTGAATCCACACTACCAGCTGCCTTGCCTGGAGGAAGAACTGTGAGGGGAGAGGCTCCATCAGGCAAGGCCTCTGTCCCCCTGCCTTGCCCCAACCTCCAGGCTCTGCTTCTCATTTTGAGAATGTGGCTTGCTGCCGTTTTATTGACTGGTGTTTAGAAATCACTTACTGTAACTGTTAAGAGTGGATTTCTGTTTCACCTTGAAATGGTGATATTTAATATTATTCTGTATTATTTTAATGAATGTTGAATGTTATTTTACAGTGGTACCTTGGGTTACGTACGCTTCAGGTTACAGACTCCGCTAACCCAGAAATAGTGCTTCAGGTTAAGAACTTTGCTTCAGGATGAGAACAGAAATCGCGCGGCGGTGGCGCGGCAGCAGTGGGAGGCCCCATTAGCTAAAGTGGTGCTTCAGGTTAAGGACAGTTTCAGGTTAAGAACGGACCTCCGGAACGAATTAAGTACGTAACCAGAGGTACCACTGTATTTGCATATTGTATATTGTATTATGCATATTGTCTTATTTATATGATGTTAGCCGCTCTGAGCCCGGCTTTGGCTCGGGAGGGTGGGATACAATAAAATTTATTATTATCATTATCATTATTAAGGGAAGAACTATGTAGACCCCCTTGAACTCCTCGGAGTAAAAAAGTGGAATATAAATGCACAAAGTATATAAGCAATAAATAAAATATCAAATGAAATGTTAGTCCTGCTCAGAGTAGACCTGTTGAAGTTAATTTCTAAAAGACATCTGAAGGCAGCCCTGTTTAAGGAAGCTTTTAATGTTTAATGCTGTATTGTGTTTTTAATATTTGGTTGGGAGCTGCCCAGAATGGCTGGAGAAACCCAGCCAGATGGGCGGGGTATAAATAAATTATTATTATTATTTGAATAAATTAATCATAGAATTGTAGAGTTGGAAGGGACCACAAGAGCCAGCTAGACCAACCCCCTCCAATGCAAGAATATTTCACACAATGTGGGACTTGAATCCATGACTTTGAGATTAAGAGTCTCTTCTGACTGAGCCATCTCAGCTCATGCAATGAACGAGACTCAATTAGCTGCTTATTCCAACACATCTGCTCTGGGTATAACTTAGCTGGAGACGTTGTCTGCCTGGGCCAATCTCAGCCTTGGCAGAGAGAGAGAGAGAGTCATTTCACATCACTTGCAACCTGGTCCTTTTTAAACAAGAGATGTTGGGGACTGAACCTGGGTGCAAAGTGGGTGCTCTGCCCACTTAAAGTAAAGGTAAAGGGACCCCTGACCATCCTGAAGCAAAGTTCTTAACCTGAAGCACTATTTCTGGGTTAGCGGAGTCTGTAACCTGAAGCGTATGTAACCTGAGGTACCACTGTATTGCCTATAATAATAATAATTATAATTATAATTTATTATTTATACCCCGCCCATCTGGCTGGGCTTCCCCAGCTACTCTGGGCAGCTTCCAACAAAACACTAAAATACAATAACCTATTAAACATTAAAAGCTTCCCTAAAGAGGGCTGCCTTCAGATGTCATCTAAAAGTCTGGTAGTTGTTGTTCTCTTTGACATCTGGTGGATGCCTACACGGACTGGCAGCAGCTCTCCAGAGTTTCAGACATTGGGGTGGAGGTGGGGCATCCCAGCCCCAGCTGCATGCAAAAGCAGACGCTCTTACCACTCGGCCACAGCTCTTGAAAACAAAGCAAGATTCTAGTCCTCATGGTCTGATTTAAAGAGGAATGCCTTTTGCGGCATCAGAGCAGGGCATTGAACCCGCAGCCCTCTGCAGGCAGAAGCAGAGCTTCTCCTTTTGCAACACTGCTGTAAACACCCTGTTTTTAATCACATGCAGAACAACATGTATTTATCCACCCAACCGATTCATTCTTCCTCCTCCTCCGCACAGAAGAGGCATGCAGATTGCTTCTTTTCATGCGTCCAAAAAACACGGCCTGAGATTCAGGACGAAACTCACGTCCCTCCCGGCCTTACCTATGAAGCACGTGGATTCATCCGCTTCCCCGCCGTAAGCGATCTTCTGCCCTTCCAGGAGGCCAATGAGTCTCTTGAAATGGCGTTTGTTCACAATCCTCTCGTAGTCCGGGGATTTCTTCATGTCCTCGCCGTAAAATTCCTGCCGGGGGGGGGGGTCAACGAGGCCACGTTGGCTCAGGGTGGCTGGGAGGGCTAGCCTCCTGGTTTTTTAAAATTTGTTTTCATTTTATTGACTATCTATCTATCTAACTATTAGTTTTTTAACATATCATTTTCAACAATAATTAAACATACTTTTATATCTTATACAATTTTTGACTTCCATCAATCACATCTGAAAATTTTCCAATCTATTCACTTAATTTACATTTCTGACTTTCACTATTACATTTAAATCTCATAACTAGCATCTCTGTTCTTTCTCTACTTTGCAATATTTCATATATTTCTCCTTACAACACTTCTTGTAGTCCTAACTAGCCATTTAATTGATTTGTTAACAAGCAAGCAATCAGAAAAGGGTGGATGCAAGGAAAATAAGAGACTCAAAAACTTCAAAGCGTCACAGCCTTGGGGTTCCCAAGGTCCTGGCATGACCATTCCAGGTCTGGCTTAGAAATGTGATGGTTAAGTAAATTAACGAACTATGGTTAGGACACTAAGGATAAAAACTTGTTTGAACAAACAATTGGAGTTGGAATACAATAAGGGGAGGCGTGGGGAAGTCATGAAAAGAAGTTATTGAAAATGAGACTTAAAAGGTGGAACTTTTTTGTTGTCTTTTGTGTTTTTTTGTGTTTTTTTGTGTTTTGTTTTTTGTAACCTTTTGAAATTTTAATAAAGATTATTTTTTTAAAAAAAGAAATGTGATGGAAAAATACAGTTGTACCTTAGATCCCCAACGCCTTGGTACTCGGACGCTGCAAACCCAGAAGTGAGTGTTCCGGTTTGCGAAGCTTCTTTGGAACCCGAATGTCCGACGGGGCTTCCGATTGGCTGCAGGAACTTCCCGCAGCCAATCAGAAGCCGTGCTTTGGTTTCCAAATGTTTTGGAAGTCGAACGGACTTCTAGAACGGATTCCATTCGACTTCCAAGCCACGACTGTAAATCCATGTACCCTCAATGGCACGAGGCACCTGTGAACACATCTGCCTGATTCTAACACCTCACCTTCAGCGTCTTCTTAACAGTCTCCACTATTTGGTTTTGGATGGACGGGTCGCACAAAATGTAGTCGGGGGCGATGCAGGTCTGTCCGCAATTCATGAATTTCCCCCATGTGATCCGCCTGCCGGGAAAAAGGAGGAAAGAGAGACCTCAGATCTAACTCCATGGACTAGTGTCTTGGGAGAGGTAAACCTTTTCAAAGGGCGGTGGGGAGGGGAAATCCCGCCTGGGCTACACCAAGGCATCGCAGTGTTGAAAGAGAATCAATTGGCAATGTGCAGCCTTTCTAAGTGATCTAATAATTGCTGTTTGGAAGACTGCATCCTTTGGGGTTCCCTAGCGCCATAGCTGTCAACGTTTCCCATTTTTTAAGGGAAATTCCCTTATTCCGAATAGGATTCCTTGCAAGAAAAGGGAAAAGTTGACAGCTATGCCCAGGGACGGGGGTGGCGCTGTGGGTTAAACCATAGAGCCTAGGACTTGCCGATCAGAAGGTCGGCGGTTCGAATCCCTGCGACGGGGTGAGCTCCCGTTCCTTGGTCTCTGCTCCTGCCAACCTAGCAGTTCGAAAGCACGTCCAAGTGCAAGTAGATAAATAGGTACCACTCCGGCGGGAAGGTAAACGGTGTTTCTGTGCGCTGCTCTGGTTTGCCAGAAGCGGCTTAGTCATGCTGGCCACATGACCCGGAAGCTGTACGCCGGCTCCCTCAGCCAATAAAGCGAGATGAGCGCCGCAACCCCAGAGTCGGCCACGACTGGACCTAATGGTCAGGGGCCCCTTTACCTTTTTATGCCCAGGGCCTCACCCACCCACAACGGCACGCCAACCAGGTCTGATGCACAACTGCAAAACCAACATGCTCTAACATCAGGGATGGGGGACCCCAGGTTGAGAGGCCAGTTGTGGGTTTCTGGACTTCCCCGTCCGTTCCTCCTAACTCTGCCGGGGCCAAACATCCTTTGCTGGAACCCCCATGAGTGTTTCTGCCTAGAGTGTAACCTCGAATTTGGATCACGCCTTCTGCTCCCTTAGATGCAGAGAGAGAAAGCGTGTAGCTGAAACCACATAGGTACAAATTCTCCCTCCTGCGCTGCCCACTTCTGGTATGTGTCGGGGGCCCAAAAAACCTTCCCCACCACAAAAGTCGGCTTAGATTTCCAGAATGCATCAGCCGTTATTTTATTTGAAAACGGGAGGAGGAGGGAGAATTTGAACTTTGGCTCCCATGTTCAAATATATAAAAGGATGTCACACAGAGGAGGGAGAAAGGTTGTTTTCTGAAGAAGAGTTTGGATTTGATATCCCGCTTTATCACTACCCAAAGGAGTCTCAAAGCGGCTAACATTCTCCTTTCCCTTCCTCCCCCACAACAAACACTCTGTGAGGTGAGTGGGGCTGAGAGACTTCAGAGAAGTGTGACTGGCCCAAGGTCACCCAGCAGCTGCATGTGGAGGAGCGGAGACACGAACCCGGTTCCCCAGATTGCAAGACTACCGCTCTTAACCACTACACCACACTGGCTCTCTTTCTGCTGCTCCAGAGAAGCGGACACGGAGCAATGGATCCAAACTACAAGAAAGAAGATTCCACCTAAACATTAGGAAGACCTTCCTGACAGTAAGAGCTGTTCGACAGTGGAATTTGCTGCCAAGGAGTGTGGTGGAGTCTCCTTCTTTGGAGGTCTTTAAGCAGAGGCTTGACAACCATATGTCAGGAGTGCTCTGATGGTGTTTCCTGCTTGGCAGGGGGTTGGACTCGATGGCCCTTGGGGTCTCTTCCAACTCTTCTATGATTCTATGATTCCCCTGCTTTCGATTGCTTAACGCAAGCCGATGATGCAAAATACATCCAAGCAGGTTAGAAGTAAACCAAGGTTCGGGGAAAGAGGCAGCCTACGTCATAATGCTGTTAACACCCATCATTGTGGCGTAACCACACATGGAATTTTCTACTGAGCCGGATTCAAGGCTTAGAACGAAGGGCAATTTCTCAGATCCCGCGAGCAAAGAGAAGAGGGCTGTTTCATCACTCATAGGGCGAAAGGCCCGGAGCCCAACAGCAGGTGGCGCCAGAGCAAAGCCAACTGATTCTAGTTTTGGTGCCTTCTCCCTGCTGAGGTCTACAAGGGGCGAAGGAGGAGGAAAACGCTGATAAGCACGGCCCCCCAGGGGCTGGTTGGAAGCAAGGAGGCAGGCAGGCAGGAAGGAAAGCCAATAGAGGGCAGGCTGTGATTGGTGGGGGATCCAGTGGGGATCTCTCACATCATTCCCTTGCTTGGGAGGATTCTGGCTAAAATCAACTCAGGTCCCAAATATCTGAAAGGCCAGCTCATTCCCTACAGGCCCTCTTGGGTGCAGAGATGAGCAGAGAAGGCTCTCTAGATGGAAATGTAAGGAAAAGGAGGGGAATTGCTTCCGTATGTGGTGGACTTGTACTGAGGTTAAAGCCTACTGGGATATGATATATAATGAACTGAAAAAGGTTTTTAAAAATACCTTTATTAAAAAACCAGAGGCGTTTTTGTTGGGTATAATTGGAGAAGAAATTCCCAAAAAAGATATAAATTTATTTATGTATGCTACCACAGCTGCCCAGAAATGGAAGCAACAGGAACTTCCAACACTGGAAGAATGGGGGGCTAAAATGATGGAATATGCAGAACTGGTGAAGCTGACGGGGAAGATATGAAACCAGCGCGACGAGCTGTTTGAAAAGGACTGGAGTAAACTTATATAATATACGAGAGAACATTGTAAATATTTGAAAACGCTTGCCAGGATTGAGTTAAAATATTTTGTAATGCTAATTTTTGGAATCTCTTTACAATTAATAAGGTAAATTTTATAAGCATGAAAGAAGGTAAGTAGATTGATATAGAAATGCTAAGTTGTAAATGAATATTGATGAAAGCCAAGTAAAGGGGGGGGGGAGTTGAGGCTCAGTTTGAGCAACGCTATAGGTGATGTTATGATTTTAAAGGACGGCGACTATGGTAAAAAAAATGTTTTAAAAAATGACCCCCTCCTTTGGTAATCCTCACAGAACTCTAGCCCAATGGTTGCCATTAATTTGAATTGAACTGATTTTATAATGAACTGATTTTGGAATGTACAATATTCCAATTAATTGATTATGATTTTATGAAAACTGTGTTATTTTTACTGTTGTTAGCCGCTCTGAGCCCGGGTTTGGCTGGGGAGGGTGGGATATAAATAAATTTATTATTATTATTATATTACAGTGGTACCTCAGGTTAAGTACTTAATTCATTCTGGAGGTCTGTTCTTAACCTGAAACTGTTCTTAACCTGAAGCACCACTTTAGCTAATGGGGCCTCCTGCTGCTGCCGTGCCGCCGGAGCACGATTTCTGTTCTCGTCCTGAAGCAAAGTTCTTAACCTGAAGCACTATTTCTGGGTTAGCGGAGTCTGTAACCTGAAGCATATGTAACCCGAGGTACCACTGGCACGATTTCTGTTCTCATCCTGAAGCAAAGTTCTTAACCCGCGGTACTATTTTTGGGTCAGCGGAGTCTGTAACCTGAAGCGTATGTAACCTGAAGCGTATGTAACCCAAGGTATAATAATTATAATAATTATATATATTATAATAATTATATATATTATAATATAGAATATTATTATTATCTCCATAAAAACCACAACTTCCTGAGGGAAACCGTTCCACTGTCGAACAGCCCTTGCAGTCAGAAAGTGCTTCCAGATGTTTAGTCGGAACCTTTCTTGTAACTTCAATCCATTGGTCCAAATCCTGCCTTCCACAGCAGGATAAAACAAACCCAAGCCACTTTCCATGTGACTAGCTTTGAGATCAAAGCTTTCCAAACACATTAGTGTGTTGGCTGCAGTGTGTAGGCGGGCCATGCCATTGCGCTCCACCCGGGGTTAGAAAGGGATTAGATTAATCTCCGGCTCGCTAGTAAAACTGAATTACTATGTGGCGAAATGATGTGCGTCTATAAAGTGTGTCAAAGCATGAAACTTGGAAAGCTCTGCTTTGGCTATTGGAAGATCCACCTTGTCATTAGCCTTCTTAAATTGGGATGCCCTAGATTTGGACACAGGACTCCAGGTGTGGTCTGACCAAGGCAGAAGAGAGCGATAACATTTACTGCCCTAGATGTGGACACTAGACTTCTGTTGATGCAGACTAGAAGAGCATTAGCCTTTTTTTGCTGCTGCATCACACAGTGGACTCAGCTTGTCGTCCACTAAGACCCCGAGATCTTGGTCGTTCCTCCACCCGCAGAGCCTTGACGGGTGGTGGCTCAGCGGGACAGGGACTTATTTGCAGTGGCCCCTAAGCTGTGGGACACCCACTCCACAGAGGTCTATCTGGCACCTTCATTATACAGCTTTCAGAAAACGCTGAAGACGCTCCTCTTTGATCTGCTTTTTTGACACCTGAGTTGCCTGATTTTAGGACCCACCTTATAGCTTATGGTTGCGAAGAAATTTAAGGACTATTTGAATAAATACTGTGTTATAAAAAATTAGAAGTTACTTGAAAGCACCAAATAGGCCTAGGATTAAATTAGGATTTAATTAAATAAATGGGATTTAGAACAGTAAGAGAAGTGAATAAGGCAGACAAAAGTTGGAAATATTTTTGTTTTAAAATGATATTGGAAAGCTGTTACATGCAGACACAAGGAAATTCAGAAGAAAGGGACTTGAGGAAGTCAATCTACAATGTGAACAAAATTGGATATGGGATTAAGATTACATTTTTATTATTACTATTGTGGTTTTGTATTGTATTGTTTTTTCTTTGGTATGCTTTTCTGTTTTTGTTTTTCTTTTTTGTTAATGTTGTATGTGTTATAATTGTGAAAATTTAATAATTTTTTTGGGAAAAAATTAAAATATATCTCTTATGGTTGCAAGCTGTTTTACATGGTGTGTTTTTTTCCATTAAAAAGAAAAAATCTAATGCCTTGTGGGATCTCTTTGGGAGAAGAAAAGGCTCAGGAGAAAGCCCTACACAAATCCCTAAGACAGTGTTTCCCAACCTTTTTTGGGCAAAGGCACACTTGTTTCATGAAAAAAATCTCGAGGCACACCACCATTAGAAAATGTTTAAAAAATTAACTCTGTGCCTATATTGACTACCGTATTTTTCGCCCTATAGGACGCACCTAGATTTTGGGGGGGGGAAATAAAGGGAAAAAAATTATTTCCCCCCCCCCCAGACGTGGGGCTGGGGCGGGAGAAGCCCGAGCTTCCCCCGACCCCAGCCCCCAGAATGGGAGCCAGAGTGGCTCCCGGAGCTTGCGGGACTGGGGGTGGGGGAAGCCCGAGCTTCCCCCGCCCCCAGCCCCCAGAAAGGGTCCGAGAGCGATGGCGAAGGTGAGCGCACCTTTGCCATTGCTCCCGGAGCTTGCAGGAGCTGGGGGTGGTGGAAGCCCGAGCTTCCCCCGCCCCCAGCCGCCAGAGCAGGTCAGAGAGCGATGGCGAAGGTGTACGCACCTTCGGCATCGCTCTGGGACCTTGCGCGGGCTGGGGGCGGGGGAAGCCGGAGCTTCTCCCGTCCCCAGCCCCCAGAGCGGGTCGGAGAGCGATGGCGAAGGTGCGCGCACCTTCGCCATCGCTCTGGGACCTTGCGCGGGCTGGGGGCGGGGGAAGCCGGAGCTTCTCCCGTCCCCAGCCCCCAGAGCAGGTCGGAGAGCGATGGCGAAGGTGTGCGCACCTTCGCCATCGCTCTGGGACCTTGCGCGGGCTGGGGGCGGGGGAAGCCGGAGCTTCTCCCGTCCCCAGCCCCCAGAGCAGGTCGGAGAGCGATGGCGAAGGTGCGCGCACCTTCGCCATCGCTCTGGGACCTTGCGCGGGCTGGGGAAGCCGGAGCTTCTCCCGTCCCCAGCCCCCAGAGCAGGTCGGAGAGCGATGGCGAAGGTGCGCGCACCTTCGCCATCGCTCTGGGACCTTGCGCGGGCTGGGGGCGGGGGAAGCCGGAGCTTCTCCCGTCCCCAGCCCCCAGAGCAGGTCGGAGAGCGATGGCGAAGGTGCTCGCAGCTTTGGCATCGCTCTGGGAGCTTGCGCGGCTGGGGGGATAGCTTCCTTAAGCCTGGAGAGCGAGAGGGGTCGGTGCGCACCGACCCCTCTCGCTCTCCAGGCTTCAGCGAAAGCCTGCATTCGCGGCGATGGGATGTGGGAGGGAGCTCGCTCGCCGCCCCGCGTGTGCTCGCCGCCGCCGCCCCGCCTCTCGCCGCCCGACTCGCCCGCCTCCCTCCCATGGCACACTAGGCAACGTCTCACGGCACACTAGTGTGCCGCGGAACACCGGTTGGGAAACAAAGCCCTAAGATGGTTTGATGGCGCCTTGTACGTCTCCTTCTGGCAATTCCTGCTGCCAAGCTGGTGCCAAAGATCTTGCTCTGCTTTCCTTTGGATCACATCAGCGAGGGCGAGGGGGGTGTCCTGTCATGTGGGCAGCCCAGGACCCCCAGACCCACTGCCCAGACTTGCACCCCAGAGAGATCACTTAATTGCTTGCCTGCGAGCGCTCCAGCTGGAGAACAGTCTTTGCCAAAGCTAGACTGGTGACTAGGGGCAGCCGCCGAGACCACATAACACCAGTCTTGAAAGACCTACATTGGCTCCCAGTACGTTTCCAGGCACAATTCAAAGTGTTGGTGCTGACCTTTCAAGCCCTAAACGGCCTCGGCCCAGTATACCTGAAGGAGCGTCTCCACCCCCATTGTTCTGCCTGGACTCTGAGGTCCAGCGCCAAGGGCCTTCTGCCAGTTCCCTCACTGCGAGAAGCAAAGCTACAGGGAACCAGGCAGAGGGCCTTCTTGGTAGTGGCACCCGCCCTGTGGAACGCCCTCCCACCAGATGTCAAAGAGATAAACAACTACCTGACATTTAGAAGACAGCTGAAGGCAGCCCTGTTCAGGGAAGTTTTTAATGTGTGACATTTTAATGTATTTTTAATCTTTGTTGGAAACCGCCCAGAGTGGCTGGGGAGACCCAGCCAGATGGGCAGGGTACAAATAATAAATTATTATTATTATTAAAAGGTGTCATGGGCTTTGAAGACACTCGAACTCAGGACGCAAGGAAGAAACGTGCTAAGAGGAAGGCACCTTTGGCAAACCTTCACCGTGATGAACTCCCACCTGGAAACCAAAGTCCCCACTGTGGAAGGATGTGTGGGTCCAGAATAGGCCTCCACAGTCACTTACGGACTGTTAAAACTGTGTTTATGGAAACAATCTTACTCGGCTAGGAGTGATTGCCAAAGAAGACGACGACGACGACTAATGCAGTGGTTTGACTTCACCCCTGGAGGCACACTCCACTGTCTCTCAAGACAGACGAATGCCGGCAGCATTTTAATGCCGCAACCTGCCCCAGGATGTCGGGTAAAGGCTGGGTAATAAACAAATTAGAAATAATAAAGTAGAGAGCCAGTGTGGTGTAGTGGTTAAGAGCGGTAGCCTCGTAATCTGGGGAATCGGGTTCGCATCTCCGTTCCTCCACATGCAGCTGCTGGGTGACCTTGGGCCAGTCACTCTTCTCTGAAGTCTCTCAGCCCCACTCACCTTGCAGGGTGTTTGTTGTGGGGGAGGAAGGGAGAGGAGAATGTTAGCCGCTTTGAGACTCCTTAAAGGGAGTGAAAGGCGGAATATCAAATCCAAACTCTTCTTCTTAAAAAAAAAAGAAAGGGGAAAAAAAGAAATAAATAAAGTATACTGGAATTGCCCAAGAAAGATGTAAGACTGGTTTTGTATGCCACAACTGCAGCTAGAATTTTGCTGGCTAAAAATTGGAAACTATAAGAAGTACCGACAGTGGAGGAATGGCAGATGAAGATGATGGGTTTTGGGGAGCTAGCCGACCTGACCGGAAGAGTCCGTGACCAGACGGAGGAGGAACATCAAGAGGAATGGAAGAAATTTAAAGACTATTTAGCTAAATATGTTAAGATACCATAAATAGAACTACCTGCGAGTACCAAAGAGGCCTAGGACTGAAATATGCGATGTGGTAAAACACTACGTTAAAGTTAAAATGAAAAGAAAGAAAGATGTGAATTGCCCAAATAAATTTTATGTAAAAATAGTTTTTGGAAAACTGCTACAATGGACTACATGGAAGCTCAGCTAGGGGGATCTGAGGAAGTCATTTAACAATGTGAACAAAAGTGGAACTATCAGATTTTGGATAAGTGTTTGTTTATGTTTTTTGTTTGTTATATATTTGGAAAACTAATAAAAAAATTGAAAAAAAATATATAGCTAAAGCTATGGTTTTCCCAGTAGTGATGTATGGAGGTGAAAGCTGGGCCATAAAGAAGGCTGATCGCCAAAGAATTGATGCTTTTGAATTATAGTGCTGGAGGAGACTCTTGAGAGTCCCATGGACTGCAAGAAGATCAAACCTCTCCATTCTGAAGGAAATCAGACCTGAGTGCTCACTGGAAGGACAGATCCTGAAGCTGAGGCTCCAAGACTTTGGCCACCTCATGAGAAGAGAAGACTCCCTGGAAAAGACCCTGATGCTGGGAAAGATGGAGGGCACAAGGAGAAGGGGATGACAGAGGACGAAATGGTTGGACAGTGTTCTCGAAGCTACCAGCATGAGCTTGACCAAACTGCGGGAGGCAGTGGAAGACAGGAGTGCCTGGCGTGCTCTGGTCCAGGGGGTCACGAAAGAGGCAGACATGACTAAACGACTAAACAACAACAACAAATGCAGACGGGCAGTGAATGGACCCTGAGCTGCAGAACCATGACAGCACTGGCTCGAGCACAGAGCGACCCGTTGCAGAGCTCACCTGCACGCCATGTCGATATCACAGTTTTTGTCAATGTAACAAGGGCTCTTCCCTCCCAGCTCGAGAGTGACAGGTGTCAGGTGCTTGGCGGCAGCCTCCATGACGATTTTCCCCACTGTGCTGTTGCCTGTGTAGAGGATGTGGTCAAACCGCTGTTTCAGAAGCTCTGTGGTCTCCGGAACGCCTCCGTTGACGACCGGGAACAGCTCCTGGTGGGGAACGCAGAACAGAAGCGTGGCTTAGAACCAGCTTGTCTCCCGTAAGAGCGAGGGGAGCAGGTGGGGAAATAAAGTTCATGTTGCTTTTAGTTGGAATTTAGGGACAGTGCCAGGTTGGGGCAGGGATTTGATTTCGTTTGCGCTGAAAGGCACACACGATTTGCATTTCCAGAAGCAGAAGCCCAAGACGTCAGATTGTGCAATGAGCATCGTCCTTGGAAATGCACAGCCCAGGGCAAAGCGTGCAGAGAAATGCATATGAATAACATGCAAAGCACTTGAATCAGATTTGGGAAAGCTGGTTTGCAAAAACGTGGGTATTAGGACAAATTGCATACCAAAATGTGCACAGGAGGAAGAATTTAGAGTCAAATGCTAACGAATTTTCATGCACATTTAGAACAAACGAGCGCTTGGAGAAATCTGGAGAACTGAATATGCAATTTTCTCGTTTGCTGATGCTTCCTTGATCCATCTACCAGCAACAGATGTGCTAATTGGCAGTTAATTTCTATTTCACGTTGTTGAAGCAAGAGCAGCGATAAGCAGAATGCCAAGTGCAGAGGGCATTCCAGCATGTTGGAAACTGCTTTTGGAGCTCAGTACGGTAGGCACAAACAAAAGACAAAATTAAATACGAGACTGTTGGATTTTGAAGCCTGATCTCAGCATAAGACGCATCCAGATCGGCTAGTCAAACCGGATTGTCAAACCGGTTGCAGCTTTTTAGCAACCTACGCCAAAGTGCACCTGCCTCCGGCTTCACGGTCCTAAGTACCAGTTTAAAGGCAGGGCTGGGAAACTGTTTCTCAGCCCAAGGGCCTCATTCCCTCCCAGGCAACAATCCAGGGGCCGCACGCCAAAAGAGCTGGGCAGAAGAGAGAGGGAAAGCAGAGAAACGGCAGAGATCCTCCTCTTTGGTTCAGGGCGCTGTGTTGCAACTGTGCAGAAGGTCAGAGGTTTCTACATAGCAAGAGGCTTTATCACAGCCCAGGGGCACATCCCAGCCAGGACCGGAACGAGGGGGCCAAACATGACTTCGGGAAGATCCTGGGGGCCAGACAGAGAGGCCTGTGGGCCAGATTTGGCCCGAGTCCTAGGCTCCCCACCCCTGGCTTAAAACGGCAGCTGTTTACAAAGGCTGTGAAGACGAGCGTTTGGGGGCTCATTAATCTTGCCGCTATTCCCTCTACGGTTGTTATTCAAACTGTCGTTTCACTATTTAATTGTTTCTTCCTGGTTTTATGTTGCTAATGCTGCTACAGGCTGCTATCTTATGTACTGTTTTGCTATCAGTCGGAGCAGATGGTTTTACACGTGATAGAGGGTGTGGAAAGGCTTCTTTTAGAAGTTTTAAACTCCACCCTCCCTTTTCTTCTTCTTTCTTTATAAAAAAAGGTTGTTAGCAAAATGGTTTCTCAGAGGTTTTAAAGGGATTCTGCTATTGGCATGTTTGCTGCCTTTGGGAGGAAGAACAGGGAAATAAGTTGAATAAATATATTGCACAATATTGCATTTTGGGGACAACACACTGAGTTCCTTTTTCCGGGGGGGGGGGGGGGAAGGACATTTAAGTTAATAAAATAATAACAATAAGTAAATAAAACAGAAGTATGCTTTTGGGGGGGAAGAGTATGTAATAATTACATATGTAATAACTAATATTATTATACTATTTGCTGGACTTCAGTGCTCTCTGATGGGGCCAATTTAAACTGTGCTGGAGAAGAGGTGGGAATGTCTCCCGACGCCGACTGTGGCAGCCTTTGTCGACCCGGTGCCCTCCAAATATTGCCGAACTACAACTCCCACCAGGCACGGTCGCAATGGTGGCTGGGAGTTGTAGTACGGCAAAACGTCTGGAGGATGTGGAGCGTTATGGCGGCGTCGCTTTTCCCCTGGCGAAGAATTTGCAACGGTCAACACGCAGAATTTAAGCCCTTAACAAAACAAAGCACAGAACACGCCCTGTTCCACCTGCAGAGAAATTAAGTGCTTCTGGATCACAAATCTGACGCCAAGGTGGGAGATTGGGCCTACCTTGTCCAGGTACTGGGGGAGGATTTCTTCGAAGAGCTTGGCCGTGTGTTCGCTGACCTCGGACGGCTTAAGCACGACAGCGTTCCCTGGAAGATTCGAGGAAGGGGATATTTGTTCAAAAGTGCAGGAAGAGGAAAAGGGGGAGCGGTTGGCTGCTAGTTATACCCCAAAGATCAGAGGCCCTTGAATACCAGCCGCTGGGGAACACAAGGAGGACAGAGGGCCTGCTGAGCTCAGGATGGGAAGCTGCCTTACACCGAGCCATACCACTGGCCTATCTAGCCCAGTATTGTCGACACGGGCCGGCAGCAGCTCTCAGACACAGGACAACTCCCAGCTGCAACTGGTGATGCTGGAGTTGGGACCTGGGACCTTCTGCAGGCCAGACAGGACCTCTGCTGCTGCCCTACGTCCCTACCTAAGCAAGGAGGCCAGGGGAAGGTGGTTCATTGGCATGATCCAGCGGCCAGGCTCTGGAGAAAAGTGTAGTGATCAGGTGGGATTGCTATGAGGAACTATAACAAATATAGAGTAAGCCATCTGTGTCAGCAATGCAAGCATTGCGTTGACTGGGTTTAAACTATTTTGATATGATTCTTGATCAATCCACACCTCTGCATCCCTGTTCCATCTCTCTTGCTTCAAAAGTCACATACACAGCCCAGCTGCTTAGTCAGGCAAGCTCCTGGGTCATTAAAGACAGTGGGCACGCTTCTTTGAAGTATCTTTCTGATATGTTAATCTTAGGATGTTAATCTTAGGGCCAGGAAACAGATCTCACATGAAGGTGATAATGATCGCTGTCTTCCTGGCCATCCTTCTTATCAAGTATATTGCTTGTTTATCACCTCCGGGGTTGCCAAATGTCCTCCTTTGTAGTTCTGTTATTTGTTTACCCGAGAAATATGTGTGCTTAATTAGTTTAACTTGTCCCCACGTGGGTTTGTTGAAATGCTCAGAAGAAATCTGATTGGTTCTTACGAACACTCTGTAAAAAGTTCTTTTGTGAATAAAACGACCTGGGCCAGGGGCTAGAGAGAGACACAGACAGAGAGATTATTATACACACCCTTCCCAGAGTCTTGCTGGTTCAAGCCTCTGTGTGTACTCTTCTTAATCAGAGTTCAATCCTTCCTTTACTTTGGGAACGCCTCAAAAAGGAGACCCCCGCCTGGGTTTTCAGGACAAGCAGTTTCGTGGGCTGCAAACACCGCAGGACCACAGCTCAGGCAGAACCGCAGGAGTCAGGAGAGAGAATGACGGCCGCAATCGTAAACCCACTTGCCCGTGGGTCGGCCCCATTGAACTGAGTCTTTATCCCTGCAAAGCCTTCTCTTGCCTCCTGTTCGGACTGTTCCCCAGCGCTGTGGTTTTCGTGCCTCCAAACAGCTCTCTGTCCTCATGAGGACTACAAACATCCCCCCTACTCCCGTGCCTGGGATTTGAAAGGTTCTCTACCCCCTGCGCCGCACCGACGGAAGAATCGCCCACTTACCTGCGGCGATGGCCCCAATAAGCGGCTGTATGACGAGGATGAAAGGGTAGTTCCATGCCCCGATGACCAGGACCACACCCAGCGGCTCACGGTGGATGTAGGTCTCGTCAGTCATCGTCATAATGGTCTTCTCCACGTACTGAGGGGCAGCCCATTCAGGGAGTTTGTCCACCATCAGAGCAATCTCCCCCAGAGCGCCCATAATCTCGTAGCTGAAAGCGTTGAGCTCGTTCTGTCCAGGAGCCCAGAAGAGGTGGCACGTATTAAGAAGGATCGGCGACCACAATAATCTCGTGAATTTCATCGTATTAATAATAAGAATAGGAATAGTAAACCGGCAACCAAGCCACGTATTGTTTTATTTCTTAAATCTATACCCCAAGCCTTCCTCCCAAAGGAGACCAGGGCAGCATTAATATTAGTATTATTTATTATATTATTTGCTTATTATTAATTATTATTATTATTATTATTATTATTATTATTATTATTATTATTATTATTTTTACTAGCCAGTAAAGGTAAAGGGACCCCTGACCATTAGGTCCAGTCGTGACCGACTCTGGGGTTGCGGTGCTCATCTCGCTTTATTGGCTGACGGAGCCGGTGTACAGCTTCTGGGTCATGTGGCCAGCAGGACTAAGCCGCTTCTGGCGAACCAGAGCAGCGCACAGAAATGCCATTTACCTTCCCGCCAGAGCGGTACCTATTTATCTACTTGCACTTTGACGTGCTTTTGAACTGCTAGGTTGGCAGGAGCAGGGACCGAGCAACAGGAGCTCACTCCGTCGCGGGGATTCAAACCGCTGACCTTCTGATCGGCAAGTCCTAGGCTCTGTGGTTTAACTCACAGTGCCACCCACATCCCTACTAGCCAGTAACCAAGCCCAAAGAAAGGGGGGATCAATAACATGGGATGGGGGACGCCTGGCTTCACAGCAGTGCATGTGAAAGTGATCTAGGGGGTTTTAGTGGACCACAAGCTGAACATGAGCCCACTGTGTGATGCAGCAGCAAAAAAAGGCTAATGCTATTCCTGACTGCATCAACTGAAGTCTAGTGTCCAGACCAAGGGAAGGAATGGTACCACTCTCTTCTGCCTTGGTCAGGCCACACCTGGAAGACTGTGTCCAGTTCTGGGCACCCCAATTTAAGAAGGATGTTGACAAGCTGGAAGGTGTGCAGAGGAGGGCGACTAAGGAGATTGAGGGTCTGGAAACCAAGCCTGATGAGGAAGTTAGGGATGTTGTAGCCTAAGGTTACCAGATTTTTTTCAATGAAACCAGGAGACAATTTTCAACCTCCATGGATTTTGTATGGGAATGATCTGTAAATCCAGGGACTGTCCCTGGGAAACGGGGACATCTGGTGACTTAGTTTAGCCTGAAAAAGAGGAGACTGGGAGGAGATATGATACTCCCTGCATCCCCAAATATTATAGTAATTTTGGAACAGATGAAGTTTCCAATTTGTCTTCAAGGGCAGCCCCATGTGAAGAGCCTTGCAGTAGCCCAATCTTGAGGTTGTTCTTGTTATAATCCCCCCCCCCAAAAAATATTGGTTTTCTCTTATAATACACAAACATAAACACAGAAAAAAACATTACATTGAACGCAACATAAAACTTAACAACAATAAAAACACAAAAGATAAAAGTAGAATCCCCCCCCCTTCTTAAACCCTGGTATATTTACATTGCTAGAAGACTTCCTTGACACCTTCCAATATGAATTTCATCATAACACATATTTAGCCGTTCCCAATTTCATATCTGTAACATCAACATCCTCTTTCATTCTTGTTGTAATTCATTCCCTGCCCTTCACCCTAATGACAACATCCAGACTGGATTGCTGCAATGAGCCCCGTGCAGGGCTGCCCTCAAAGAGAACTGGAAACATCAACTGGTCCAAAATTATGGTGATTATTTTAATTTATTCTCCGCCCTGCACTCCAAGGTGCTGGGAGAGGCTAGCAACACCTTGGAACACAGAACAGTTTTAAAACCTACAATAAAAAAGTACAATCATAGAAAATAAGGGGGTCCCCAAACATTTCCCGCCCCCCCCCAGGGCTCTGTTGCCAGAGAGCCCTGGCCTCAGATTTCCCCCCACCCCACATACAATTCATAGAACGGTAGAATTGGAAGGGACCCCCAGAGGCCATCCAGCCCAACCCCCTGAAATGCAGGAATCACAGCTACAGAATCCCCAACGGGCGCTATAGGAAGACACGGCCAGCGCGCAACAGACCTTGTGGAGGTCTGCCATGAGGGCGGCCGCGATTTCCTTTTCCTTCTCCTTTATCATCTTCTTGAGGGCCAACAGCTGCTGGATTCTGAACTCCAAGGGACGCGTCTTCCCTGTGTTGAAAGCTGCCCGGGCCCGATCCACGGCTAGCTTGATTTTCTCCATGGCTGCTGTGAGGCACCTGCAGGGGAGACAGAAAGGTTTGGATCTGCCGACGCAGAGGAGGTCCCTTGGAAGCCGACTGCTCAACCTGACACACACTTCGGAGAGCCTAACGGGAGAGCAAAAGGGAAAAGGGCGGGCTCTCCATTGGCTCGGGGTCAGAGAACGCCCCACGGCCCCTTCCAAAGCCAAGCCTTGCACCTGGGTTTACGAGGCACATGTGGTTTCTGCTCACACCCACTCCTTAATAAATTGAATCCAGGCGGCACGCCCTCCCCCTCCAGTCACCTGCTGGCCCAAACTGGTTTCCCAGCAAACCTGTGGGTTTAGAATGTCAGAACGACCCAGAAACATTTCACAAGGCATAAGTCAGCAGGAGGGCTTATTCATTGCATTAAACTCCCATCTTTTTCTCCCAGGAGTCCGTGATTCACGCCCCCTCCTCAGTTAATCCCCACGACGACCCTGTGAGGCAGGTGAAGAGGCTGCGACTGACTCCAAGGTCCCCCAGAAGAGCTTCCTCACCGAATGGGGGATTCGAACCCTGATCTCCCAGGTCCTAGTCTGGCGCTCCAACCACTACACCACACTGCCTTCCTTTCCCCCCTTCCAATAATGTTTATTAAATTTCATACAAAAACATAACTTTAACATAACAAAAAAAGAAAAAACAATAATAAAATAAAAATAAAAATAAAAGAAATAAAGTATTTCAAACCTCACATATACCACCACATGCAAAAAGACTTAATTAATTAAAATCCAACTTCATAAACATATTACTTGACTTCCTCCAATCTCTTCCAACTGAATTTCCTTGTAATTAAATGTAGCAGTTTCCAATATCATTATTCCATATAACAATATTCCAGTCATAATAAAATTTCCTAACTTTTATCATACCACCACACTGCCTTCCTGGAGTCCTCCTCCTATGGGGCAGCTCTATAAATTAAGTAGGCAAACAAATATGGGGGAAACCAAATGCTCACTTGGAGGAGCTGAAATATTCCCCTTGAAGCTTGAATTTTTATTTATTTATTCTGGTTTTGGGTGCTTTAATGTGCTGCAAACTAGGGAAAGCTGTCCCTGGTGAATTCCTGCCTGTCCTGAAGCTACTTAAACGCACATCCACTGCAAGCCCCCCCCCACAATACACGCATCTCCCTTACCCCCCTCCCGTGTCTGTCTGGACGCGGCTCCCCAGAGTTGACATCTTTCCCAACCCTTCCAGGCGCGGACTTCCGCCTTCCGGTCCTGAGGGCGACCTCGACCCACTTCCGGTCCCGGACAAGCCCCGCCCCCAGCACGTGCGCCTGTTGATTCCCAATGTTGATTTTCCACTTCTCCGCAAAAAAAACCTCACGGAAGCAGCCCCTGCCCCCCGCAGCTCATACAGTGCATTTAAAATAAATGCAAAATCCACAAAAGCTCAATCAACTGGCATTTATCAATTAGGATTTACTAATTAGTAATGTCGAATTATTATTATTATTAAGAATGCTACAGTTTATTAAAGGCACGGTGAAATTACGTGCAACGCAAACCTAGTCAGGTTTGCTCAGAAGTACATCTCCCCCCGTGTTCAATGGAGTTTACGTCCAAGTAAGCGTGTCCAAGATGAATCCTAAAAACGAATTTACTTGCGAGGAAGCCCCATTGAACAGAGGGGGATTTTTACTTCCCAGTAAAGCGACATAGGATCGGGTTGAACTGCATCCCTCTCCTCAGGAGGCAAATCACACCCGCCCCGCAAAAAAGCCAGCGCAAACCTAGCTATGTCTACTCGGGGGTAAATCCTATTTAATTAAACGGGGCGGGCGGGGGGATAACTCCCAGGTAAGTGTGGGGTTAGGGTTGCAGTCAAATATACCTTCCCTGGGTAGATGAAAGGAAAAAGTTGACACCTTTACTTCTCCCACTTTGCTCCTGGGCTTCTAACAGCAACCAGACAGGTAGATATCCACCTGGTTAAGCTTTCCAACTATTCCATGTCAGGCAAAGTTTTACCCAGTTTTGAGGGCTCTTAAAACTAAGTGAGCAGAGATTGGAAGAGAGGGTGTCAGTTTTAAGAGAGGAGAGCCCAGAGGGAACCCTGAACAACACCCCCTCCAAAAAAATAGAATATAAGCAACAGGAAAATGTATAGGGTTCAAATGCATATCTTTATGAGGGTGCACCTTATGCCTGAGTAGACCGGGCAAAGTCCACCAGGCTTGGGTTTTCTCCTGCAAAAATGGCTGTGTGGGGAGTGTTGTAAACAAAAATTGCCCTTTTTCCCTTTTGGGGTATCCAAGAGCCCATATAGAGTCCTTACGTAGGTTCCCTATTGGTAGGAGAAAATAACAGAGGCCAAGCAGAGAATATTGAGAAGCAAAGCAGCTAGTAAGCCTGATCTTTATTGATCTGTTGCAACATGCAGGAAAGGAGGAGGGACCCAGAACAATGGCGCTCAAGGCTTTATATAGACTTTTGAAATTGCCACCCTGTAGATCAAGACCACCCCCAGAAACATCATACATACATCACAGAAAAGGCAGTCTAAAACAGAAATTTGAATGTTCTTTTTCCTGTTTGCCAGGTTATCTGATTGCCTTTCCTGATTGCCTTTTCTGATAGTCTGACACCCATTAAGAAGCTGATTAATCAATTCCTGAGACAATGGGAAGGCTCCCTGACCCCCCCCCCCCCGCAGGGAAAACATTTGCTCAGTTTGGGAATCAAAATGGTTTCAGGTCTGTCTTCCTGTTCTGATCTATGTACGTGCTTGGTTGGTACACTTATGAACATTACCATATATCTAAGACCTCAAAATTCCTATCACAGGAGAAGCCACACCTGTTGAACTGTGGCCTGTGTTGCGGATGTTCAGGGCAGTTTTTACTCGAACAAAAGTTGACTTCACGGGCCTGTAAATTGCGCAGGATTCGAGAGAAGCACCCCCTCGCCTTTGCTTTACTAGTGCGTAAAAATTAAGTCACGTTCTCACAAGGAAAAAAGCATGTCTCCGTTGTCAGGGCTAAATGTCTGCTTCGGCAGCAAGAACAAGGTGTTTGTGGCCAAGGCTGAGTTTTTCCTGCACAAACGCATTCTTAATGCAGAATAATCATCTGAATCAGCGGATAGTAATCTAAGTAAGCAGGTTTTCCTGACTATACAGTTTCACACTGTAGCAGGAACCCCCCCCCAATCATTCAGTTTGTACAAACTTCACACACACACACACACACACACAACATACGCTACGCTTCTGTTATAAATTCATAGAAAATCAACCATACATCAGATTTGCACTGTTCCACCTTTATTTTACTCCAGGAAGGAAGGACTACAAAATGGGGAAGGTTTGATACAGGGCAGCCATAATCCTTGAGCATACCAGTACATACACAGGAGGCCCTGCCCAGTTGCTATGCCAACCCTGATGGTCCTAGACAGAAGACCATCAAGATCACAAAGAACTTGCATATGGGAGTGGATTCAGCACAGACTGGAACAAAGGACAATAATCAGCTCTTCCCTCAGGGGGCAGGAAACTGCAAACTCCCCTCTGTCACCTGGAAAATACTCATGGGGAGGGGGAAAGGGGGAACCAGCCAGGTGACAGGACACTCAGGTTACCACCACAACTCCTCCCTCAACCCCTCCTTTCTGTGATGTATGTATCGGAGGGGTGGCCTTAGGTTACACCTCTTCTGTGATGTATGTATGATGTTTCTGGGGGTGGTCTTGATCTAAGGTAAGGGTAAAGGTACCCCTGCCCATACGGGCCAGTCTTGCCAGACTCTAGGGTTGTGCGCTCATCTCACTCAAGAGGCCGGGAGCCAGCGCTGTCCGCAGACACTTCCGGGTCACGTGGCCAGCGTGACAAGCTGCATCTGGCGAGCCAGCGCAGCACACGGAACGCCGTTTACCTTCCCGCTAGTAAGCGGTCCCTATTTATCTACTTGCACCCGGGAGTGCTTTCGAACTGCTAGGTTGGCAGGCGCTGGGACCGAACGACAGGAGCGCACCCCGCCGCGGGGATTCGAACCACCGACCATGCGATCGGCAAGTCCTAGGCGCTGAGGTTTTACCCACAGCGCCACCCGGCAATTTCAAAAGTCTTTATAAGACCTTGCACACCATTTTTCTGGGTCCTTCCTCTCTCCTGCAAGTGAGGGGAACACCCTGTTGCAACAGTTCAATAAAGGCCAAGCCTACAGGCTGCTGTTTTGCTCCAAGTTATCCTGGTTGGTGTCTTTGTTTTTGTCCAAGGGAGCCCTCGTATTTTCCCGGTAACAACACCCTTTTTGTACATCTCTTCACGTGTAAGCAACTTGCCCCTGTATATGCAATCAATACTTTATGCGCCACACCCACCAAATTTAAAATAAAATCACCCCAGCTAATGGATGACCAATGTGGCAAATATCCATGGTCAAAGGTAACAAACAGCCAGATAATGTGGTTGGCGGATTGGGAATGCCAAGAAGAGTATCGGCCATCTGATTAGACGCGCTAACCTTTGCTTGTATTATTTCCTTGATAACAGAGCCTGGAATGGCGCCTGCTTTGGAAAAAAACCCGCACTGGATCATCACATCATTAACACTTTGAATTTCTCGTATTAATGGAAGCTCTCAAAGGGCCTTCTATGTAGCTTTGTGGCTCAATGTAGTCATTGCCTTCCTTCTGGCGGAGACCAGCCTGTCTGGGGAAGCCATGCGGGCCCCAATCCTTCACAAATCATTCCCCAGCTGCACTGCCGCTTTATTGGGCAGGGGGCAGCAGCCTGACAGACCCACACTTTTACTCTTTCATGCGCTTCGGAATTTTTGGCAATTTTCACTACCCCAGGACAATATTCTTAATTTCTTTTTAAAGCATTTTAATGCAAACATCCACGTAGCTTCACAGATAAAATTGGGAAAGCTGCAGGGAAGAAACAGCAAAATATAAAACGCCACCCACCCACTACCCTGGTCCACAGAAAGCAACCAAAATACTATGCTCTAAGGTGCTGTTGGCTGCAGGGATACCGGTATATGAGCATCTCACGTAAGTGAGCCAAGCCACACAGGAGGAAGGCAAACCTCTGTTCATCAACAAAGTTACTAGCTATTTTGCTGCTGGGAGTACAGCAATGGCCCTCCAGATGCTGTTAAGACTCCAGCTTCCACCCAGCGCCCCCCCCAATTTAGGAATGATGGGTCTGGCAAGATCTGGGGTGTAAACTCTCCGCTCCAGAAACAGCACCAGTTCAGATCCTGGGGATGCAGCAAAAAAACCGTGCTCAGATGACCTGATTGATTCCCTGTTTATAAGGGCAAAGGGTAGCAGCTGAACTTTGCAAGCCTAGAGATGCCTAAAGGTAAAGGTAAAGGGACCCCTGACCATTAGGTCCAGTCGCAGATGACTCTGGGGTTGCGGCGCTCATCTCGCTTTACTGGCCGAGGGAGCTGGCGTCATGTGGCCATGTGGCCAGCATGACTAAGCCACTTCTGGCGAACCAGAGCAGCGCACAGAAACGCCGTTTACCATCCCACCGGAGCGGTACCTATTTATCTACTTGCACTTTGACGTGCTTTCAAACTGCTAGGTTGGCAGGAGCAGGGACCAAGCAACGGGAGCTCACCCCGTCGCGGGGATTCGAACCGCCGACCTTCTGATTGGCAAGTCCTAGGCTCTGTGGTTTAACCCACAGCGCCACCCGCATCCCTGGGATCCCTACTCAGGAGTAAATCTTGCCGCTTACCATGGGCGTAGCCAGGATTTTTGTTGAGGCAGCAGAACCACCGTTTGCTATGTATTTTTATTTATTTTTATTTATTTAGAGGGGAGCATCTGCCCCTCCCTGCTCCCCCAGCTACGCAGCCTTCTTTCCCCCCAACGGCTTAATAGCACACTCCTGGGCCTGTTTACTCAGGAGTAACTGCAACTGGGTACATTGGGGCCCAATCCCAGTCAGGAGCACATTTCCAGCGAAGGCAGTGGGGTATTTGCTTCAAGTTCTGGGAAAGAATGGATAGGGACCATTGCAGCTCAGTACTGCCTGAACTGACTGGCAACAGCTCTCCAGGATTTCAGAGAAGGGGGCATCCCCAGTCCGAGCTGGAGGCGCCAGGGACTGAACCTGGGCAGAGCAGGTGCTCAACCACTGCGTTACAGCCCTTCCTCTACAAATAAAACAAGGTTCCAGTCCTCATGGTTGAATTAAACAGAAACCCAGGAAGCTGCCTTAAACTGAGTCGGATCATTGGTCCATCTAGCTCCATAGTGCCCACACTGACTGGCAGCAGCTGCCAACCCTGACTTGATTGAACCCGGGACCTTTTGCATGCAAAGTAGCTGCTCTGCTGACCCAGCCATTTCTGGAAGGCCCAACCTTGGCATAAGAAACACCCTTGTTTCTTCACATAGTAACTCTCTCCCTTTTTCTTGGCTCTGAGTTTTGGCCTTCTAAACAAAAACAAAGTCAACAGAAATCTCTTCCGACCCAAGGTTCCTCTCTCGGATCCGCCCTCCCTTTATATTTTGATTCTTTAAAAAAAAATACAAAACCAAACCCGAAACCCAGCTTTGCTAAGTGGAAAGAATTTCCCACCCAGGCAACCACTGCAAGAAAAATAAATCTGACGAGATTCCCCCTTAAATCACACTTCCTCGCCCTTGCAAAACGACCCACAAACCACACGAACAGCAACACTTCCCCTGCTTTATCCAGGCAAACAAACCCTTAATTTTAACATTTGCAGAGAGAGAGATGAAGGTTACCTTTCACGCAAGAGCTACTTTTGAGGGCTCGGCTGGGTTCTGTACCAGTCCGTAGAAAACAGACCTAGTTCCTCCACCCCTGACACCAGCCTAGGAAGAAAAGCCTCAGCCCTCCCACTGCAGGAAATTTGGATGCGAGCCCAGGACTGACATCTGTACCGTATTCTCATTAAAACAGCATGCATGGGAAAAAAGAAAAACAGAACGAGGGCAACTCGTTTTTCTCCCCACAGTGACGGGGAAATAGGTACAGTGGTTGTCAATTCTGGCATTCAGAAGAAGCACATTCCTGCCTGCTTTGGGGGGTTTCCTGGCTGAAAAGTTCGTCCTAAAGTGAAGGGGGCAGCCGAATCCCCACACCTCAAGAGAGGTGATATCACAGGAGTTTAACAAATTATGTCCAGTCTTGGAGAATGCGGATTAAGTTTCTTCTTCCTCTTCTGGTAACGCTAGAATGCGTGGGACCCAAGGAAGCTGAATTTTGGGAGATTCAGGGCAGAGAAAGAAATTCTTCACACAGTTCAACTGCGGAACTCACTGCCACAAGACACAGCTTTAAGAGAGAATTAGACCGATTGGTGGAGGAGAAAGACCTATCTTTCAGCGGATACTAGTCCTGACGGGTATGTTCTTCCTCCAGAAACAGACACAGCGATTATTCTGAATACTAGTTGTTGGAAAACAACAGGAGGGGAGAGGGCCTAGGTCCCCCGGGGCCTAGTTTGGCACTCTAACCACTACACCAGACCGGTCCCATTATCCATTTCCCACTTGGTCCGTGCTGGAGTGTTCCCCCCTCTGCAATGACGTAAAGGTCACAGCCTGAGTTAGGAAGCTTTTTACTGAGTCAGACCACTGCTCCATCTAGGCCAGTATTGCCTACACTGGCTGGCAGCAGCAGCAGCAGCAGCAGCTCTCCAGGGTTTCGGACAGGGAGTCTTTCCCCTGGAGATGCCGGGGATCAAACCTGGGACCTTCTGCATGCCAAGCAGATGCTCTGAGTCCTTTAGTACTGTTTAATGTACAAAAATCGCAAGACCGAAGCAGACTTTGGCCAATTCCTTAAAGTGAGTGTTGCTTGCTCAGTCGGAGTAAAAGGAACTCAAATCCACATGCCCCTGGCACCTTGAAACAAGGTTTTCGGGTTCTCCGTATTATCCGTACTCATGGCTGTGAATCTGCCCATCCCTTCAGACAAAGCTCTGTTTCATATTGTTTGTTACTGTAAGAACAAGTGTTGAATAAGCGATTGGTAAGCCACCTTAATAATAGGGATGCGGGTGGCGCTGTGGGTTAAACCACAGAGCCTAGGACTTGCCTATCAGAAGGTCGGCGGTTCGAACCCGTGCGACGGGGTGAGCTCTCGTTGCTTGGTCCCTGCTCCTGTCCACCTAGCAGTTTGAAAGCACGTCAAAGTGCAAGTAGATAATTGCAAGTAATTTCGTTGTCCCCGAGAGGGGGCAATGACAATAAAGATATTATTATTATTATTATTATTATTATTATTAATAGGTACCACTCCGGTGGGAAGGTAAACGGCGTTTCCGTGCGCTGCTCTGGTTCGCCAGAAGTGGCTTAGTCATGCGGGCCACATGTCCCGGAAGCTATACGCCGGCTCCCTCGGCCAATAAAGTGAGATGAGCGCCGCAACCCCCAAGTCGGCCATAACTGGACCTAATGGTCAGGGGTCCCTTTACCTTAAGCCACCTTAATTCTCATGTGGCCTTCACACTCCTTTGCCTGGCCCTTGGTGCTTTCCCTAGGCTGCGGTTAGCCCTGCTCCACACCAGCCTTACCAGTGGGGCTTTTTGTCCTGTGGGTGGGTGGCCTCTGGCCAAACTTGAGCTGCAACTTATCTCTGCACTTTGAAGCCAAATATTCCCAACACTCTTCTGGCTCTCACCTGATCAAAGGAGGGTGAGTAGAGTTAAAAGGACTCTGCTGCAATGAAATCCCTTTGCCACTTATATTCGATTCCGGCTTAAGGTACAGAGGGATTTCAGTAAGGCAAACCAACTCTCCCAGTCAGGTCTAGCAAATATTGAGAAATGCTCCCCACCCACCCTTGGGCAGGAGGTGCCTTTAAGGCTTTGGGATTCATCTTCTGTCAGAATCGTTTCCCACCCAGGTGTAATTTCAAAACCAGATTGAGTTGCCAGTTTTCCTTTGGCTCCTGTTTGCAGTCAACTCCTTCTTTCTGCCCTTCAGCAAGTGCTTGCAAGTTTCCAGCCAAACAATCCCACAGACAGGATTGCCAACTCTGCTGGGTATTCAGATAGTGCTCTTAATACATTAAGAGTAGAGATCCTTTCTCAAGCTCAAAGGTCAGATCTCCTAAATGGGCAATCTTCCAAGGACAAGATTACAGACCATTGTTCCCTGAAAGCAACAATCGTGCACGCACAGGGAGCTGCCCTTTATCACTGACCTACAGTTCGTCCTCTAAAAATACAAGCTTTTAGTCCTCATGGTTGGGAAGAAAGGGGTGATTTGGTTAGAAAGCTGTCTTAACACAGAGTCAGTTCATTGTTCCATCTAGCACAGTGTCAGCTACACTGACCAGCAGCGGCTCTCCAGGGGTCAGGCAAGAAGCGCTGCCTGGAGGTCAAATATGGGACCTTCTGCATGCCAAGCATCAGTCCACCCATGAGCTGTGGCGCTTCCACAACCTCACTGCCACGCCAGAGAAAGTATGCCTCTGAAGAATGCCAGAATCTGCAAGTGTTGCTGCTGCTGCGCTCAAGCTAAATGGGCCACATTCTTGTGTTCTTATGCTACTGCCTCAAGAGGTGGCATTGGCACATAAAAGGCTCCTCGTCGCCAACCCTCGAGACGGCAGGCATTGATTTTGCTTGCCCAGCTATAAGAGGGAACAAGGGAGCAAAAGGACGGTGGCTTGCTGGCGCCACCTTGCGGAGCACGGATTTCCATTAACACTCAGCGCACCAAGAAAACAACAGGCATATTGCAAAGGCCCCACCTCGCTGGAGAGGTGTGCTTGCGCAACTCTGCATGTTTCTATGCATGCAGTTGCACGGCTGTTAACTGTTATCTGGTCTCAGGCAGGGAAGTCACCTTGAATCATAGAACTGGAAGAGACCCCGAGGGCTGTCTAGTCCTACCCCCCCACAATGCTGGGATCTCAACTGAAGCATCCATGACGGATGGTTCACTGTAATCTGACTGACTGCTCTTGCTGCAACAGAAGAGTAGCACAGCTTGCAGGATCTTTCCCTTTGTTTTCTCCCCTGATCCTTTTAAAACTGGACTAGTCAAGAAATGAACCTGGGACCCCTCTGCAATTAAAGCAATTGTTCTATAACTGAGCTACCACCACCCCTCCCCAAAAAATAAATAAATTACCGCCCTGCTCAACTCAAAATCTGGGAGGTGGGGAAGCAACCTGCCGTGGGCATGACTGCACTCCCCTGGTAGGTGCAAGATTGCAGCTTGGGGGTGTTTTCCTGGAGTCAACAGTAGATGGCCTGGCCACTGTACTCCCAAGCTCTGCCAATTTGCAGGTTGGATTATTGCAGTGCTGTCAATGCAGGGATGCTGCAGCAGCCAGTCTCCTTGTTGGGAGTTCCCTTCAGATCTCAAGTAATTCATTTTAAGACAGCGACGTTGTTTGCCAGTTCTTAAAGCATTAAAAGACCCAAATACCCGAAAGACTGTCTCCTTCCCTACATGGACTCTTCTGGGTGTTAACATTGACCCAAGGGGGTTGCCCTGGGAGAAGGTGCTCCTTGTGGCGTGTCCTGCATGGTGTAAACGCTGGCTTCTGACAGCCGAGATGTACATTCAGGACCCTCACCTTAATTCCTTGTTTTAAAGTTCTTAACAGTGTGGTTTTTTAAAATAATAATAATAATAATAATAATAATAATAATAATAATAATAATGTATTATTTATACCCTGCCCATCTGACTGGGTCTCCCCAGCCACTCTGGGCGGCTTCCAACCAAATATAAGAAACAATACAGCATCAGACATTAAAACTTTCCCTAAACAGGGCCTCTTTCAGGTGTCTTTTAAAAGTAAAATAGTTGTTTATTGCCTTGACATTTGGTGGGAGGGTATTCCACAGGGCAGGAGCCACCACCGAGAAGGCCCTCTGCCTGGTTCCCTGTAACCTGTGCTGGATCTCTTTTAATGTTGCAACCTGCTCCGGGACCTTAGGGGAAAGGGCCAGTAAATCATCATCATCATCATTTGCTGCAATAAGCAATAGTTCTGACTGACCACTCACCTGTCCACAATGGGATTCACATCTGCAGACATATTCCTGGAACTGCAGTTTACTGGAATCTCCAGCGCTTTTGCTCCTTCCTCCCACAGGGAAGAGCTGTGGCCAAGTGGCAAAGCGAATTACTTCGCATGCAGAAGGTTCCAGGTTCACTCCTGGGCATCGCCAGGTAGGGCAGGGAGAGATGCACTGCCTCACACCCTGGACCACGGCTGCCAGCCAGTGTAAGCAATATCAAGATAGGTGGTCTGATTCTGTGCAAAGCACCTTCCTATGGGTGGTATTCAGCTAAGTTTTACTAAAGAGGAGAACCACTGGAATCAATGGGCCCAACTCTGTCCTGTTACCCACGCGATGTATACTCTGCACTTTTCTCCAAGAAGGCCTGGGCAGCAAACACGTCTGAACTAATATGATTGCAATACCACCCCCATGTTAACTGGACGGAATAATGGTTTTAACAGTCATCGCTTTTAGAATATTTTAATTGTTTTCACTTCGCTTTTAAATTGTTTCTCTGTTCACCTCCCTGGGAAGGGAGAATGTAAATTCAGTAAATAATAAAAGTAATAACTTCTAAGAAAACAACCTTCTAAAGAACAATAACTTGTTCTCAAACTACTAATTTCAGGGTTGCCAGGGACAGAACTTCAGCCACCAAATGGGCCTGGCGAAACAGAACGTATTTTAAGTTTCTTAATTCCAGTGGGTCTACTCTTGAGTAAAACTTGACCACCACCCTATGTTCTTGACAGCACTGCACTGGGTTCACTATGCTGTTGACTGCAAGCTGTACCATAAAAACACTTCTGAGTATCAGTTTACTTTTTTGTTTTGTTTTTAACCTTAATATACATTTATACAGGCCATAATAA